AGATACAGTCATGCCACTATTATTAAATATTTACAAAGACCACTCGTATTAATTCAATTTCAAGCGTATGTATGTGGCTATTTTTAAATATAGGACTCCTAGCCTATATTTTAAACAACCAAAATAATGGAAAGAAAAACGTCGTCTGGTCGTTGTCGTATGAAAATAGATGGTACATAATAGATAGTTTAAGGATAAAATGTTGTGCCTTACTTCCCTGTGTTGTTTTTTTGTGTATAAGTTCTGCAATAAAAAAAAAAAAAAAAAAGTGAAATTCCCAGAAAAAAAAAGGATAAAATGTTGGCAACTTGGCATAGTTTAGTAGAACTGAAGCCTGACTGAATCCAAATGATTCTCTTGCAAGACCCATATCCATAAACCAGTCTTACCTATCATGTCAAGGCAAAGATAATAGGAGAAAATTCAATAAGCGTTTCATTGTTATTAAATGCAGCTTATTTGATTTATGTTGTGCAAGTATTTGTGACAAAGTAGTTTACATGCTCCACATACCCTATTACCGATGGTAACGTCAATATTAAGCTTAATTAATAGATAACAAATCTGGTCTTCAAATATGAACAATGTCTGTAGTTCAAAGTTTTATAGAACAGTCAGTGGAGTTGCATAATAAAGTCTTTAGGGGGCGCTAATGTACCATAAAACAACAACTTTATTCAGTAGGCTTTTGAATGTGTGCAAACAACATATTACCCACATTCCACTTCCCCAGTGGTCTTAGTACATGTAAAAGCTAATTGATGGGAGCACTTATTCTTACAGAGACCCTAAAATTGGCTTATTTCGCGAACATATTATACATCACTTTTGTTTCAGCATCTATCTGACACATTTTCTTTTGTGAAATACCAAACGATATGGAAAGGAAATGAAAAAAACAAAAAATCATGCATTTAAAAGACTTAAACAGCCTAATTTTGGGGCCACTGTATCAAAGAGATTTCTACATAAAAATAAAATAAAGTGTTTTTTTTTTTGTTTGCTTGAATGGTAAACAATATATTATTAGTAGGGCTGTCAATCCAAAATAAAAGTTTGTTTACATAATATATGTGGATGCACTGTGTATAATTATTTTGTATATATATAGAAATACACACACATGCATGTATATTTAAGAAAAAAATATTATTTATATATATAAAAAATGCTGGGTTGTTTCAACCCAATTTTGGGTAAAATATGGACAAACCCAGCCATTGGGTTAATTTTTTTAATTACATTTTTAACCCAACATTTGGGTTTGTCCATATTTTACCCAAAATTGGGTTGAAACAACCCAGCATTTTTTAGATTGTACAATTTAAATTATATATACAGTATATACATGAAAATATTTCTTAAATATATACAATATTTGTGTGTGTATTTATATATCTAAAATAATTATAGTGCACCCACATATATTATGTAAACACAAACTTTAATTTTGGATGCGATTAATCGTTTGACAGCCCTAATTATTAGATTATGTTAACTTAATTTGTTTTGTGGTGACACTCAGAAGTAGTTTTATAGATATATGGAGTCTAGATGCATAATAACAACATTAAAAGGCAATTTCGCAGTAAAACACTCGTTGCTTTTAGTATTTTACATAAACTTAAAAATATCGCATTTGAATAATTACATAGAGGCTGGACATCTGCTCAGATTTATTAATGTTTAGATCTGGTGATTCGGGAGGCCTTTGGAGGTGTCTGATTTCTTCCTGGCATTTGTATTTGTGTAGCAGTGTGTGTGAAGACATTATCATCCTGGAATACGGGATCATCATAATGGAGCAGTGTTTGAATATGGGGTGCAGCTGGTACTGCAAAATGGACTCAAATTGCTTGGCTGTAATAGGACTCTGTAGAGCAATCAACAGACCTAATGACTCCTGTGTCATTATGGATTCTCTGCCAGGTTTAATACTTGGAAGCAGATATTGTTTTGATTTGCAACACAAAAATTGCTTTAAAACGTCACGTCACACTTTCGGTGCTAAAATCAGTTTGATAATTATCACATTCCTGCATTGTCATGTGTCTGACGATATGCTAGATTGATAAGTCAATTCGATCTTCATTATGGATCCAAATGTAGAGCAAACTGAGTAATTTAGTGCACTTGGACAATGACTCTTATGTGATAATTTCTTCTAGTTCATCATTATGTAATATTGCCCTTCAGAGAAGTCCAAATCAAACATGATTTAATGACTCGTAAATGTAATGTAATGTAAGTGCCCGCGCCCTCAGAGTACTTGGACGTGACTGTGGTTACAAGAGGTAAAAACGATATAAATACTGTTCATTTTCTCACACAAACTGCTAATTTCGTGTCTTGGGCCATCAATGTGTACTTACATTTATGAGTCATTAAATCATGTTTGATTTGGACTTCTCTGTGCATGCTCTTTGAGGTGGTGACCATAGACCTCCATTATATGACTGACAGACAAGAACGGGTTGACCTAAAAATATCAAAATTGAAAATACTGCGGAAAAAAAGACACCTACCTATCTTGGATGCCCTTGAGGTAAGCTAAAACATTTCAAAAATTAATTTCAAAGTGAACTATCCCTTTAAGTAGACACAAGTAATCTTGTTTTTTTATTGGCTACAGTGTTACCATATCTGTATAACTTGGCCCAGTTATGTTTTATATTTTCGTTCCTCTTTCATTGCAGTTATTTGTAATTTCTCAAACTCTCTCATTTTATTTTATGTTTACCAGCAGGTGGCGCCTTTTATTAATGATTCCACATGTTAACCCAGTGAGGCTTTGTCTTAATTAAGAAAAGCTGAAGTACTATAATCCTTTATTATTTGCAGAGACGTCAACCTCAAGTTAAACATGAAGAACTTTAATTGAGCTAATTGCCTCAGTTTGTAACCTATAGTGTGTTGTAATGATCCACATGACAAAGGTTACCATTAACGATTGTATATAAAAATCAGATTAGCTTGAAGAAGACTTGATTAATTTATGTATAACCGACAAATGTAAATAACATTAAGTTTATTAGTTTATTTTAAAACCGTGTCATCTAAATGGATGGAAATATTATGCAATTTAAATACATAAACCTTAAATTTATGCCCAAATGTTTTTTTATATTGTCATTTTACATGTCATTCAGACTTTCTTCCTGTCTAAATGTGCAGTTCCTGGCCAAAATAAGCTACATCATGGTATCAGAAAATATAATAATAAAAAATAAATACAAAAACCCAGACCTTTGTATTGGGGTGTAGCCTATATCGTTTAACACCACTGTATTTAAATGCACATGGTATTAGATCCATTTGTTGATATTATTTGTTGATGTTGATATTAAAAGCAAGCAAATGAAAACAACAATAATCAAGTACCATATTATTAATAAAAAAAGTGAAAACAGTGTCAAAGACTATAACATGGAACATGAAATAAGACTAGTTCATCAGTGTCAGATCAGGGTGTGACATGGACCTTGTAATGGTTGAAGAACACAGTCAGTATAACATGAGTTTCCAGAGGCCTCAGGGTGTGCTATAGTGTCCCAGGAAGTTCGAGAGGGTCTTTTAACATCATGTACTTACATACGGCCCCCTACCTGAGATTAAATGAAGATCTGTTGTTAAGTGAATGATTGTCCCCCGCTGTCAAAAGCTCCTCTGTTTTGCAGTTAGGTGCGAAAATGCCTTTAATGCACAGAATAAATTATTGTTATTACATCTTGCACAGCTTGCATACCTCCAAAAATATCAACACATCACAGTTATAATTAACTAAAACTAAAAATATGGCCCTCAAACCGTATTCACTTTATAGCCCCTAATCCTTTAATTGTGGACAAATGTGGGCACAGAGGACTCAGGTGTGATCCTAATTTTTATTTATTATAAATGTTATATCACTGTCTTCGATAAAGTTTTGTCTATCCATTTATGGTGTTTATTTTTTATTTTGGGGGTATTTTTGAATTTATTTACTTCAAAAAGTGCCATATTTTCTATGTAAATTATGCTTATGTTTATGTTTTATTTTTTTAACTACATTAAAATATCAGTCCAATAAGTTCTTAGAGCTAAAACCTAAAGATGAAGTGACTTTGCTGTCACCTGGTGTCTTATTTTGGCTTATTTTAGAATGCTAAATTACATTTTCCCATTCATTTCTATGGGTTCCCATTTTTGACCCAAATACAAGATTAAGGAGTTTCTTTTTTTCACCCACTTAACATTGTAGAATTGAGTGTGTGTTCAGGAGGCAAACTTAGGAAAAGTAGCCAAGTCTTGTGCCGCTCAGATCAAGGGAAGTATTTTTTTAAAAATAAATCAAAACTATTTTGCCCACATTTGTCCAGAATACGGTTTTAGGTTTAATATAAAATAAATTTGAACTGAAAAAAAAAAAAAAAAAAACACTTTAAATTTATTTTATTTCAGCTAATTGCAACATTTCTCGTTTTCATTTAATTTAAGTGGATGTACTAAAATAATTAAAATGAAATAATAATTAATAAAAACTATAGACATACCTGTACAAATGACACCCAATAAACACAATAAACTTTAAAAAAAAGAATGAAAACAGAAAACACAATAATAAAAAATAAAATAAATAATACATAATCGCAATAAAACAGCAACAAATTTCCAGAAAAAATAAGTTATGCATCAATTAATGATGTAAAATATTTTATTATTTTTTTTGTAAATGTAAATTCAATTCCTCAAATACCAAACCCTATATCGCTCTGTGTACTTCAAAAAAGCTTCAGTTTCCAAAACAATTTAGACTACTATACAGAGCAAAAAAACAAAACAAAACAAAACAAACAAAGAAACACTAGGAAATTGATGTATTTTACAAGACAAGGAAAATATCCATGAAACAATTTTGTTACAGCTGTTCATCGAGAAAAAAATATATACAACGGACTCTTTTGAAAAAATTCATGCCCAGTACAATACAAAGTCTAAACTGTCCATTTTTCAACGTGAAATTGTGCACACAGAAACTCCCAAATTGAAATAACAAGGCATGTGAAAGTGTGGAAAAACAGTTTTTGGCTACAAAATGAATAGCGCTCTCTTAACAGATGCTTCACTTCAATCAATAAAACTAATACAAGCATATGTTTCTCGTATGTACACATTTTTCAGAGATTTACGCTGACCCTTCCCTCCCACCGATTACACACAAAGCGTCCGACGGCAACGCTGCGTGTTTATAAAATCCATACGACAGCCTTTATGTATAAAAAGTGAGCATGATCTACTTGTGCCTGTACAGGTTACGCTTGTGACCTCATAATCGGTTTGTGAGGTTTAAAGAGTTTCATTTCACAGTTATCCCTACATCAACAATCCCACCCTGATTTACTAGAACGTCTCTCGTTTCCAATTCCGTGTCGCCGCTATCCGTAACATAAAATGGAATAAAATGAAATGGAAACCAACGAAATGGTCAGCAATAATGAATAAACCACAAAGTCACTACAAATACCACATCCTAAGCACAGAGAAAATACTTTTCTTGTGAAATCACCTTTGTAATTCTGTACAGTTTCGTAATTACACGTGTACACGTGGTATCGTGATGTGTCTTTGTTAAATAATTCCGGAAAGGAAAATAAAGGAGAAAAGAAAAGAAAAACAGAACAAGCACATCTAAAATATGTGAATATCGATATGAATAAGGTAGTGAATAAGGTCGTATTTGGTCAATCATTCTGATATTTCTCTATATTTACACGGTATTTACAGATGTAACAGAATCTCAAACTGCGTGCAAGAATCGCAGTCGGGCATCCTTTTTATCGGCATAAAACCGCTTTTAAAAATAGGCCCCATTCATTCACTCACACAGTAATAAATACAAAACACCTTTATTTTCTTACACTAAACAATGAGAGATATCTAGGATAAAACTGACTCATGGAATCAAGTATTTTTTTCGTGAGTTCATTTTCTATTTCTTTTTTTTTTTTTTTTCCTTTTCTTTTTTTTTAGTGCAACATGTTTTTCCCTTTGCGGAAGTCAATTCCGTACATTCTCCATTCAGTGATGTTCTACATTGATTTCTACGGTACAGATCACGTCATACAGATGGGCCTGCCCCCTCCATCGACCTATAAGGCATACCCGGCACAGTGCTCTCGCTCATTCTCCGTCCTCATTCGCTGGTGAAATCTGCCCTGTGTGACGCACACGCATTCGAACTGGCAAACAAACACTCACACACGCGCACGCACACGCACACACTCATGGCACATGCACATAACGGAACCTTTTCCTTTCAAGTCAAGAAAATGATACGAATGGCTCTCACACAATGCTGTATTTCAGCGCTGTGTTTTCCTCTTAGTTTTGCACGTTTTAAGAAATGATCGCCCGCTAAAACAACTTCCAGGATTGGCTGTCTCCTCTGGTAAATTGGCACCTCAGAGTTGTTCAGTTTATCCACTTGCGGCAGTTGGCGGCTCCACAGTGACATGGGATCTTGCTCTGATCGTCAACCGGGGTGAGCTTGTAATCGTAGCAGAGCTGCAACAAAATCATTCATAAGGTGGTTCAAATCTCTAATCGTATTAAGCTCTGCAGATCGTTTTTATGAGACACTCTAAAAATCACATGATTGAGGAGAGCATTATAGAGGCAGGCCTATAATATTAGGCGTTTTCCAAACTATCGGTATCGGCAGTTATAATGGCCGATAAATGAATATTTCAAAAATACGGACGAAACGCGCTTAAAGCATGTCATGAGTGTTGGAGTTGTATAGTTTGTCCACCAGAGGGCACTCTGTCTTACCTCTTCTCCCCTCTCAATCCTGCGGGCGGCACTGATGATAATCTTGTAGCCCCGCTCAAACGCGACAACCTCAGCCACACAATTTGGAGAGCATGAATGATTGATGTATCTAAGGGAAACATCCAATTCAAATGAATTATAACTTCATTTCTTCTTGCATCCAAGAGCACGCTTTGAACTTTCCAACAGCAATTTTAGTCAAACACTTCGTCATTCACTAGGCAAAATTTTGATTCACATTTTGAGAGTTTATACGTTTATACACTTGTTCTTATTCAGTGGAATTGTTTCCTGAGCATCAAATCAGGATTTTCCTGAAAAATCATTGACAATGAAGACTGGGAGTTTTGAAAATCCAGTTTTTGCATCACAGGTATAAATTACATTTTTAAATATACAGTATTTAAACAGAAAACACGTATTTTAAATGGTATTAATATTTCACAATATTACAATTTTTACTGTATTTTTGATTAAATAAATCGAATAAACTGAAATAAACTGAAAATTTGGTCAACGAAACGTAGTTCCTTTTTTAATTTCGCACGTTACTTTTCCCAGAAACAGATTTGACAACGATCTCCGTCATTTGACAGATTTGACAGCGAATGCCATCTCTGTGAACGCCTAGAAATGCACATAATGGATTACATAATCAGAGAGTAGCCTATTTATTTTCGTTTTGAAATTTTTCGTTTAAAGACATTTCAAGCTTTCTATATATAGATATATTTATCATGGCATTTCATCATAAATATTAAAATTTTGCATTATATATGACATTATGCAGGGGCGATTCTAGGGTCGGAGCTTTAGGGGTGCTGAGCACCCAATGAGCCCCACTGCCACCACCCACATTTTACACCCATATACGCTCCCCCTCTCTCTTTATTTTATTCATTTAATTAGTTATTTGTAAGGGGGGCAGTGTACACATTAATCAACATTAGAACAATGAAAATGTACCCGAGTTAGCTAAAAGAGCTAATTTTCATCAGTAGTTCCCCAGCCAGCAGTAAAAAAGGCAACCTTAAAGATATTAACAAATTTGTTAAACTATGTTGGGTGGACTATGTTCCTCTAGGGGGGTTGGGGGGCATGCTCCCCCGTTAGAAAATTTTGTACATTTTAAGGTTAAATGCATCAATCTCGTGCTCTTTGAGAGATCAAAATTAAGAGCTTCAACCCATGAACTGCTCGTTGAACAAAGAAAAAGCATTGATTTGTACCAGGACAACATAGAGGGCTCAAACATCTTTTTAGTTGAGTCTCAGTCTACATTACATTATCAATGGTGTTTTAAGATCCCAAACAAATATTATAATAATGTAATAATGATTTATATAATTATTCCTATGATGTAAAATCCATATAGCCTATAAATGTACTATATAATGAAAATTAATATTTCAAAAGTATATTTTAGTCAACATTACACTTAGGAAAATTAAAATACTTTTATCATATTTCTACACTTGCAAGAAATAAACCCGTAAGCTTTTATTTAGGAGAAAATACCAGATATATAACCATGCTGAACGCGTGAGCAAAGTGCACACTTTTCTTTAAATCACCCAGCAAAATGTGTGCTGTTTTATATAGGCAAAAAGCCATATCATGGATTCGATTTTAGTTTGTTGGCAAAATATAACACTAGAGCTCTTTATGTTAGGTTATACATTTTACATGATACATTTTACATCTCATGTGTTGGGAAAAGAGAGAAGAGAGAGTTAGGCAAAAGGTAGATTCGAACTCAGGTCGAGCGCATCTAACTTCACTCACGCCCTACGACCTACGCCACTGTAGTACTCCGTGACGTGCATCTATTTACTAGAAAGACAGGCACTTCTCCGTTAGACAGGCAAAGCTCCGTTATCGAAAATGCAAAAAAAAAAAAAAAAATTTTTTTTCTTTCTTCCCCTCGCTTGGGCGCATGGCGAACTTGCAATGTATAAATTTTATCAGATCGGCCCTCGCGACCTCGAAACACTACCGGCTCACCGGGAAAACTCCCGACTCTCCCGATTGCCACTCCGCTAATGTTACTCTACAGCGGAGGCGACCCGCTAGATTAAAACAGTCCGAAAATAAACACTTATTATAGGTGTACCAATGATTCAGGATACTGACTCCAGTACTCACCGATATGGTTTCGGAATCGGAACAACTGAAAGGAAAAAAGTGTGTGAGACAGCTCTGGAGCGTCTCCGTTGATTCACAAAACTACCTAACGGCCCGGATTCTCACAACGCGTGTGTTTCGCGCTGGATGATGGCCGTGCTGAGCGGTGCAGGTATAAAGAAGTAACGTTAGAAGAAGAGAAATGTTTTCTTTTTCATTTCATTTTAAACCACAAACTACTAAGTATGTTTTGGACATTATTTAACCGTGTCAAAGACGAACAAAAATTTTAGAATAACAACATTTCTTGCTCCAAGTTTTAGGGGTGCTGAGCTCCTCTTTAGGGGTGCTGAAGCACCCCTAAAAAGGGGCTAGCCTCGCCCATGACATTATGTATAGTAGAACTTTTGGCCTACAGATTTAGGAACAGATAGTGAGTTCTGCCCAAAGTCAAGCAACATAAAAGTAGCGTAAAAGTAAGTTACTTTCCATATAGAGTAACTAAGTAAAGTAACGGATTACTTTTTAAAAAAGTAACGAGAAACGACTTGCACTACTTTTTAAAAGTAACTTCCCCATCACTTCCCATAACGCATCATCAAGTAATGTACACATCTGAAAGCTGAAATTACACGTCAAGTTCATTTTTGTACCTTGCAGGGCTTCCAGAGTTGGTTGCGTCTATAACTCGGTCACTGCTGATGCGGAACATGTACGCTGGGCGGTTCTGTTGGAGAAATCCACACAGATTTAGACAAACGCATTTAGACGGCATGTCAAGGTAACATTATTCCCAGCACTATTCCCTCATTGGTTGAGCGAGCTTTACCTTAGCCTTGTACAGCAGCTCTTTCCTCATGGCCACTTCAGAGCGCAGAATATCCCCCATGTATTCAATCACCATGGTCTGCTTCTCAATGTCACGTGCTGCAAACAGCCCAAGACCCTGCAGACACAAGACGCATTAGAGATGCATCCTCACCCAAGGCTACTAAGATCACTCTCTCATGCACACACACACACTGGGGAATGTTCCATAGACGTCTATTGTGTTTATATACAGCTATATACAAATACTATTTAACCCTAACTAAAAACTTTCTGCATTTTTGCAATTTACTTAATGTTTATATTGATTTTTACACATGAGGACATCCCTAAAATAAGGTTTTGTCAGGTTTAGCTCACTTCTGAGTATGAGTATTTGTATTAGCTCAAGCTATTTCATGCAGGTTTACTTGGGACATTCAGTACACTTGTATTGTTTTTGTACAGCTAATTATCAATACTATAAACCCAACCCAAACCCACACCCTAACAGAAAACTTTCTGCATTTTTAGATTTTAAAAAATATTTTTATACCATTTTTTTTATAAATAGAAAAGGAAGGTTTTGTCATGTTTAGTTCATTTCTGGATACTACTTGTTTCCCTGAAAATGATTGTACCCGTTTTCTCAATTAATAATTGAATAAATAAATTGCATAAACCCTTTATGCTGGAGGCAAAAACAAGGGCCGTGACGTCGCCCGGCATGGCGCAGCCGGGGCCCTACCCTGGGGCCAGGCCGGGCTCAGCCTAAATGAGCGATATGGGGCCTCGACACGGAAACTAGCTTTAGGGACGTGGAACGTCACCTCGCTGATGGAAGGAGCCTGAGATTGTGCGTGAGGTTGAGAGGTACTGACTAGAGAGGATGGACTCTACCACTCTGGAGTTGCCATGTACATCGATTAGCATACACAGGTTTGTACAGCTAACTGAATGAGACATCAGAAATGTCTCAGTGATTTATCTGGTTGTATGCCTGTGTGGTTTTAAAAAGCTTGGCAGGGAACTAGATGAGACACTGGATCAGCTGTGGCTCTTTCAGATGACCACACAGCCGTGCCAGAGGGAGGAATGCCAATAACACAAGCTTAAAAGAGACATTTTTTCATTAAGATGCTCTTAGAGGAACAACAGAAACTGTAGTCATTCAAGGCACACTGAAGTTCACTTTTAAAAAAAACTTTTGCTGATAATTTACTCACCCCCATGTCATCCAAGATGTCCATGTCATTCTTTCTTCAGTCGAAAAGAAATTAAGGTTTTTGATGAAAACATTCCAGGATTTTTCTCCATATAATGGACTTTACTGTGAACCAAACGGTTCAAGGTCCAAAAGATACTTTCAGTGCAAACTGCAAACTGTTCAAAGGGCTTTAAACGATTCCAGACGATGAATAAGGGTCTTATCAAGCGAAACGATCATTTAAGATAACAAAGTTTAAGTTTTCATCAAAAACCTTAATTTATTTTCGACTGAAGAAAGAAAGACATGGACATCTAGGATGACATGGGGGTGAGTAAATTATCAGCAAAAGTTTTTTTAAAAGTGAACTACTCCTTTAAGGCTTCCTCGAGTTCAATCCAGCGAGGAATCCCTTTAAAACTTTACATTTTCAAAGGATCAGATGAACCTGGAAATTTCAGCCAGCTTTTTCAAATATGCATCAGATGTTCAGTGAAGGGACTCACCTGGATGAGGGAGTGTGCCAGATACACATTAGTCTTCCAGTCGCTGGTCAGCCGGCGGTACTGAGATGACTTAGAGTGCACAAAGTGTTTGCTGTGAGATGATCCACTCTCTGGCATGGAGGAGTTCTGAATGCAGCGAGATGTTCTGTCCCACACCGAGAGGATCTTTAACCTGTGTGATTATATACGAGATTGTCGGTGTGTATAAGAGAACATGGCACAAACAGAGAAAGAAAACAGTCTCTCTTTAATACTGCTTTTCCAACGAACACAAAATATAAAGGTGCGGTCACATTTAAAGGGATACTCCACTTTTTTTTTTGGAAATAGGCTCATTTTACCACTCCCCCAGAGTTAAACAGTTGAGTTTCACCGTTTTCAAATGCATTTGGCCGATATTCTGATATTTAGAAGAATGTCAGTAACCAGACAGTTTCTGGTCTTATTGACTTCCAGAGTATATTTTTTCCTACTATGGAAGTCAATGAGACCAGAAACTGTCTGGTTACTGATATTCTTCTAAATATCAGAAAATCGGCTGAATACATTCGAAAACGGTAAAACCCAACTGTTTAACTCTGGGGGAGTGGTAAAATGAGCCTATTTCCAAAAAAAGTGGAGTATCCCTTTACAGGGTTAGTTCACCCATAAATGAAAATTCTGTCAGTAATTACTCAGTCTCATGTCGTTCCAAACCCGTAATAGTTTGTTCATCTTTGGAACACAAATGAAAATATTTTTAAAGAAATCCGAGAGCTTTACGAGAGATGTGTTGCGAAGATGAACGAAGGTCTTACAGGTTTGGAATGGCTTCACACTCAGTCGCATGAACGTATGTGACTTTCGGAAAGTGGAGTGCGGCAAGATGGAAAGGAAGTTAAAGGGGTCATGAATTGGCTTTTTAAATTTTATTATATTGTTGTCTGAGGTCAACTTATGACATTTGCTTGGTTTATACATTCAGAAACATCTAAATGAATAAGTAAGCCTAGCTTAAGCCTAGCTCAAAAACGCTCCGTTTTTATGGGCGTCTCGCACTGAAGACTTGAAAGTAAACGCCCACTGCTGTGAGTGGATAACAGTTTTGCATATTATAATGAGTTTCGACTCACTCGTCGAAGCACGTGGGGGAAACTGTTTTGAAAACGTCCAATGTTGTAAAATGGCGACCGGAATGATTCGCCCACACATGTTCGACCCAGAGTCCGTGTGTTGCACCGTTCCTGTCGGATCCAATATAGACGGCACAGCACCATTCTTTACTCTTTACTCTTAATCGGTCTGCAAATCCAGTCTCGAACGTGTCTTGTTTACAAAACAATCCTCAGTGAAATTGTGCGAGTGGGAGTTTCGTGTGAACGTAGAAAAATTGGCCGTTTAAATTGGCCAGGCAAAATTCACCGCACTGACCAACAGTGAAAGCTGCTTGGCTTGAAGGTGATTTCTGTGTGAGCTGTGCGTCATACATCTCTACGCTAATGACAATGGACAATGAAGCTGTTCTTGAATGCAAAATTTCACTTAATTTTCATTAATGTGACCACACCATAATTTATCAAAATACTGACCTCTCATGATGGGGGAACGTCTGCAACTCAGAACGAGCGCTGCCCGATGGATTGATCGACAATGGAAGCACCAACATGGGATTACGGCCATAGCGGAACCGATACCTTGAGCACGCCTCAACACCCGGCAGCTATAACAGTGACATTTGACAAAATAAACACATTGTAACAAACTGTACATAACTGGGCATTTCACTTTAAAATATGCAGTGAGTTATTGTAAATAAATACCGATTCGGCGATGCGGGTAACTGCTGAGATGGTAAGCCCAAACAGGTCCTCTCCCTTCAGATAGACAGGGAAGAGTCTCAGCATGCCCGTCTCAGCCCTCCTCTCAGCCACGGGCCCAAGAACCTTGTCCCAGACTCCTAGAACACATGGGTGAGAATTAGCACACAAACGAATAAAAAAAACATCACACTGCTGTCTGTCAGGCAGCAGGACCGACGAGATTATTTGAAACTGTTTTTAAATGTGGTTTACACAAATAATCGCATTGAAATTTAAATCATTATATGGCATAGTGCAATTATTGAACCTCAAAAAGCTGGAACTGAAATTGTTTAAATAAATATGAGGTCCCTAGGCATATTGGGGCAGCTTTGTTTTGTCCTCTACTACACATTCAAAGCAAATGTGGGGCTCATAATAGCTTTTTATTTTTTTCTCTCCCCATTTTCTGTGGTCTCAGGGTGATTGGCAATATGTGCACAATAAAAGACATCTGAGTCCACTTGTCAGTTCAGTTACAATGTGAATGCACAAAGAACTGGGTCCTTTTACACTAATTGAAAGTGCTTTGATTTGGATCTTTGTATTGGCAGCAGATTGTGGGCAAAACATGACTTGGTTTGGAGACAAAAGACAATGCTTGCAAGTTTTTTTTTTTACACCCCTGTGAACATGAAAGCTGCTGTTTCAATGGGATTTCATGTCTTGTTATTCTTTTGGTTTTGTTATTTTAACTGTTGTTTTAGGTTGAATGTTTATCATTTCAAGCTTTTTAAAAGAGAACTCCGGCGCAAAATGAACGGTAGCATATTCAGTATTCAACTATGTAAGTGTACAGACCGTTTAATAAGAAGATACGTTATAAAGACAGGTGTATACAGACAGGAGCCATCTTGGGAAAACAGTCTCGATAAGTCGATCCCCGAACGCCGTTCACAGTACAGAAGTTCGCTGAACTTCATACAGTTCAGCTCAATTGGCACGTCGTTCGTGGTTCGACTTGTCGAGACTGTTTTCCCAAGATGGCTCCTGTCTGTATACCCGAAGTGAACTGTCTTTATAACGTATCTTCTTATTAAACGGTCTGTACACTTACAAAGTTCTCAATGCTTCGTTTTGCATGTAGGGAGCCTGAATATGCTACCTGTTGGGCTATTTTTAACCTTGATAGTGGAATTAACCAAGCAGCAACGTTCTAATCTGAAAGATGAAGCCGACCCGGAAGTGCGATAAACTGCAATACATCTCAAATCCGCTAGAGCCCGGTCCCAAAAGGGAGCAAATATCCATAGACGTCATGTAATAATGTCCGTTTTCACAGCATAAATTCATATGTTTACAGTTTGGTCCCATAGACTTTTATTGTAATCTTCAATATGTTCCGCGTGCCTGACAACTGTGAGGGGGGTGAATTTTTTTCTAACTCGTTAGTTTAGATCATATTTAGATATACAACGTATGACAAATAAGGGTGATAAACAGCTGATAACGGGCTGCGCCGAGTGAATTTGACGTCTCGGCCATGATCTGACGCAACACACCTCTGTATCCTTTCTGAAACTTTTGTATTTTCCAAGATTTTCCAGTATGGCGCCGCCCATACCGCCCATAAACAGCTTCAAACCCGTTCTTCAGAGAGTCTATGGGTGACGTCACAGACGCTTTGTCCATATTTTTTACAGTCTATGGTATTAACTAGCGATTTTTATTTTCATTTCTCGATGCCCCCATTACTATCATGATAATCTAAACAGTTTTTAGAGATAAAACGCTTTACATTCGATAATCATGGAAACAAATCTCAGAGAACGGTTGACTATGTACCAATGTGTAATTAGACCAAAGGTTCATTTTGCGCCACAGTTCTCATTTAAATCAAATGTAGGACTTTTGAAGATGTTATTGCCCAAAGACCTGCCCAAATACTCTATGTCCAAACAGTACCTGCGCTAACCCTGTCTGCTATTATATCAGTGTATGTGAAGGAGACTGTGTCAGCTGTACCTTTAGCAGTGGTGTCTGTTAGCACCAGATCCTCATAGCCCTGCTCGATCACACGGATGCTGAATTCGGGACGCCCCTCATGCTCTTCAACCGAGCAGACGTACCGGCAGCGCTTCTGACCGTGCCGCATGCTCCAGTAGAGACGGCTTGCCTCATAGCCTGGTGGATAGATGGCCGTAGACGAGTGGAAGGTGGGCAGCAGGGCAGGTGGCAGCTGACCCATCGCATGGAAAAGCAAACTCCCCACACGGAAAGTATGTCCGCGCTCCGGCTGCTGCACGGCCGACGCTAACTGTCGCAGCTCATCGCGCTGTACGAAGACGCGGCGGAACACAGAGAAGCAGCGCAGCTGATGTTCTAAGTGCAAGCCGGCTGCAGCACCGGCTCCCCGTGGCCGGTGCTGGTGGCACAGCATCGTCTTATCCTTAAAAAACGTACAGCCAGCCTGCAGGGCGCAGGTGAAGTGGTAGATGTTGAGGCAACGCAACCGATGGCAGCCACTAGTGGCGCCTAAGCGCTGGCAAAACGCACAAACCACCGTTTGACCACGCTGACGCGCCAGCTCCACATTGATCAGGGCGCCGGCTTGAGTCTCATACACTTCAGAGGACCAAAGGGCACAGTTGAGGTGCACCCAGGTGTCCAAGTCCAAGTTGAGCAGCCTGGCGGGGCCATCCGTCATCCCATCGCCAATCTGTTGGCAAAAACAGCAGCGGCGCCAGTCACGGGTGGTTGAGCATGGCCGCAGAGATGAGTTGAGCTGCTGCAAGTACTCCTCGACTTCCGACTCTTGGGTGGCAACTTTCGGTACTGCAATGTGTATTGTCCATTTTCGCCAGCGCAGGCCTTTCCACCGTTTGCCATGATGCCACGGCTTGTCTTCCAAGTGGCCCTCTGAACGCGGTTTCAGCTTAACCGTCACTTTAAGATGGCTCTCCGATATGCTTTCAGGTTTGGATTCTGTCTTGATCGCTTGACCAGCTGGGTTATAAGCCGCGTGAAGGTTCGGAGAGGGAGGGGACGGCTTGTGTTGGAGTTGGGCCAGGCAGTGGACATCCAGAGAGGACATGTTGTTGCTATACTGGTGCTGGACTTTAGAAGGACTCTGTTTCAAAGCACTTTCAGAAAGTAGAGCAACAGATGTCTGGAAATACAATACAGAAACGTGAAACATATGCATGGCTTTCATCAAACGTAATCAAGAGGAATCAGTTCAATAAAATCAGCCATGCTCAGTTTCAAAGCTGTTTGCATGTGGTTTATGACTGAGAAAACAAACCTTGGTGTCAGTGTTCCCATTGGACTGAGTGGATGATGAGTGCAGAATGAGACAGCTATGACTGCAGAACACCAAACCCCCATCAGAACATAACTGGGACTCCTGGGACAAATCAGAGGATGAGATTCGCCTCTAAAACAACTTTCCTGCTGATGTCATCAAGGCCATTCATTCTATTGGTTAATGTTAACCAATAGCAAAATAACTATTTAGGCATTAGCATTAGTCTGGCCTCATTCTGACATAGAACATCCACAATGATCCAATCAATTCCCAATCAATCAAATTAAGTCACGCTTCACATTTCACGTGGAAATATGTCCAATTTTATAAATAAAATGGGTTGCAAATGCCTTTTTGAACACATTAAGGGCAAACAATCAGCGGACATCTGATTGAGTCCTCTGATGTCTTTGATTGTTTTACTGTTTATTCATTCTGATGTTCTTATTTTGTTTTACAAATTGTAGGGATGCACCGATATGAAAATTTTGGCCGATACCGATAACCGATAATTTGAAACCGATATTTGAAAGCCGATAACCGATATATCGGCCGATATTTTAGAGCCTGATTACAAAAACAAAAGTCTTACAATTAAATCCATGTCCCAAGCGCACAATTATAATGATGTTCTCATTAAAGTGTTGTATAGCCGATATGACAGATATGCGCTGCACATGTTGTACCGAACCGTATTTTCATTTTTTTGAAGAGATTTCAATCCTATTTAAAGAAATTCAAAAACATAAAAACAGTGCTCAACAAGTGTCTCAGCTGAAGGGAATAATACATTATTTATCGGCTTTAATATATCGGCCACGTTTTCTTACCAGGCCGATAACGATAACATTAAAAATGAACATATATCGGCCGATATCGATATGCTGACCGATATATGGTGCATTCCTAAAAAATTGTTTTGTATGTTTTGAGTCTTCTGTGCAGCACTTTGGTAAATTTTGTGTTTGTAAAATGTGCTATAGAAATAAAGTGGATTGGATTGGAAACGAAAATCACATATTCCTACCTGTGCTTTGCCCTGCCCATCTTTGGTCATTTTCCTCACGCCATTGCCCAGGACCACCACTTTACATTGTTGACACCATTGTTGCCTCTGTCCTGGGCTGCCCCGTCCCTTCTTATACTGCTCTCTGCCACCTGAAAGAGATCCACAGTTGTCAAACAGAAGTTCCTCCTACCAGCTCTGATTAGCATAAAAACAGCAATTACACAACAATAAACGAGAGTGGTGTCATTTCCCTGTGATGAATGAGATGTAATCTTGTACTGATGCTTTTAATCTGATTCAGTACATTCATTAAGTGAGTATCTGACACAGATGAGCAGACTTCAATAGGATAGTTCAGGCCAAGATCACTACTGTGTTTAAGTAGCTTCCCCAATCGTTCACAAAATCAATAGTGATTTTCCGTCAGTAGCTGAGCCAGACACAGACATAATACTGCACACTTAATACTGCAACTGATGGAGAAACAATTAGATCACAATGATTTCTGAAAGATCATGTGACACTAAGAGGTAATTCTGATATAAGACCGGAGTATGGATAAGCAGGCATTCCTCACCTTTGTTATGGTTGTGCTGTAACTGCAGGTGGTAAGGCGGTTGCCGTGTGGCCCGTGGTCCATTCGGCTCGTGAAGTGCAGAGGCTAGACGTTGGGCATCCACGGAGGTCTTGATGGCCCCCATAGAGCCCGGGCCACTGCTGACCTCATAGCTGCTGGGGATCTTCACACGGATCAGGTCAGCAATGGCTGCCACGACGTCAGTGATGTTCTGAAAGAGCAAAGGAAACCAGACAATGAGAAAAGAGACAGCGCTATAGATATGTGTTTGCCTATGCAAGCAACACTATTCTTAGTACACCTACTTCAAAAACAACTCACATTTTGTTCAAAAAATATTCAAATCTAGTTATTTTGTACCATTTATTTTGTACTCACTCCAATCCTACTGACTTCTTGTTCTGGGAATTTAATTTAACTATCAAATCTTGTGTCAAAGACACCCATCTTTGCACCCATTCTGTAGTATGGAAATTGTTGTACTTGTTATTCCATGTTTTGTTGTACTGTGTTGTTTTAGAGATTTCTCTAACAAACCAACACTGTTTCTCACCTCAGCAGCAGCTGGCTTCAGTGTGATGGCGATGGACACCAGCCCAGTGTTGGAACCATTTTGCACCGGTCCAAATGGAGAGCCGAAGAACACAGATGAAGGCTCTGTCTTGACCTCTCGGAACCTGACCTCTGAGCCTAGAAAATAAGAGGAAGAAATAAAAATGGCTTAATCGATCAAATCCACCGTGGGCACTCAGCACCACCTAGCACATTTATAATGACCAGTAAGTGTAGGCACAAAAGGGTATGAGCTGGTTACCTTTGCCCCTAAAGACAGGAAACATTGGAATGACTGGAGACAGGGCTGGAGAAGGAGGTTCCTCCTTGACCAATGAGAGATCAGGATAGCGACTGATTTCCATGCCAACGACACTCTCTGGGGAAGAAGATGGGACAAAGCTGTCTGGGGTGTCTCGGTCTTCACAGTGTCCCCTGTGTGTACGAGAGAGTAACCAATATTTAAACTGAGAAACTGAAAACAGATTAATGTGTAGAAATGAGAAAATACATAATTCAAGATATTTTTGTGCCATGTTTATACACATTTCATACACAATTTACACACATTTCAAAGTACTGTCCTGTCCACCATTACCTTTTTGATAGCTTTGGAAAATTAAACTCCTTGAAAAAGTTTTCATCTGTGTTAAAACAAGATCTGATCAAAGTAGATTTTGGTGTAATGATGATGATACAATTTAACTGATTCTAACACTAAATTTAATATAGAGGGAAATTAAAAGGTCTGGGTAAAAGACAAGCTAAAAAATAGAGAAATGTCAACTTTAAACACTGCCTTTAATTAAAAGTATATATATATTTAGGGCTGCAACTAACGATTATTTTGATAATCGATTAATCGGACGATTATTTTTTCGATTCATCGGATAAAAAATTTATTTCATTTTTTTGTTTATTATAACTAAATAAAACCCTAAAACCCTAAAAACCACACTCTTTTGTGTGTTAAACAATCTTCTTAATACAGACAACTTCATTATATAGAAAAACAACAAATAAAAAATATATATATGACCATAACCTATGACAAAAATGCTATTGTAAACTAGATTAGTGGATAACTCAGAAAAACTTAGCCTAGAAAAATCACAAGTGCACAATAATTTTATAAAATCTGAACATTTAGTGAAAAAAACATTCCTTAGTGGGGAAAAAATAAGAGACAATAAGTGTAGCACTAACTCTGGTAAAACGTTACACATTGCTCTTTGTATTGTTGTTATACATTCATGAAAAACATCGTAAAAATCAGATGCACAGCTGTTTAGTGAGGAAGCAATATTGACTGTGTATTATACAGTATCTTTGCAATAGTTTATTAAGCCTTTTCTTTTAGCAGTTTTAAATTTCAGTTAGGCTACTGTGCACGTGAAGAACAATTATAGTGCGCCGAGTCTATAGTGTTGTGATCTAACAGACACTCAGTAGAAAGTGATTAAGTTACAGCAATAAAAGTCTAGCAAGATAGTCATTATATTACGAAACCATAGACCTTTATCTACGGCTCAATTATAATAATAACATTGAATCATCTTGGAAAGAGTTTCATCATGTTAACTGTTGTAACGCGACGCGCTGTTTAAACACCGAATAGAGAATGACTGACAGCCGCAGTGGAGGGAAAAGCTTACGTTAACTTGAATTTAATGACTTAAATATACATTTCTATCTCACATTATACTACAGTATGGCTTCATAAAGTATACACGATTAACGCAGGTCACCTATTTTGGTTTCAAAACGGCGAATTTGCCGAAAGGTGAATGATTTTCGTGTATGCTGCATATTGATAGCGGTTTCCTGATGCCCGCAAATTAGTTCAAACTCACGGAATCAAGAGTGCGCATGCGAGACAGAAGATAATGTGCTCCAAACCGTCCGTGTTGCGCACAGACCGGCGAGGGAGAGAGACTGCGTGTGTGCCTCATGAAGCGCATGTAAGAAGCGCATGTAGCATGTAAACAATCCCCGTGACGTAATCAGACCAACTAATCGATAATGACATTCGTTGACAACGATTTTCATAATCGATTATAATCGATTTTATCGATTAGTTGTTGCAGCCCTATATATATTTATATTATATTATTTATATTATATATATATTTTTTTTTTTTTTCTGGTCTCAGTTTTCAGTTTTATTGACTTCCATAGTAGGAAAAAAATATACTATGGAAGTCAATAAAACCAGAAAATGTCTGGTTATTGATATTCTTCTAAATATCAAAAAATCGGCTAAAAACATTAGAAAACGTTAAAAGCCAACTGTTTAACTCTGGGGGAGTGGTAAAATGAGCCGATTTCCAAAAAAAAGCGGAGTATCCCTTTAATACTAACACTTTTTATTTCTATTCTATGTATTTTTTTCTATACGTTAAAAAAAGACTAACTGTAATCCCAGTTCTCGGCATCCGTGTACTGACCTGAGCTCTTCCTGGTTGTTATGAGGTGGGGTGGGAAGAGAGGCCGGCACATTCACAGTTTTGGGCCCCTGAGCCAGTGCTCGAGCCAGCAGCTCCTCCTCAGCCTTAAACTGCAGCGGTCGAGAAAGCAACCCTTTGGTGACTGAAACAAAAAAAAACAACCAATGTCAGTAGTGTATTTTTATTAGCTCCCATTGTGCATTAGAAATATTATGTAGTGTGATCGGAATGTAACTTTATTTTGGGCTATTACTATAAACTGCTAAGTTTCTAAATGGCAGTGTTTTTTGGTAGACTCAACATTGACCAAAAATTAAATAAATAAATATGCGGTTAATGCTAAAAAAAGCATTGGCCAAACCCGAGTAAACAGTTCATTGGCCTGTCCATATCTAGTCAAAATGATCACTAACATCAACATCCAATTCAAAGTTGCCACTCACCATCATGTCCAACAATTCCACCACCTTTGCTGACAAGCTCTTCAGTTGTGGCAAAGCCATTGAGCAACTTCTGCCGTGCCACTGGAGGTGGTGTCGGGGGCAGGGAGGCAGGAGGTGTGGGTGGGTTGCTCAGGTTATTCTGCTGTAGAGAGATACAAATATGAGTGACCATCTGCACATCTCATAAATGAAATCTAATAAGTGAAGTTTACTGCTGATATCACAAGACTTGATGTAAGTAATAAAAGTGATCGCTTGATGCTTCAGTAGCAAATGTACAGTCATGGAGTATTTTATTAGCTATTCTTAATTACCTTGTAAATCAGCTGGGAGTAATAGTCTGAGACACCGTCCAATGAGGCGCTTCCAAATGTGCCCGAGAGACGGCACTCTCCATCCAGCTGTCCACCTCCATAGGGCATGAAATGGGCAAAGTTCACCCCCACAAGAGGCTCCATTAGGGGCAAGAGAGAGAGCTGCTGCTGCAATGAAACAATGAGATGAAAAGAGCAACATGTGGGAAATGGGAGATAAAGGTTATGTTTTAAAAAAGCATTAGAAGAGAGAAACTTGTGCTACTGAGGTCCTATGTATATGTAAAAAACCTGTCAGAAACCTGACAACTTCTTAAGTGATGAGTATTATAATAAAAGATCATTATTATAATAATATTTTATCAAAAATAGTATAGTTTTTGTTAAGTGGATAGTTACATCACACAAAATATGGGTGGACAGAAATAAATATGTTGTCAAGTATGTGCTCATCAAGGCTGTATTTATTCAATCAAAAATACAGTAAAAACAGCAATTATATATATAATATATATATTTTTTCAATAGACATTGTTCACTAAACATTTCTGATTATTATCAATGTTGAAAACAGCTTAAATTTATTTTTTGTGGAAATATCAATTTTCTTTATATTCAACTCTTGATGAATATAAAGTTTGGGAGAACAGCATTTATTTGAAAAAGAACTCTTTTAAAACAGTTTAAATGTCTTTACTGTCATTTCTAAATGACGAGTACTTTTAGATTTTTTTACTTTTTAAATAAAAGTATTGATTCCTGATTTTTATTTATTCATCTTCCTTTCGTCATGATTTAATTTAGCACAGGCTCTCTGTAATCATGCCTGCAAACATGCTAGACTCATTAACATAACTAAAGAAATGTTTAATCAATGAAACTAGTTTAAGTTACTGCAAAAAAAATACTTCTTAATAAGAAGATTTAGAAGATTAATTTAGAATATAAAAATATTCAATATCAAAATACTTTTGATAATAAAACTTACAAGAACACACAATGTTTTTTTTCAGCAAAGACGCATTAAATTGAACAAGTGACAGTAAAGTAAAGTAAAGTAAAGTTATAATGTTACAAAATACTTCAGTTTCAAAGAGATTATGTTCTTTTGAATTTACATCAAAGAAGTATATTGAAAAAAATCATGGTTTCCACAAAAAATATTAACTAGCACAACTGTTTACAACGTTGATTATAATAAGAAAGTTGCTTAATGCTGATGAAAATTCAGCCATCACATCGCTAAAAATGCTAAATCATAACAGTATAAAATTACCTGTTTTAATTGGGTCATTACAGTCTCAGTCGAGGAATACACTGCTTGACTCTCATCCTCCTCTTTCTTCCTCTTTTTACAGCGGGGGGCGGGTCTGTCTCCGCTCTTGGGTGCCCTCTTGTTCCTCTGTTTCTTCTTGTCCTCAGGAAGTAAGGGTCCAGGGAAATCAGGGTGGTTTGAATCCGAGAACGTCTGTGGGGAAGGGAAAATCACACATAAACATTAAGTGTTTACATGTTTTGTAAATGAAAATGAAGCATTCTCAATCACTCACCCCAGAGCTATCCATGGAGCACTGTCGCAGAAATGCTTTGCTGTCCGTGGATCCCTCTTCCTCTGACCTCAGGCTGTCTTCAGACCTCTGGTGCGGTGGAGTCCTCTTATTCTTTAGGAGGTGTTTGAGGAGTTCATTCCCAGCTTCTCCTTTCAAGCTGTTGGCTGGACTTTGAACCGCATGATGAAGCATCATTCCTTCCCTCTCTCCTTCTACCTTGACCATGCCTATTCCTATTTCCAATTCCATTCCCTTATGTCCATGACAGTCACTCGCCTCCACCTTCTCCAATTTGATGTTGGAGAGGATCCTGTCATGCATCTCCTGATGGCTCATGGTCATCTCTGGCCCTCCACCACAGCTGCCTTCAGAGAGCTGGCGCTCCAGCTCAGAGTGTGGCTGGCTGCTCATGGAGCCCGGTGTGGACGATCCGGGTTGGGACATCTCGCAGAACTCGTGGTCGCCGAAGACCATTGGGTTCCTTGTCGGTGTAGATGACGTATCTGACACGCAGGGTGTTAACGGGGCCGTCAGGTCAGAGTGAGGTGTAGAAGGAGCTCTCAGTGACTCACAATCATCATCTTTCTTCTTCTTGCGGTTCCTTTTCTTCTTACCCTTCTCCTCCGGGATGATGTTGGAGTACAGCTGGATAAGTGATGGACCGGGAACTGGAAAGTTTGGAGGCAAGGGCGTGGGTCCATCCATTGGAAACGGATGCCCTTGAGCTGCATTTTGAGGCATCATATTTGGCCCAGGGTATCTCTGAGGTCTAGTTTGTGCCTGGACAAAGTTGGGCCCATGGGGTGCTAGGTTCTCAGAAACAAATCCCGGTCCCATTTCCTGAGGGAATGGACCGTTACCCATCATTGGCCTGGAAGGTCCTCCAATGAACCCTGGTTGCATGCCTTGTTGCTGTGGAAATGGCTGCCCATGCATCTGCTGCTGCATTCTGGGTGGCTGCATGAAGTCCTGTGGTAGGTCCTGGTTGTAAAAAGGCATCTGGGACAGGGTCCTCATGGTACCATCTTGGCAGTTGGGACCCTGCTGTTGCTCCATGCAGTGTTTCACACGCTGCCTTTCCACCTCCTTCATGAGCTGAACTCTTTGCCTCTCCTGCTGCTCCCGTAGTCTCTCCTTGCGCTCACGCTCCTGGAAACTCTCGCTAAATGGGTTGGTATCATCGAAATTCACGTGAGGAGACTCGCCACCTGCCTGCCCCTGACTGGGCCTAGCCACTGTCGGCGGTGGAGGCTGTGTCTGGACTACTTGAGCGGGCATTACTCCCGGCATTTGAGGTCCTCCACTAGGAACAGGTGCACCAGGGTGCCAGCCTGCTGTGTTGGACACATTAGCTGCATCTGGTTGGCCAGGGTGAAGCTGAATGGGCATCATGGGACCCATCATAGGTTGGTTCATGGGGGGCCCAACTGGCATCATGCCAGCATGAGGCTGCATTGGTGGCATTCCAGGGAGCACTGGGGGTTGCATGCCACCCTGTTGCTGCTGTTTAACTCTGTACTCCTCTATCAGCTCTGCATGCTCTTTCTGCTGCTTTCGAATCTAGAGAAAGCAGAGAAAAATCATTTTAAATTAGACTGAAACATTTACAACATGTACGTGTCCCATTCATTCCAAATGAACTTACAAGAAAATGTCACAAAAATTGAGGCAAATTTGAAAGAACTGGAATCGAAGGGGTCCCACTTTATATTAAGTGGTTTTAAGTACTATATACTGACATTGAAATTAATAATTTGATACAATGGACTTATTGTGTACATACATGTTTTTATATTGTACTTATATTTTAAAAATACCAGCATTTTATTACAGCTATAATTACTTTATGTAATTACATTTGTAATTACACAGTTGACCCTCCCCTCACACCTTAACCTACCCTGAAACCAACCCATACCACCACATCTGTCCCTAACCTTACCCGTATCACATCTCAATAGCAGCAAAAGTGTTTTACAATACAACAGGAACACAATAATACATTGTACTTATTGTTCAATGTAAGTACATAGTACGTAAAGCCACTTAATATAAAGTGGGACCGATGGAAGATTTGTCCTTGTTTCAAGGATTCAACACAATTTATCCGAAAGATGAATTCACATGACATCTAAACTAATATAATGTCAACAACTGTATATTAGATATAATACTACTACTCTTCATTAGACATTCATTCTTTGTAAATGTATTTCTTGCATCAGAAAATGTTTTTTTTTCATAGAATCCTACTTTTTCAAATTGTAAAGACCATATCTGAACCACAGATTAAAATTATTTATTTATTTATTTATTTGGAACATGTTCTGTCCTTGATTACTGCAAAAAATCTTACTACATTAAAATTCTTTATTTGACTATTACAAAGGGAAATAGTCATGCAAATATTTAAGGATTCAAGGAATTTGTATTCACTTATTAAAACATTCGGAAAAACTACTGAAGGGTGCGATGATTAAAGGCCTGTTCACACCAAGGACGATAACTATAACTATATCTATAACTATAACGTTTTAATAATCGTTCTAATTCTATGATAATAGGGAAGTCCACACAACCACTATTACAATATTGACCATTGAACATTTTTTTCTCCATCTGATGAACGATAAAAACATTGACGGCTAATCAGAATCAACCTTACTTTAAAACGCTTTAAAATTGGCAGGTTATCATGCATTAGCTAGGATGCTAATATTTTTGATCATTATAGTTGTCTTCATAGATGAACGGGCCTTAAATCAAATGACAAAGTGAATAGTTCTTTGTTAAAGGGGCAATCATGAAATGTATTTTAATAGGTTTAGTTTTCAGAAAGAGAGGCCAGAGACACATTTAAACAAATCAGCTCCTGAAGATAAAACCATGGATGATTGAGATAATGTGCGTGCTTTACCTGTTCCAGCTGTTTCTGCACAACCCCCTGCTGCTCGGTCACATGTTTCAGCTGCTCTGCGTCTTCTTCAGGAAACTCCCGTCCTGCTTTCTTGGCAGTTCTCTGCTTGGCTGACAGGGCCTTTTTTGACTTTCTGTGGGCCCCAATCTGCTCCTCCAAATATTTCTGCTGCATCTGAAGCAGCTGCTGGGTTTCCCTGAGCCAGTCCTCATACTGAACCTTCTGTGTGTCATCTTAAAGGGGGAAAGGTTGGAATTATTAATCACTGGTTTAAAGAGTGCATTTTTTGTGATTAAAGTTAAAATAACATTTAAATATGTTCAGTAAATGCTTAATCTGGAATTGCATTGCACATTATACACATTCAGAATATTTGCCCTATAACTGGAAGATAATCAATATGGACTATATAATGAGATCAATGATTATTGAAAACTTACGGGCAAATCCTGTTCCAAAATTTGGGGGATTGGGTAGTGCCATTTGAGGAGCAAGTTTGCCATCCTAAATGTGAGATTTACAACAATCATTATGGACTTGATCTGCACACCTTTAATGCATTGATTAAGGAAGAAATGATGATAAATGCATTGAAACTACAGCTGAGAATATTACACTCAAAATATTTAAAAAGCAAACACAAAAGGGGTGGAGGATATGTAGACCAGACAATCAGCAAAGAGTCTCACCTGTCCAGTCAACTGCATCGGAGATACAACTTCTTCAGGGCCAGGTAGCGCCTGCCCTGTCTGGACACTAATTGGGATTTTGTAAAAGAGGAATAATGGATGAGCCATTAGAGCACATGCACATACACACTGAAATAAATCGAATAATATTTCAGTTCAACAAACAAGACTATTAACTCACTTGTTAATAGTCATTCCCATGTTGTTCTGAACCATCATTTTATTGATTCCTTTCAATGCAACCATCTTTGCCTTCATTATGGGATCAGTGATTGCATCAAAATCTGAATAAATCATTGAAAAAAGTATAGTCACATGTTTATAGCCAAAATATGTTTCTTACAAAAAATAATGTACAAATTATTTAGCTTGGTTTATGATATACATCACAAAAACGCATTTCACAGTAAACATCAGGTCTAGAACATTGTGCTGGAATAACACTGAACACTGTACTTTGTGTTATTTTAGTTTTATATATGTAATGATGACATGAAAAATGTTATTTAATCAAAATTACAAATGTAAATACCAAAAGATTCAAGTTCAAAGCTGAATTTGGCAGTTTGCAAGTAAGTAGTTCTATGTGTACACTGAAAAGTCAAATATTGTACAATGAGTTTCTTATCTTTTCAGTTTTTGACCAGCTGTTTACATAAAGTAAAAATGAGAAAAGCCTAATCTTGAGGCATTAAGGAAGAACTAAAGTGCATCTTTTTATATGATCTAAACCTTACCTATGTTGGGGAAGAATGAGTCACTGGAACGTTGTCTTATCATCGCTTGCATTTGCTTCTGCTGTTGTTGCTCCTGTCTTTCCTGATCCAGGAGATCTTGGAGAAGAAGTGGCTGCTCCTCCAGAAGGAGTGGTCTGTTCAGAAGACCTTGCTGTGACAACATTGCCTGTTGTGTAAGAATACTTTGTTGTTCCCCTGAGAGCACAGCATCTTTTTGATCCATGCCGAAAATATGGCTTTGTTGCTGTTCCTGAATGGAGCCCGGGACTTCCAATTCACTTTCGCCATGAGAAGACGCCAACGATTGGCCAATACTGAGGCCAGAATCCATCCCCTGCACTGAGAAGTTTCCTTGCCCCAGCATAGAACTACTGAGTGACATTGTAGCTTCCTGATTTGGAGAGTTGCTTTGTGCCGCTGACTGACCACAGTGTTCCTGCTTTAGTGATTCACCTTCTGGTTGTACATTGACCAGCATACTTGAAAGCACTGGAGTAGCATCAGGGTGAATTCCAGTCTTTGAAACCTGTAAACTGGCATCAATATCACTTTCAAAGCCCGCTTGATTAATGGCAGCACCACTTTCATTTATCTGATTCTTACAAGAAGTGTTTTGGGACAAGCAATCTTTATTTCCATTTTTGCCATCCTCTGTTTTCGGAGAAACCGACACCTGATCCTGAGGAACCTCTTTACTGATGTGACCTTGAGACTGGGCAGTTTTGTCCACCACTTCGCCACTTGTAGAACATGATGATGAGGATGCGTCATCAAAACTTTCAGTCTTTTTCTCAGCTTGGGTCTTTTGGACATCAGACGTCTCAGGGTGGTCTTCCATGGGATCATTGAGATCCAAGTCCTCACTAAGATCTAAATCAGCATCAGCATAAGCAATAATATCAAATTTACCAGATGTTAAGAAGTCATCTAGATGCAGGTCATTTGTTTCAAGATCCAAGTCCTTTCCGTCGTCTGCGTCAAGATTTAGGTTCTCTAAATCGGCATCTACAAGGTCCTTCACCTCAACATCTTCAAGGTCCTTAACAGCAGATTCATCAGCATCAATTTTCTCCTCAGGAACTTCATTTGAGGATAAAGGGACCTCCTCATTTTGCCCAGCAGATGTAGCAATATTTGTGAGTAAAGGAGCGCTGAGACTCTCATTGGAAGCAGGTTGGCTAATAGACCTTGTCAGGGGGATTTGTGGATGTCCAGCTCTCAGAGGAATATTGGCCTGCTGTAAATTCCCCAAGCTCAGAGATGCCTGCATCTGTGTAACAGCTACCTGAGACTGATTCATTGTTGTGTTCATTGTCTTTGGAACCTGATTGAAGGGGAATCCCATTTCTTGGCCCACCAAGAAACCTGGGGGTCGTTGGTGTGAGGGCGATTCCATTCGGTTTCCATGCATAACGGGTGGTCCAAAGGGAAGCCGCAGTCTGTTATCTGGTGCTCTGTGTCTCAGTTCTATGAAAGCCCCCATAATGTTATGCTGTTGCATGTGCATGCCACGAGGCGGCAAATGTGAGGTTACTAAAGGGCTGCCACCTATTGATTTCCCCAAGTCCATAGACATGGATCTTCTCATCTGTGGATGAGCTTCGATTGTTGAGTCCTGCATCTGATGAGGTCTTGGAGCTCCCATATGACCTTGGACACTAGAAGAGAGGGGCATCCTAAAATCAACAAAAGAAGATTAGCATTTTTGCATTTTTGAAAAAATTGAATCCCTTGATTAATGCAAAGTACTACAAGTTTGGTAGTATGCAAATTCACCCACCTTGGCCCAAGCTGCCTTATATTTGAGTCGGCATCCCCAGGAAATTGTGGTCTAGGAAAGTGGCCTTCAGGGAAATGCCCCTGCTGATCCCCTGGATATGGCCCATGAAATCTCTGAGGGGCTCTTACAGCTCCTGGACCAGGATATGGTGGTGGTGGGCGATTAAAAATTTCATTCTGTTGGCCTGTAGACTCCTGACTCCAGTGCTGAGGAGTTCCTGGAGGCATGGACAGTGGATGATCCTGTACACCTTTGTCTTGACGTATGGCACTTTTCTGCTGTTGCTGTTTGAGGATTAGCTCTCGAATACGCTGACGCTGTGAAAAATGTAATGGTATGTGTTAATTGGTGTTGTACAAATTATACATTGTAACTGATATAATGCACCTCATTAGAAATACAACCATCTTAAATAGAGTAGCAATAAAATAAAACAACACCTGTCTGAGTCTTTCCTCAGCTTCAGCAAGTGGTACTGTTTGAACTCCGGTGCTGGGCTGCCCCATGGTGTGGGAACTGATACTCTGTACTAATCCTTGTTGCTCCTTATTTTCTCCACACTGAGAATGGGGAATTATGGCGGCCTGCTCAAAGGGGTCATGGATGGGAGTCTGATTAGGTTGACTGGATAGCTGCTGAGATCTGGTATCATCTGTCATACCTAGATGTTTGAGGTTCTGAGGACCATGTTTTTTTGGACTGGCAAATGTGTCTTGCATCAGCACTTGAGGAGGGGAGAATGGATCTTGATTGGACATGGGCCCAGGACCCAATCCCTGTCCGACACCTCCAGGGTGAGGTGTTTGTGTTAGATGTGCACATGAATCATTAGGTAACAGTTGGGACCTTCCCATTGACTGATCGGGCCCTAGCAAACGTGGTAGTACAAGAGATTGACTAAAAGGATCAGCAGTCCTTTGGTGACTTGGGGACTTGGGGAACCGGTCTGCCATTCCTGAGCGTGGGGTCCCAGGGGGTTGTGCGTAAGGGTCCATTGACATAGGGGACATTATGGGGTTTAGAGTCTGCTGCTGAGAGGGTTGATTCATCATGACTGGATGGCGAGATGCAGGCTGCTGAGTGTAAGGTTCAGGGTCATGTGGTCTAGGTGTGCCTGGCATTCTGGCGTAGGGGTTAGAAAACGGAGATTGGGCAAAAGGGTCACTCGAAGGTCGTGGTGTAGCAGGTTGTTGTCCATAGGGATCGCACTGAGAATAGTCTGGTCGAGGAGTAGATGGTGCTCGAGCATATGGGTTACAGGAAGGCTGGCGTGCAATTGCTCCAGACTGAGGAAATGGGAGGGTTTGGGGCTGCCGTAAAACCCTCTGATTTGCATAGCCGTCACTTACTGCCGGACGTGGAGTGAGCGGAGGCTGTGCATAAGGATCATTATGTTGATTCTGAGAGAATCCCTCAGAGGAACGAGGGGGCATCATTGATCTTTCAAAAGGATCCCCACTTGCTCTCCGTGCATGCATACCTGCATACTGTTCCTGAGCCTGAGGAGGTGGCATTGGGGTTTTAAAGACCTGGACGGACCCCGATTCATTGCTGCCTGGGATAGGAGTGAGTAAAGGACGAGCATAAGGGTCTGAGAGTATCATCCTGCCTTGAGGCATCCTCTGGTAGGCTTCCTTTCTCACAGACACCCTAGAGAAAGGATCATGGCCAGGGGAGCCAACAAGATGTCTTCCTTCCAAAGTTTGATTTGCTCTAGGAGGGCACATAGGCTTGAGAAAAGGATCTGTAGCTCCTGCCGGCCTCGGAGTGTCTGGGGGCTTGGCATAGGGATCATTACATATGGCTGTTGGGGAGCCAATTGGCTCCGAAAGACCCCTGGGAGATTTCCCTGATTCCGAGTTACGGCGTGGAGTTCCCTGGCCAGTTGGTGGTGGTCTGGGTGTGCCTACCATTTTGGTGTAGGGATCCCAGGGTGAGGATGGTCTAGAGCCTGATGAGCTTGGGGAGAACATCTGAGGGGATTGAGGCTGAGATCCCGAAGATGGGGGTGGAGGATGAGGGCGCAAAAATACATCATCAGGGGAACATGATGTAGGCGTGCCAGGCAGCTGTGACTTTGAAACCCCATTCTTTGAGCTGAGCTGCTTGGGAGACATGTTCTCATTGTTAGAATGGACAGAGACAGGACTCTTCAGGCCGCTGCAAGAGTCTTCCTCAGATTGGCTGATTGATGGGAGTTGTTGCTGCTGCTGTTGAAGTTGTTCATTCTTCACCTGCTCCAGTTTCTGTGTAGCTTCAATCTTAGCTTGCTGCTTACTTTTCTGTCTCATTTGCTGCAACAATAAGCGAAAATATATATATTCTAATGATTAAATAGTAAGAAAATGTACAATTTATGATTCATTTAAAATACACAATGGAGCACGGTAATAATAAAAATCATGGAATAGTAATTAGCATTTTAGAGTTAATGAAGTTTTTATTTTAGAGTTCAAAACAACTATATTAATCTATAATATGGCTGTGCCACATTCTGACCAGTGCACCATCCTTTCCTTCACAGCCGTGCGCTTTCGTTCCACCCTAAGCCAAACTTCTTCAAATCATTAAAATCAGCCGAAAAAGTGAGAGTTGAAATACACTGTTGCTAAACTGTGCTAAAATATATATATATTTACTTATCCGTTATTACTACTGTTAGTACATCTTCATGAAAAACTTAAAGCACTGTTTATTTAATTTGTATTTTTGTTCGGTTGTATTTATTTGAACACTGCAATTTTGTTTGTAACTGGTTTCTGTGACAGTTTACTTCTTTTTGTAACTGTTTTGAGGGCCTTTTACTTAGCTAGATTACTTAACTAACAGGTTTTGCTGAAGTAGCCTATTGAAAATTGAGAAATTTTACTGATTTACTAAAATTACTCATATCATGAAATAACCATTGATCATATCGCCCACCAATAATTGTATCCTACTATGGAAGTCAATGGGACCAGAAACTGTCTGGTTACTGATATTCTTCTAAATATCAGAAAATCGGCTGAATGGATTCGAAAACGGTAAAACTCAACTGTTTAACTCTGAGGGAGTTGTAAAATGAGCCTATTTCCAAAAAAAGTGGAGTATCCCTTTAAATAGTCGTGATTTCAATATTGACCATAATATTTGTGATTATGATTTTTTCCCCATAATCGAGCAGCTAATATTTTTTTTTACGTCATTTGATCAGTTTATTTATTTCTAGGCAAAAGAGAACATGGATGTAATTCGTTTGAAATTCTGAGGAGATCTTGTGTGAATTTATGCTCGAAGAACATGACGTTTCAAAAAAATGTTCATATTCTTTTCTGCCCGCTGAAATAATGCTTTGGTAGAGTTTATTTTGAAGGTCGCTTCTGCAAACATTTCAACAACATTAAAAACTGTAGCTCACTGTAAATGCAGCTGAAAAACGTGTTGCAAACAGTTTAAAATATATATAATATATTATTTTGCGGTCCACAAGAAGAACAGGCATACAGATTTGTAACAACATGAGGGTGAGTAAATTAACATTTTTATTTTTGGGTAAACTATTCCTTTAATTTCTGAAAATCTACCATGACAAACCCAATTTCAGGACATCAGGGTCCAGTGGTATGTTTAGTTTGTTGAGATGTCATTTAGCCATTTTCCAAACACATTCCAATATTAGACTTACCTGTCTGAACTTCCATTCTTGTTCATGTTCTGATTCCTTGTGCTTTAGTGGATCTTTGAACAGTAACTCTGGGTCCAGGGGAGGAATAGCAGGATCAAACTCTTCTAGAGGCTGCTGGGGCAGGGTCGGCTGCCGCTTAATGGTCTCGTTGGACATTTGGACCTTGTTAATGCGTAGGGCTGCCCTGTTATCTCTGGCCTTTTGCTGTGAATGGTAGAGTAGTCATGCAGGTTTGATTAAGTTTTAAGGTTGCATTCATTTCCTAAAATTACATGGTTTTAAGATTAATTATCTAAAAGCTTTTTTATTGTTATATTAAGTAGGCCTAGACTCCTTCATGTCAAGGTAATGTTCCCTTTAATCATATCTTTTTTTTTTTTTTTTTAATTTATCTCTTTTAGACTGTAATGAGCTCCTTGGGCCCAGTTTATTCTTTTGACTTTGAGCAACACTAAAGTGTCCCTATACCCTGCTGAAATAAACTCCATGCTGATTTATGCTGTTTAGTAGTGGTCTGATGCTGCTCAAGAGGGTAGACCATCATAGCCATGTTATTAACCAGCAAAATTAAGCAGGTGAAGCTAGTCGACAAGCATTCAAAACATTGCATGTGCGGGTTCACCAGCAAACCAGCTTTCCAAAACACAAAAACAATATATGCTGCTCTTTTCTGTAATTTATCCCAAAATTTCTATATACATTTTGTAGGCCCTTAATAGCCGAAGAGAGAGGCTAAGCTACAAAGTACTTTTTGACATAGCATAATCACATGATGATGATGATGTCCTCGTTGTATTACAGCTGATACTGTCCAACTTACCACATATGGAGCCCGGTCCTGTGAACTTGCTTTTCTCCACAGTTTTGCGATTTGTTTTACTCGTGTTGACCAATCTGTAAGGTTATAATATAAAAATAACATTATCTATTAGAAGAATAACATTGAGAGACATTAAGATGAGATGGTGTCCTTTAAGGTCAATATGTAAATCAAATTAAATCTTATTTACTTCAATATATAATTTGTCAGATTACACATTGAATAAATAAAGTAAAATGGGCTGCTAACGGAAATTCATGTTTTTCAAAGCTGCATGTGACCGATCACTTTAAATTCTCTTCGCACACCTGGATATTCCTCCTTGAGGTTTGGGAAGTTGACATTAGTGTACAGGACGGGTGCAACAGTGGCAAGTTCTCCGAGCATTTCCTCTTTCTCCCACTTCAGAGTGCTTTTCTGTGCAGTGGACATGGAGTCTCCCTCCACCTCCGAGGCAGCGGCTGGAGCAGATGCAGAAGATGACCCTGTAGCGGACCACGGACCAGCAGTCTCCTGCGCTATCAGATTGAACTTCCTGTCCCTTCACAGTGGATATAACGACAGATATGATTTTATCTAACTAGGCCACAATATTTTTAAATACTGAACAAGAACATTTTACTGCAATTTAGATATGTGTGTGTGTGTGCATTTGTCTGAAACAGATATACTCATAACTGACCTAAGATTGTCTGAAAAAGGCATGCGCTGCATTGAGGGGATATTTCGAGCCATATCGGGCCCTGAGCCAGGACCAATCGAGGACTGTGAAAACTCCTGTTTGGGTTCCATCAAACCATTCATCACTGGTATTCGTGAAGACATTCCTGTACAAAAACATATCAATACAACTGACCAACAGTGAATAAGACAATGCCTGGCCTTCAAGATTTATCACAACGTAATGTGTCAGTTTGGTTCACCTGAGAATGAAAATCTTCAGAAAAAAAACGTGTTTACAGTAATGCACTTGAGGGATTACACAAAATGCCACAGATTCCAGCAACTGAGTTGGTACAAAACTCAGAGTATTCTGTTAAAGCTACACTGTGTAACTCTTTTAGTTTATTCTTAGCTAAAAACACTTTCAAAAATATATGTGCTCATTAAAGTATATTTACTTCGTTCGAGTAATAAAGTATTCTCATGAGTGTATAATATGCCATTGAAAATACATATGGGTAAGGGGATCTAATGTCGGTCGCCATGTTGCCCCTCCATCTTGAAAGTACATTAGCCAAAGAGGGACATACCCGTTAATTCAAGCTTCGTCTTTCGCGTTTACGTTTGAGTTGACACTCATGGACGAGGTCGAACTGGAAGCCATATTAATCTTGGACTACATTGGCCACCGTAGGAGTTAAAACCAAATCGGAATTGAGAGGAACAGAAACTAATATTCACTGGATAGTCATTTCACCGCTAGATGGGCGTAAAAATCACACAGTGTAGCTTTAAAGGTGAAATGTGGGATTTTTGCACAACTACCACCCCCAACAAATTACAAAAACAATAACTGTTGTCAATCAAACAGGTTTCTTGAATCCATTTTTGATTCATTCACAGGTTCACTATTACATCGCTCTTCAAAAACAGTGCTTTTATTCTCTTGACAAACTAAAAGATGTAGAATGTAATTTGTACATACATATATATATATATATATATATATATGTGTGTGTGTGTGTGAAATGAACAATAAAGATTGTACTGCATGTTTGCTTGCTTATTAGTCCACATTAACCACAACAATAAAAACTTTGCGTAATCAAAAACTTAAACACATGTTGAGAGCAGTAGTTCCTTTCCAAACTTTCCAATGCTGTTTGCGAATATTCATTGGAACCATGGATTGGGGAATCACTTCATTCATCATTGGCAGGGCTAAATCCGATGGGCGGGATAAACGGTTGTCTTTCAAATTCTCTCTGCACGCAATTGGATAGCGCTACAACCAATCAGAGCAACGAAGAAGGTGACCACTACTGCGTTTTCGTTTAAAAACGGAGAATTATAATGAATACGATCTCCGTCCACACCAGCGTTTCAACTGCGTATAAGAAATGATCTCCGTCCACATTAAAATGACTGAAAACGCATATGCGCGTGCCGGTGTAAACAGTGATTGACGAATCAAGGATGACACCCAATCATAGAGCCGAGCGTCAGCCTCTGCGTCAGCGTTTCTGAACTCCTCCGTTTTGTCCCATCTTCACTAAAACGCCCTCCGGAGATTCAAAACGCAAAACGGCGCTGCAGCGTTTCTAAACTTCTCCGTTTTAGGTCTTCGTTTTTCCCGTTTTAGTCTGGACGGGAGGTGCAAACGTAGCAAAAGGTCTCCGTTTTTAAACGAAAACGCAGTAGTGTGGACGGGACCCACCAGTGGAGCAAGTTGATATATTAAACTTTTACCGTATCCAGTCGGCAAAACTCCGAACACAACACATCTTTTTTTTTTTTTTTAATGACTCAAATGCCATTCTTTGTTATGATTTCAAATAAAAGCTTAAGTTCGAATCATCCAGAGTAGCGGTCAAAGCCGAATCGAAAGCCATTCATTGTTTTCAAGTAGCAGTGAACCGTCGCAACTCTGTCTTCATTATGTTAAGCCCGCCCGTCGACTCTATACACGATGTGATTGGCCAGACCAGACTATTGAGAGTTTCTAAACCACACTGGCTGCGAAATAATTTTTGCTGCCGCTAGGGTGCGTCTAGATTTCAAGGCTAGGAATCACTGAACTTGCGACCACGGTTAGCTAACAATGCTTATGGGAAATGCAATTTTTTTTCATACACTTTTAGAAGCCAACTTATTAAAGGGTTAGTTCACCCAAAAATGAAAATTAAGTCATTAATTACTCACCCCCATGCTGTACCAACCCCGTAAGACCTTCGTTCGTCTTCGGAACACAAATAAAGATATTTTTGATTAAATTTGAGAGCTGTATAACTACCACATTGGCTCCTAAAGGACTGCCTCTTGACGGCCCAGAAAGTCAATGAAGAAAATGTTTAAATATCCCAAGTGACTACCGTGGCTCAACTATATGTTTATCAAGCGACGCGAATACTTTTTGTGTGAAAAACAAAAATAATGAGTTTATTCGACTATTTCTTTTCTTCCTTGTAGGCCAGAACGAGACTTCCTTAGATTTCCACGACGCATGCGCGAGAATTGCGATCTGCTTACACCAGCTTACACTACTTCAGATCGCAATTCTCGCGCATGCGTCGTGGAAATCTAAGGAAGTCTCGTTCTGGCCTACAAGGAAGAAAAGAAATAGTCGAATAAACTCATTATTTTTGTTTGTTTTTTCACCCAAAAAGTATTCGCGTCGCTTGATAAACATATAGTTGAGCCACGGTAGTCACTTGGGATATTTAAACATTTTCTTCATTGACTTTCTGGGCCGTCAAGAGGCAGTCCTTTAGGAGCCAATGTGGTAGTTATACAGCTCTCAAATTTAATCAAAAATATCTTCATTTGTGTTCCGAAGACGAACGAAGGTCTTACGGGGTTGGTACAGCATGGGGGTGAGTAATTAATGACTTAATTTTCATTTTTGGGTGAACTAACCCTTTAATGTCACATTTATAGTTGTCTGTGCAAATTCGAATCAATATGGGAATGTTTTAACATGGAAAAGATGACACGCATCACCTTTAAATTTCCATAGACAAACATTACTGTCAGTCTCATCCATATCACTCAAGCATAACATTGATTATTTTCCAGCAACAAACCTGAGTTTGGTTGGGAGGGATGTAAACCATGGCCTGGGGGACCATGCAGGGTTTGAGCTCCCTGGATCTGTTGATGCATCTGAGGAGGTTGGCTGGTGCTGGGACTCAGGACAGCTGAGAAGAGATCCTCCACATCCTTCCCACCAAGCTCTGCAAGGAAACAGGTCTGTTGTTAACAACCCATCGAATTAACATTCCCTCTGGCAGTTGGTGCTTTGAGTATATAACCTACCTGGTATTTTGTAGAGTCTGCTGAGTATTGATTCTGTACGGCAGAAAGATTCAGTGTTTACATTTAGATGCGTCAGGACCGAATATTACTATTCAACAATGAATACATTTTTTATATACAGACCATCAGTGACCATCTTGTCCAGTTCAGGGCTTAAGATGCCATCCAGTGGCTCCTCGGGCACCTGACGTGAGTAAGTTCGGCCTAGGTGAGTTTGAGATGAGGCAGCTGCATCTTCTGTTAAAGGAGCAACGTCCAGACCTATACAAACATACAGAAAAACACAGAAATACGGTCACGCTCATCTCAACATGCCACTGGACCCTGATGTCCTGAAATTGGGAAATTGTCACGGTGGATCTTCAAAAATGTAAGGAATAGTTTACCCCAAAATAAAAATGTTAATTTACTCACCCTCATTTTGTATTGTTTTCTTCCATTTAACAAAAGTCAGTGGGGTCCAATGTTATTTTAGTTCACATTGATTTCCATTTTACAAACAAAAACAGTTTAAGCATTCTTCAAATATATAAATTGTGTTCTCTATAAGAAAACACTTTACTTGAAGGGGAGTGCATAAGATTGACATGACACCTTCATAACCATGACATGACATTTGTCTTGAATATAAAGTCTTTCGACATTTTGAATGCAAATATGACATTGTTTAAGATGTCTTTGTTATGACATCTTGACGTAAACCATAACGTCATAACCTGTCAGTGTCATAAAATTAGGTTAAATTGTCATGTGGTTGGCTTTGACATTGGATAACTGTGTCATGGATATTTTTCGTGACCTCAACAGTGGTACAAATTTAATTTGTCATTAAAGAGTTATAATGGCTTCATGACAGCCAATGTCAAAACCAACCTGACAGTTTAATGTAATGTTAACCAATAAAGCTAGGTGGTTTCTTAAGTTTGATAATGAATCTGCTATGTCATGTTTATGACAGGTTGTGTTGTCTTAGTAATGTCAAGTTGTCAAGACAAAGACACTGACAGGTTATGATGTATTGGTTTATATCAAGTTATCATAACAAAGACATCTTAAACTCTCATCCCTTACGAAAATTAACCATGGTTTTTTTGTAGTAACTATGTTTTTTTTTATAGTAACCATGGTTTAACTATGGTTTTTGTAGTAAAACCATAGTAACTACAAAATGAACCATAGTTTAACCATGGTTTTTGTAGTAAAACCATATTAACTACAAAATGAACCATAGTATAACTATGGTTTCTACAGTAAAACCATAGTAACTACAATCAAACCATGGTTTTTACTAAAATAACCTTGGTTTAACCATGGTTTTTGTAGTTAAACCATAGTAACTATAAAATGAACCTTGATTTTTGTAGTAAAACCATAGTAACCATAAAATGAACCATGGTTTTTGTAGTAAAACCATGAAAATGTTTTTTTATACAGTAACCATTATATATAATATAGTTTTGTATAAGAAAACCATGCTCTTAATAGAATAATCTTAAGGTCATAAATAATTGTATTATTATAGTTATATAGTACATGTGTGTGAATATAATTTATATATATATATATATATATATATATATATATTTGCATTAAAAATGTCATAAATGATGACACTTGTCACAAACATGCATAAACCTTCCTTCATATTCATAACATATGTCATGTCATGATTATGAAGGTGTGATGTTAGTCTTACGCACACCCCTTCAAGTAAAGTGTCACTGAAAATTATACAGGTTTAGAATGACAATAAATGAGAGTGAGTAGGTGATGACATAGTTTTTCAGGTAAACTATCCCTGAAACTGACACTAATCAGCAAAACTGGACAGGAGCAGTTTGTGGATCTTTTTATCTGCCATTATATCTGACATATGGACAAAATTCAATAAACAACTTAGTGCTGCAAAAAATTCAACTAGAAATATAACTGTAGGCTTTGTGGGAGGTCAGGCCACCTCGTCCTCCAAGGCTGTTTTTACAGCGGGGATGATAGCTCAACATCTTTCACAAATTACTGAGTTGGTTCCTTTTCATCAAACCAAGGACTAGGTGGATCTCAGAGGAACAGAGCACCCATTTTTCACTTATATATTCAGAAAGAGGCCCTGGCTGTTCTTCATGGGAGGAAGGCCATTCATCAGTGTCTTCGGTTTTCTGAAATGCCGGTCTATAGAACATCTCAGTTCTGTACGGGTACAAGAGAAGCGTCCTTGACCACATTCTGTTAATCTAGCACTGGTTTGCTGCTGTCCATTATGGGAAGTTTTACTTAGTGAAACTAAATAGACTGCAGATACATAATGGTTGGATTCAGGTGCAGTAAACATTGTGAGTGATGTGTCAACAATCAAGCAGTAATGTGCCAATATAAACCAAGCAAAAGGGTGTGAGAGAATAGAAGAAAAAGAAAATAATAATAATAAAAAAAAACATGATCATGAGCTCTTACCAAATGGGGAAGGAGAGTACTCAATTTGGAAAGGGCAAAAATCAAGACCTACAAAGACCCAAACCAAACACAATGAGGGATCAGCACAGTGAAGAGAAAAAGAAAGATTCTGCAGATGATTCATACACAATGTAAATCAAAATGAGCTACAAATGAAATATGGAAATGCCAAGAAAATTAACAAAATGAAAAGAGAATCTCTTATAGGTTATTAAATATTTAGATATTAAAAATGTTATTATATATTTCAAACAAAGTTTATTTTGTGATATGAACTTCTGACTGTACACTATAATACATTAGAGGTGTAGTTTTGCTGTAGAGTCACACAAATAAAATATTACATATTTCTCAATCTGCAATAAACTCATGGGAAACGCGTACAGAAATTGCAAATGTGCAATCATGGACTAAAACTATTTTATACACACTTTATGGACAAAATTCTACATGTGTACAGTTGTTTTTGCTGCTGACCTGTTCGCATTTAAGGGATAGTTCACTTTGAAATGAATTTTTGGTATGTTTTAGCTTACCTCAAGGGGATCCAAGATGTAAGTGTCTTTGTTTCCGCAGTAGTTTCAATTTTTATATTTTTTGGTCAAACCGTTCTTGTCTGTCAGTCATATAATGGAGGTCTATGGTCACCACCTCAAAGAGACTGCACAAAGAAGTCCAAATTAAACATGATTTAATGATTTGTAAATGTAAGTACACATTTATGGCCTAAGACACGAAAAGAGTGGTTTGTGTGAGACTACGAGCAGTATTTATATCGTTTTTACCTCTTGTTACCACAGCCACAAAGCGCCCGCGCCCTCAGATCATTTGGACGTGGCTGTGGTTATAAGAGGTAAAAACAATATAAATACTGTTCGTTTTCTCACACAAACCACTCGTTTCGTGTCTTAGGCCATCAATGTGTACTTACATTTACGAGTCATTAAATCATGTTTAATTTGGACTTCTCTGTGCATGCTCTTTGAGGTGGTGACCATAGACCTCCATTATATGACTGACAGACAAGAACGGTTTGACCTAAAAATATAAAAAATTGAAAATACTGTGGAAACCTACATCTTGGATGCCCTTGAGGTAAGCTAAAACACACCAAAAATTCATTTCAAAGTGAATGAATAACAGTGTTTACCATGTTTATAGTAATAAAGTTCCACCATACAATGCAAATTACTTTTGTTAAACACCCCATTTGGGTTTGATTTATAATTAAATTAAACGCAAGTCTTTCTCCATTTACCGAGAAATGCATACTGCGCTTTATTGTACGCGTGTGTTAAAGGGAGATGTTTAAAAGTTACACAGAATAAATTAAGAGTTATGCGTTAATGTGCTAACGGCGTCAAAAATAATTAACGCTGCTAAATAGATTGCATGTGCCAACGTGCTACGTTTGACAACCCCAAAAAACGTAACCTTTATATGAACATTCATTAACAGGCGTACTTTATATCTGTCATCTAAGCACATGCCTTTATATCACAGGGTTTTTAAGATTACGAGAACATGATGAACTTATGAAGTTCCCATTTCAAAGCAGATTCCCAGACACTGACAATATTAAAAGTTAGAGCTGGACCCCATTGAAGGGGCTCATCAGAACAGCAAAGATGTGCTGTCATTTCTTCTCAAATGTTTAGAGACAGTCATAATGGCCTACCGGGCTCCTCTGTTTGCTTTCCATTGTTATCAGAAAACATTCCCAGCAGCTCTGTGTCTGATTTCAGCTCTTCGGAGAGGTCCACTAGAGGCTCCACAGAGTTTTCTGTGGATGCGGATAAAGCAGGAAGTAATTATAAGGGCCTAATGATTGTAGTCACGTGTGTGGTACGAAGCGCACGACGCAGGATATTCAGAGAAATAGACAGTCTTCAAATAACCCATAAATCCAGGGAGAAATTTAGGAGCACACAACTACGTTAAACCATAGACTATCCACAAGTTTCCGAGGGGCGCTCCTGTAAAAAATAAAGTGGGTGAAACTTCCGGTGACGCGGCGGAAGTAGCATTCCAATGGTATTTTGTGTGTTAGTTAGCGAAGAGGCTAGCTGTTTTTCGGAGAATTATTTTACTATTTAAAGACGCAAATCTTTATGAGAGATGTCCTTACGGAGCTCAGGGGCAACATGTGCTGTTCGCGGTTGTACGTATAACCGGACTAAACTAATTCAGTGGCTTAAACGTGATTGTTTTGAACATAAGCTGAAAACGAAATCAGAGTGATCCTACCAACGACTGTAGTTTCCATTAACCTCCCAAAAGACAACGAATCATCCTGTGTACATTTGTTTAAAATCTTAATATTCTATAAACTCTATCAGCATGTGTTTGGCTGTTCGCTACTGATGTTACAGCTAAACTCAGGATCAAAGCATGTGTTGACAGAATACCAAATGTGCCAGTTAATGTATTCAAGTAGCACATTCATTTATAATTTTGAATAAACTCCAAAGCACAATGACTAAGTGTGTATTTTTTATTTTAATTGTTTGTCAGCTCGCACAACTGTCTGTCACCATGCCTTGATGAGTATTGATTATTAATAATGTTATTATAATACTCCCAACCAAGTAACTGCGGAGGGTAAAGGTACTGTTATTTCACCCTTTTGAATTTCGTTGAGGTTGTGTTCCCACATCGTTAGCTAGTTTGGATCGCTATAACTTGAATGACTGTCAACTGTTGAATGAACGAGTGTTAAGCATGTCAAATCGCGCTTTGTTTACTTCCAACCGGAAGTCGCGCCCACTTTTGACGCAAGGCCTCATGGGGCGTAGGAAACTTGTGGATACCGGAAAAAGAACTAAAGGGCTTAAAGGAGTAGTTCACTTTGCTGATAATTTACTCGCCCCCATGTCATCCAAGATGTCCATGTCTTTCTTTCTTCAGTCGAAAAGAAATGAAGGTTTTTGATGAAAACATTCCAGGATTTTTCTCCATATAATGGACTTCATTGGGAACCAAACGGTTCAAGGTCCAAATGAGAGTTTCAGTGCAGCTTCAAAGGGCTTTAAACGACACCAGACCATGAATAAGAGTCTTATATCAAGCGAAACAATCGGTAATTCGAAAAATAAATTAAAAAGTTTGGGTTTTATAACTTATAAGCAAAATTGCTCACCTTGCTCTGTTCTGTGATGCGCGTTCATGACTCTCCTGTTCGAACTCGTTCATCAAAATGAACGAATCTTTTTCGAGTCATTTTTTAAATGAGCGATCGTTTCGCTAGATAAGACCCTTATTCATCGTCTGGTGTCGTTTAAAGCCATTTGAAGCTGCACTGAAACTGTCATTTGGACATTGAACCATATGGTTCCCAATGAAGTCCATTAAAAATCCTGGAATGTTTTCATCAAAAACCTTAATTTATTTTCGAATGAAGAAAGAAAGACATGGACATCTTGGATGACATGGGGGTGAGTAAATTATTAGCAAAAGTTTTTTTTTTTTAAGCGAACTACTCCTTTAAATACCCAGGGAGAGCTAATTTACAGGAAAAGAAATTAAGGATTAATCAGAAACTAATGAGCAAGGAACGCAGGGCAAAACTAAACCAAATTATGATTAATCTAAACAGACATAGACATAACCCTGACTTTTGTACTCCATGAAAAGGGTCTAAATTGTTTAGACAAATTTTAAGTCAACATGAGATTGCACTCTCAACCCATTTTACTTGTGGAGTCAGTCAGTGAATCCGCCGGCACCCATTCCAGCAATGTGTGTAAAGAAAGTAAATGGGGTCTATTTAATATTCCTATCGACTTCAAGGGAAATATATTTATGAATCAGACTGGGTTTGGATGTCAAATGGAAAAAAAAGGCACAAACAGAAAGAGACAAAAAGACTGCAACATGTGTGTGTGATTGCACCAGCAATCTGTGAGAAACGTACGTGCTGCTACTGCTTTACTGGGCAGCGGTGCCGATGACGCACTGAGTGATGCGTTTGACAATGGCTTCATCTGATTGGCCGTGAGCTGTTTCCTGTCTCGGTCATCTTCTAGCAGCCGTGTGGTTTCCTGCCTGCTCTGTTTGCTCTTGTCCAGCAGGTCTTTCCCAAAAAAGGCCTCCTGAAAGAGAAGAGATTGGAGTGGGCATCCTTCAGCATAAAATAAGCAAGGTGACTGATTTGTCCATCTAGTAAAGATGATAAATGGGTTTTAAAAAATTATGGCTTTCATAAATTGAGCAATAACTGTTCAGACATTATGGGTTTTTTAATGCCAATATTAGAGAGCATCTCATGGCCCATAAAATGCAGATACAGCATATAATACAATTTAATGATAATAAAAGGTGTATACACAAAAACGTAACAAGTCAGTAATCCATTACACTACAGAATATTTCAAAAAGGAAAATGTTTATTACCCATGACCTACTTACGTTAATCAAACAAGTGATTTTTTTTTTGTTTGTTTAAAACATTCAAATTCAGACCAATTTGTTAATGAATCATTCAGACTGATTCATTGATCGAATCAGTCTGATTCACTGATTCAAGCCTTTAATTACAAGAAATTAATAATTTCATTCGTGAAGGATGCACTAAATTAGTCAAAAAATTAAAGACATTGAGTAATGATGCTGAAAACTCAGATGTTCCATCGAAAGGAATAAATTAAAATAGATTATTTATTATTTCACAATGTTGCTGTTTTTATTGTACTTCTGAACAAATAAATGCAGCCTTGTTGAGCATAGAAGACTTTGCCTAGTATTAACATTTAATATACATATATTTTTAAGTATTAAGTGTCATATTTTGGGAAAACACAATGTCAAAGACAACAGTCCTGCCCTTCGGATGATCCTGACATTCAGAGCGAATCTTCTGAAGAGGAATACTCGAATTGTGCTGTTATCATTTGTAATGAAAGCATTGTTGATAGAGTATCTTTCAGAGGAGATTTTCCAGATGGCTCTGTGTTTGTCTGAGCTGACTGTCACGTTATGGGACCCCCTCAAATGAGCTCATGTTTCATCCTGCCTCGTATCCCGCAGGACGCACAATCCACAAAGACACGCCGCTGCACGTGTGCAAGCATGAAAACAACATGCGTGCTGTATCGGCCGTAATACGACTTGCCTGTTCTGTCATTTCAGTTCAGCTAACCTGACAGCCTCCAGCTCTCAGGAACCTGCCTGGCTGAGACATTAAAAGCCTCCATTTTCAATAATTGATTTGAAGTGGCTCTTCTGAGAAGCACCTTTAGGCTGGATTTTCTCAGTGTTGATGCAGGAGCTAGCGTGAACAGCTAGCATTAGCTCAACCATCCAATTACGTCATTCCTATCTCATCCGTTCTAGGTTTCTTGAGCTGGTCCATACGATGGTGTAATACAACGTGTGACGGTATCAAATCTTTTATACAGTGGTAAATACATTTCGTGCAGCTATCAGTGTGCGGACCTGCTTTGTGCATGGTCAAACATGAAGGTATATGAAAATACAAGGCTGGATGTATTAAAGGGTGTTGATAAGAACAGCAGAAATTATGAGAGAATTCAACTGATGTGTGACTTTGAAAGTGGCTCATTTAATTCAAATGTAGAGTCAGAATTACTGTATTTGCTTCATAATAGTTTTACTGATTTGAATCTTTTTTTTTAACAATGGTGAGTGGTTTATTATTCATGTCCATAAATTTTTTTTTGTTTGCAAGCATCATCATCCAGATAGAAATAGGAAATGATCTGACAAGATGATGTGCCTTTCGTTAATATTTACACAACTGATCAAGTGTTTGGGGTCGGTAACATTTTGTAAAAAAAAAAAAATGTTTTTGAAAGAAGTACGTTCACCAAGTTTGCAAAACCTGTTGTGTGAAAAAAAAAGTTTAATCCTGTGATGTCAAATCATTACTCCAGTCTTCAGTGTCACATGATCCTTCAGAAATCATTCTAATATGATGATTTGATGCTCAAGAAACATTTCTTATTATTATTATCAATGTTGAAAACATTTCTGTTGCTTTTTATTTTTATGAAAGGATTCTTTTATAAATAGTACATTTTGTAACATTACCACTTTTCATCAATTTGACGCATCCCTAGTGTGATGCACAGCATTATCCCAAAATAGGCTTTCCACATGATTAATATACCAATATCCAGCAGAAAATACTGTATGATGGTTTACAGATTGACTCATACTATGATATAGGCCTAAAATGTTTTGTCATACGTTATGCTTACTGACATACATTTATAAGTATGCAAGTGAGTGCAAAAGGACAAAGCCTTAAGATTCAAAAAAATCAATCTGTTGTAGCTTTAAAACATCAGTTTTGAGCTGGGTAAATGACATCACCTCCCTAAGAGTCGACATGCCAAACTCGGCTAGACAAGCTCCCAGATCACCTAGCAGAGTGCTCGAAAGTCCACTAAAAGCAGTGGCATCTCCCTGTGCATCTGTAGCAGTTGCCCAGTGACATCCCTGGAATTTACTGCTGAAAAGTTTCTATTGATTCCAGAAGACTGAGGCTTAGAAATGATCTCATGTCATGTGGCTTGTTTTGGAGAGATGTGCTATAGCTTTTCTAAGCAGATGTAACTTATTTACGAACAACACCCCACAAACTTACACTGAATGACCCATTTTCTTCCTAAATTAAAGTGTAATTTAGCCAGTCGGCGTTCTGTCATGAGCCGCTTGCGCGATTTACTGTGACTAAATATGCGATCAAACATTCCCAGTGATGAACTGTAATAAATCCAAACATAGATCTCGACTATATTGTTTTGCGATTGCGGTTGCTGAATTTACGGTTGTTTTAATGGAAAAACATGGAATAATTGGAATTACTTTTAGGAATTTAACTGTTTAATATTTGTTAAAGTTTCTTGTTTTACTAGTTTTCATAATGTAGACAGAGAGTGTTCATTTAAATGATGCAATGATGGAACAAGATGCGTATGAGATTTGTGATAATAGGTTAAAATTAGGGCTGTGCAAAAATTAATTGCGATTAATCACATCCAAAATAAAAGTGTGTGTTTACATAATATATTTGTGTGTGCTGTATTTAATTATTTTGTATATATAAATACACACACATGCATGTATATTTAAGAAAATGTGTTATTCATATATAAAATATTTATATTTATATAATATAGATTATGTATTTATATATCTATATATATATATATACAGAATTTAAGTGCAAATAATTCTTAAATATATACATGCATGTGTGTGTATTTATATATACAAAATAATTACATACAGCACACACAAATATATTATGTAAACACAGACTTTTATTTTGGATGCGCTTAATCACAATTAATTTTTGCACAGCCCTAATTAAAATGCAATAATTCTGATAAAATTCTCAAATGACAACAATCATTGCAATTAATTTTGAGCAAAATAATCATTATTACCAGTTTAACAATTATGCAGCACGATAAAAAATGTGACTATGTTTTCATTGACTAAAATGCTCAGACATGTATACCCCGTATCACAGAGTAGGCTTAAGCATAGTCTTAACTGAGCTGTTTTAACTGAAAGCAACTTGCACTGACAAATATATCAGTACCTTTGTTTTTTGTTTTTTCTAAGGCTACTTAAATGTCTTAATTGAACTAAGACCTAATCCATGCTTAATCTAAGCCCTGTCTGTGAAACCAGACCTTAGTCGTCTAAAAATAGACTAAACAAAAACAGGACAAAGTTGACTAAATATGATAAAAACTAAAAAGTGTATTTGACAAGACTTAAAAATAATAACAAATAGCTGAATAAATCCATTACCTGTAGGTAAGTGGGAAAAGCCTCCTCCAGTTTGGTCTTCTTTTTCCTATAGCGTTTCCGTATTTTAACCTCAGGATTGTCGTGAAAATCTGACAAAGGAGGTTTTTCATCAATCGGAGTGTCAGGAGCTTGGTCACCCCAGACTAACAGGACAGAAAAGAGAAACCATATTAATTCTTTACATCAAAATCGTGTATAATCCCAAAATTATGCAGGTGAGTTTTACATCTACATCAACACAATATATTTTTGTTGTAATAATAACTTTTATCTATATCAATCAATAGATGAGTCTACAGCAAAGTCATTTTACTGAAAGTGTTGAATGATACTCACCCTCGTCTTTGCCTTGCAGGGTCTCAGAACCAGTGGAGTCCTTCCTGACCAAGGCAGGTTTGGTTCTACCCGGACCCATCCGGTTCCTCTGTCTGACCATGAAACCTCCAATACCTGAGTAAAAGCAGAAACTCCTCACTATTATTTAAAGCTACACTGTGTAACTCTTTTAGTTTATTCTTAGCTAAAAACACTTAGTTCTTTCAAAAATATATGTGCTCATTAATGTATATTTACTTCGTTCAAGTAATAAAGTATTCTCGTGAGTGTATAATATGCCATTGAAAATACATACGGGTAAGGGGTTCTAATCTCGGTCGCCATGTTGCCCCTCCATCTTGAAAGTACATTAGCCAAAGAGGGACATACCCGTTAATTCAAGCTTCGCCTTTCGTGTTTACGTTTGAGTTAACACTCATGGACGAGGTCGAACTGGAAGCCATGTTAATCTTGGACTACATTGGCCACCGTAGGAGTTAAAACGAAATCGGAATTGAGAGGAACAGAAACTAATATTCACTGGATGGTCATATACATTTTCACCACTAGATGGGCGTAAAAATCACACAGTGTAGCTTTAAGATTTCAAATGAAGTGCTTCATCACATCTGCTCAAATTATCAGCATTTTGAATCAAATTTCGATTCGCTATATGCATAGATTTGGTTCTAGTTAACTGTTTTGTGTTACTTTTCATCCTTGACTGCAGGAGACAGTTTAATCTTACTGTAAATTAACTGTAAACCTTGAAATGTGTGTTTTTTTCTTCCCCATTTTAGTCAACCCAGAATATTATTACTAGGTTTATTTAACATCTCTCAAGAAATACTACAGAAATGTAATAATCAAATGTAAAAATAAGACAACAGTGTAGTCTTCACTGTATAGAATATAAATGGATTGAGACTTCAGTGTTAAAAATAAATTGATTCATAATGAAGATACACAAGTGATTCAGTCAAAAGCAGTGTTTTTGTTTTTTGTTTGCTTTTTGATTAAATTAACAAAACAGACATCAACAGTTTATTAGGCTGCTGTCCCTTTAAGAACAAATTCATGGATCTAATACACTTTCACAGTGAATTTTTTTACATCGTGAGTGTATTTGACCATTCAAGCGCAATAAGCTGCGAAAGAGAACTGAATTAGGGATCGCATGCATCTGTGTTCCACATTGAGTCCTTTTTTGCGGCATATTGTGATCAATAACACTCTACGCGTCAATAACTTTAAGTAGCACAGCGAAGTTAAAGATACATAAACTGATGTTTGAAATTTGTGATCGATGCGAATCGGCAGAAGATCGAATCGCGATTCATCAAGTCTCTCACCTGGGCGGTAGGGCTTCCTCTTTCTCTTCTTGCAGGCATCCGTGTCTTTAGAGTCATCTTCTGCGGTGGCCTCTCTTTCAGGACTTGAATCTGACTTCCCCTCACCATCCACCATCTCCACTTCTGCTGCAAAACACACACAGGCAAACAAATACACAAAGCTGTCAGGAATCACACACAGGTAAGCAAACTTCACTCTGCGAGAAGAGTATCTGAATATGAGACACTTTTATACGGTATGTTTTACACAACATGTTCAGCAAACTGCAGTCCATTTGTGTTAAAAAATTACATTTTAAATCACTATAATGAGCTGCCTGGCTAGATAACTAGTTTTCTGGTCTCACAGGTGCACTCCCCATGTGAAGGCTGCTTGATATTGTAGATAGAAAAATGATGCTACCTTTTGCGATACCTAATTTTCCTCACAATTGGAGGCACAATGGATAACTCCACAATGCTTTGTCATGCCAACTCCCCAAAACATTTAAAATATGATATATTTTATATGATATAATATGCATGACCCTTTTATTTAAAAACTAACTTCAAGATTTGAATGTATAAAGATTTTTATTTTGAATGTTTTATTTTTGTGAACCCCTCAATATTATATGTAAACAGTGGAGATGTAGGAAGCAGTACTTTTGATGTCGTCAATGTCTCCATCTCTGGATAGTTCAGTGTGTGGGTCTGGAGGAGTCTGCAGCACGGCCACGCTGTTCTGGTTTATGATCTTCAGTTTGAGTTTGGGTTTGGAGCGTCTCCGGCGAGAGGCCGCATTGGCGAGACTTTGTAGCTGGGACAGACCCGACTCCGTGAGACAAACACCATCCTGGGTGTACGTCCTCGACAGGTCTGTGGAGCAGAAACATTAAGGAACCTCATCGGTATGACAAAGAATCGACTCGAAAGAACAATTTCATTAAATGGAGAACATTTTACAATGAACAATATCTAGTTGATGAAATATTTCATAGCAAAGCATAACCAGAAGCATTTATGTTCAATATAGAAATTTCGCCAACATTAAAATCCATTAGTTAACATTAGCTATTGCTTTAACTAACAAGAAGCAATTCCTTTTGTTAACGTTAGTTAACAAATACAACTCTTCATTGTTCATTCATGTTAGTTCAGGTCCGTTAAACACAATTATTACACGGCTCTGTGGAATACTTGATTCTGATAACAACCTGTCACTGAAGTCGGCGCTTTTCTTTTGCTAGGAGCGTTTTTTCCTCGTTAGTCGAGCTAATAACTGAAATCAATATTTTGTGTACAGTTATTTAATTATATCATCCGGTATCACACACTCGCTCTCTCTTGTTTCATAAAAAAAAAATCGTTTTGTATTGGATTATAAGATAACAAACAGGCACAATTTTAAAACAGTTTAATCTCAAATCAATATCTCTTATCCCCATAATTATTTGTGTTGTGAAATACCGTGTAATAAGTGGTATGACTGTATACCGTATACCTTAAATGGCGTCTAGTTTGAACTAGCCGCTTGCTAGCAACTGCTCTCTCCATGGAAGCTTTGCGTTTAACAAGCTAATAACATTTTTTGACTCGGATCAATATTTAATGTCTAATTATTTACTGTGTGGCAAGTTTATGTAGCCGTGTAATAAGTGGGGTCCTGATCACAACCAGATACAACTATTGATTTTAATAATGTATTAGTATTAGTAAATGTCTGACTTGTAGTCAAGACCACCTAAACCGAGACCAAGACACTACCAAGCCCGAGACCGAGAACAAGTCGAGACCGAGACCGAGACCGGAGGAGAAAAAACAGACTAGTGTTGTTGAAGCTAAGCAATAGCCTCCCTTTCTCTGCCCATTTCGAAGTCTCCAAATGAATCCATTTTGCAACTTTTAAAATACATAATTATATTTAAAAAAAAAAAACGAAATTATAAGCTAAAGTGCAGGATCCGAAAGTTGGTCGTTTTGTCACTATGGTTACACACACACACACACACACTGTTATTGGCGGTCATCTGTCAGTTGTGCAGTTACCCAAAATCTCCTAAATGAAGTCAAAACCAATTATGTCACTGATATGTGTTTTACTAAATATTAATACATCAAAAACTGTACATGATATGTGTTTTTTAAATCAAGTGATCAAAGTGCTTGTTGCCGCTGCGATCAGTGGCGCGGATACGGTGTTTTCTCATGTTGTTCGTGCAAACTGCACTGTCTTCACTCGGTAAAGACTCGGCGCTTCAATCCGTTGCGGATATCGTCGTGGATATTGTAGTATTGTATTGCTAAATCCCTCAACATTTTTTTTTTTTGGTTTCATGATTTTTAAAGTATGTTAATAAAATAATAGATTGACACGCCTAGTGATTGGTGATTTTCTAGTGCGCAACTGCGCATGACAAATTGTAATAAAATTACTTTTAACACCACCTACTATGTGGCCTTTTTACCCTAAACTGATCATATTTTTTAAACTCTAAGTAAATTCAGTAAAAAAAAAAAAAAAAAGGATTTCTCTAAGTAAATAAAAGTAAATTAGGTAATCAACCCTCACTGCTCTCGGTCTCGACTCGGACTCGACCGTCTCTGGTCTCGGACTCAACTCTTTATGGACTCGGTCTCGACTCGGACTCGAGTGAGGTGGTCTCGACTACAACACTGCATAAATCACTAGTAAATGTTGAAATTAACATTACCTAAGATTAAGACTAAGATTTTTCTTTGTTACTTCATTAACATTTATGTAATATTTTAATTGAAATACCATTACTTTTAATTATCATAATCTGACATTTTTTTATAATTCTGTAAAAAAAAAAAAAAAAAACGTTTTTGTAAAATGACATCAGATTTACCAGGATCTCTTGTTTTTGTGAATCTCTGTGGTAGGAGAACCGACTCGACAAAATCCAAACTGGACTTGGCCGGCGTTCCAGGCGCTGTGTAATGAACACACAAATACACAATGTCAATTAAAAAAAAACAAATGTACAAATGTAAAACAGACAGTTCTAAAGCAGTGCTTATGTGTACCAGGAGAGAGAGGGGTCTGGCCTTGGCACAGACTGCAGTCAAAGCTGGTCTCTGCGATCTTCTCCACCTCCTCCTCCGAACAGATCCCCTGACACGAGGCGTGCATCCACCTGCAGACACGGGAACAGCACGTTTGTGCTACGGATATCAAGGATGCCTCAAACTGTGTGCGTATTGAGGAGAGCCGTGCTATTACTAGTCTACTTTTCATCATCTTCAACTATTAAGACTTACAATTGACCCTTTGCTAAGCCCCGCCCTCCCTAGTTACTGTTGCTACGCCTGTCAAGCTTTCACGCCTGGCACGTCTATTTCAGTATGTATGCACCGGTGTCAGACATTCCCAAAGAGATAATTACTCATTTTTGGTGAACATGTGAAATATCTGAGAGAGCAAGACTAAAGGGACCACAGTATGCATTCGAGGGATATATTCACGACACAATATGCAATCGAGTATAGAATAATTTCTTAAAAAATTAAGCTAAAGCCTATCGCCCCCGCCGCCTCATACGCTGACCGCTCAACTGGGAAACACAAATTGAGGAACAGCTGTGTTCGTGCACAGCAGGGTATGTGAAATGTGATAATAATCCTAATAATTATAAATCAAACAACTTATCCATAAATCTTGTGGAATAACACTAACACCGGGAGAGCCGCGATCGGATTGGGTTAAAGTTAGTCAGGAGTAGGGCGTCGATTAACAAAATGCTGAAATATATTTTAAAGTATGTCAGTGAGCCTCTGTCTTGTCTTTAATCGTTTTATTTTACTTAAAATAGATGCATTATGAACAAACAACCGTCATTATTTTCAAGCTAGGAGTTTTTGTTAATCCTGTCTTCATTTAGTTGTGAATGGGGTCTCCAACTGCTTGATCACGTCCATCATTTCTCCCCTTGCCTTTAAAGGAGTAGTTCACTTTTAAAAAAACTTTTGCTGATAATTCACTTACCCCCATGTAGGGTTGGGTATAGGGCTGGGCGATATGGCCAAAAAATCATATCTCAATATTTTTTGGTCAAATGGCGATATACAATATATATCTCGGTACTTTCTACGTTTTCTATTTAGATAAAGAAAATCTTTATATTGAAAAAAAAAAAATATATATATATATATATATATATATATTCACATTCGGCCCAATGATACCCTACAAACAATGTTGATATTGAAGGATATGGAAACAAATATAACATAGGCTATGCAATATATTATGTGCAAAAAGCTTTTGTTTTTATATTGACTAAAAGCTAAACTAAAAATGAAAATAAAAACAAAAACAAAAGCACAAACTAATTATATTAGCCTGCATTTGATTACCCCATTATAATCACTTTCACTTTCATTACAAATATATACTTGTAGGTTTAAAATTCCACATATGGCACATTTATTTTCTCCAACAACAAATATTTTAGCAATATGTTTATTTTAGTCAGAATTATTGCGTACTACGTAGTACTATTCACGCGCATGCGCGCGCCGGCGCTCGTTCAAGGAAGCATGAATTTTAGCGGAGATTCACTTGCAGAAACTCGTCCTCTTCTGACATGGACATATTTGTTGTGAAATGGACATTTTGCTTTACTTTCTAACTTTTACAGATGGAGAATATACCTGTGAAATGTAAGTTGAGCACTGAGGAAAGCACCACATCTCAAACGCATTAAACAGCGCAAGTATATCTGTCAGTCAGCAACAGTGTCTGTCAGAGCATTTGACCGGGCGGCAAGCTGCCTTAAACTTGTTAACTATATCAAAGTGATTTTGACGCAATTAATATAAGCTTGTGTCATGTTTAGGACAAATTGTACTACGTAGCCTAGCTACTTTCACTGCAGCAGCTCACACTGCAAACTCCGCTATTTTTCAGATGTGCTCATATCAAACTACTGTATCGATATAAACGGTATTGCCTCATTCCATATCGTTTCAAAAAATATAACGATACATCGTACAAACTCGATATATCGCCCAGCCCTAGTTGGGTATCGTTTGAATTTGAACGATTCTGATTCCGATTCCGATTCCTTGTTTCGATTCCGGTTCCTAACGATTCTCGATTCCGATTCTTTTAAGAGGCAGGGTCAAAAAAGTTTAGCTAACCTTGCTAACCAACGGCCTTTCTGAAGGAAATACTCCTTCTGTAAAAATAGTCCTTTTGTCACAAATTTTGCATTTTGCCGAGATTTCGTTATTTTTAGAAAAGTGAAGCCACACTTTGGATCGCCGACGTAAGGTACTCATGTTCGACTCGCGTGGTTATGCCAACACTTCCGGTAGACGTTTCTTCGTTGGTGTTGTTCAGCGGTTTCTTCTTCCGCTCGGCGGACTGTGAATATCGAAACTAGGAATCGAAATTTTAACTTTTGAACGATTCCGGGAAAAACGAAAAGTTAGTCTCGGTTCCAATCGATACTCGATTCTCGATACCCAACCCTACCCCCATGTCATCCAAGATGTCCATGTCATTCTTTCTTCAGTCGAAAATAAATTAAGGTTTTTGATGAAAAGGGTTCTATCAAGCAAAACGATCGCTCTTTTAATAAATAAATAAAAAAATTTACGTTTTATAAGCTCAAATGCTCACCTTGCTCTGTTCTGTGACGCACGTTTGTGACTCTCCTGTTCGAACTCGTTCATCAAAATGAACGAATCTTTTTCGGAGTCTTTCGTTTCGTTCGTTGAATGAACCAAATGACTCGAAAAAGATTCGTTCATTTTGATAAACAAGTTCGTCACAAACGTGCGTCATCAAAAACCTTAATTTATTTTCGACTGAAGAAAGAATGACATGGACATCTTGGATGACATGGGGGTGAGTAAATTATCAGCAAAGGTTTTTTCAAAAGTGAACTACTCCTTTAAGATTTCCGGGAAGGAAAAAAATCCACTCCCCCATCCAAACTTTGAGGATACGGTGTATCAGATTCGCACAATCCATACACACAACGCTTTGGCATGTTTCCCTCGCTCGAAAGCTTGCCAGACCTCCCGCGCCTATTTACGGTTGCTAAACCATGATCGGGCGTGGCTTAGTGAAGGGTCAATTGTATTGTGCAATAAACGGGAAAAAATCCCATTGATTTATGTTGAAGGAGGGATACGAGTTCAGAAAATCATTGGGCCACTTTTCACTTGGGCCAGTAACATTGCAGTAACTGCATATAGTTTGATGGCAGCGAATGCTGTGTTGAAGGGAATCCAAGCACACCAGCAGGTTCAGGCACAGCCCAGACCCAGAGTGCTGGACCGCAGCTCACCTGTCACACTGGCGGCACTGCAGGATGATCTCCTCCTCATTGTAGTCCTGCTGGCACAGTGGGCATGATGCCAGGCTGGCGCAAGGGGCACACTGAGTGTAATTATTCTGCCACTCACACCTCAGACCCGCAGACGTGGCGCCGCACTGCGTACAGGACACACACCTGTGGGAGGCCCAAGCAGGCACAATGACATTAATCACACACCACACGGCTCCACCAATTTTACCACCCGCTCGTATCAATACATGACAGGTAAAATACTTCTCATTAATACGTCTTTGGAAAATTGTTAATAAAAGGTCCTCTGGTATCCTTAAATGAACCGCAAAGTATAAAAACAAAAACAACATTTGAAGCAGTTTTCAAAGCACAGTTGAAGTACGAAAATTTTCTAAACCTATGTAAAATTTGGATTTTTTTTTAGCATTATATTAATTTAAATATGTATTTTAAAGAGAAAAGTGTCAATTGTGAAACAATGTGGAATACCATTTGCATTTCCAGCTCCCATTGGGCACATTCTGCAGGGGCGGGTCTAAGCAGTAGGTGTGGTAGCTGATGTCACAATCGTCACAGAGCAGCAGACGTCCCGGGTCGCTGGCCTGACCACACGCCTCGCACACGGTACACTCCAAACACCGCCAGCCTTTACTCAACACCACCTTAGTGATCTGACAACCAATACATATCATTTAACATGAGGCAGCATGCATGTGAAGACTTTCCAAAAAACAAAAGAACACAGTAGCTTTCAGTAGCGTTTTTTTTTAAAGACCACTTCTTTTTGTTTCACAAAAAAGCTGAATTTTCAGCATCATTATTACTCTTCATACATTAGTCTTCAGTGTCACATGATCTTTCAGAAATCATTCTAATATGATGATTTGATGCTCAAGAAACATTTCTTGTTATTATCAATGTGGTGCTACTTAATATTTTTTTGTGGAAACATTGTTTTTTTTAGGATTTTTTGATGAATAAAGGTCAAAAAAACTTTGAAATAGAAATCTTTTACATTATAAATGTCTTTACTCTCAATTCAATGCAAGTGTTCTGCAATGTGCTTATTGCGCTTAAAGGATTAGTTCACTTTTGAAAAAACTTTTCCTGATAATTTACTCACCCCCATGTCATCCAAGATGTCCATGTCTTTCTTTCCTCAGTCGAAAAGAAATTAAGGTTTTTGATGAAAACATTCCAGGATTTTTCTCCTTATAATGGACTTCCATGGGAACCAGGTCCAACCGAGGTCCAAACGACAGTTAATAACAGTTTCAGATGCAGCTTCAAATGTTTTTAAACGACACCAGACGATGAATAAGGGTCTTATCATGCGAAACGATCGGTTATTTCAACGCTTATTCCAAAAATTTTACTTTTCAAAGGACAAATGCTAGCCTTTCTCCATTCTGTGAGGCGCGTTTGCAACGTCGCGTAATACGTAATTACGTTCAAAAGGTCATGGGCGACGTAGCCGGAAGTACAGAGTCAGTGTTTACAAGTTGAACGCATAGGTTGAACGTGCAAACTAGCTCAAACGCCGTTTACAAAAAAGGAATTAAAAGGTAAAACAACGATGTCGGACGATTTTGATTCTGTACTTCCGGCTACGTCGCCCGTGACCTTTTGAACGTAATTACGTATTACGTGACGTTGCAAACGCGCCTCACAATATATTACAAGGCTAGTATTTGTCCTTAGAAAAGTTACATTTTTGGAATAAGTTTTGAAATAACCGATCGTTTCGCATGATAAGACCCTTATTCATCGTCTGGTGTCGTTTAAAGACATTTGAAGCTGCATCTGAAACTGTTATTAACTGTCTTTTGGACCTCGGTTGGACCTGGTTCCCATTGAAGTCCATTATAAGGAGAAAAATCCTGGAATGTTTTCATCAAAAACCTTAATTTCTTTTCGACTGAGGAAAGAAAGACATGGACATCTTGGATGACATGGGGGTAAGTAATTTATCAGCAAACGTTTTTTCAAAAGTGAACTAATCCTTTAAATGGTCAAATAGAGTAAATGTCAAGTATTAAGTTAAAGGGATACTCCACTTTTTTTTGGAAATGGGCTCATTTTACCACTCTCCCAGAGTTAAACAGTTGAGTTTTACCGTTTTCAAATCCATTCAGCCGATTTTCTGATATTTAGAAGAATATCAGTAACCAGACAGTTTCTGGTCTCATTGACTTCCATAGTAGGAAAAAATATACTGTGGAAATCAATGAGACCAGAAACTGTCTGGTTACTGATATTCTTCTAAATATCAAAAAACCGGCTGAATACATTCGAAAACGGTAAAACCCAACTGTTTAACTCTGCGGGAGTGGTAAAATGAGCCTATTTATAAAAAAAAAAAACAGTATTTGGTACATAAAAAACAATACTGTTGTGTAACAGTATATTTGATCTGTGCATAAGCTCTTAAAGTGACAGCAATCTAATATTCCTGCTGCTGTCATGTTAATCAAAGAACAAAAGACAAAGAAAATCACTCTGCTCTTGAATGAATAACTTTTGTAACTTTAGTTTGAAGTATTAATTAATTATTTTTTTAGAATAAAAACGATCACCGATGAATTACATTTGATTACTTTCATTTCTGTAGTATTTCTCACCTGAATATTGTTAAACACACCTGAAAAACTTAAAGCCACGCTTATTTCAGTTGTCTCTTTATTCTATTGTATTTATTTGTCTAAATAGGCCTATGTCACGAAAAAAATTAAAGACGTCTTTTAGTAGGGATACAGCTCTTCCGGTTAGCTTTTTACAATGGTGGAGTCCGATAGATAGAGCTGGACCAAATCTCTCCCCAACCTGCCTGAAGCCACATATGACGATGTGGTTCGGATGGTAAATATAAACTCTCTAGTGGGAAAGCGTGAAAGCGTGAAGCTACCAGAGCAACCCGGTACACTTCAACAACAGCCGTGGGTAGCTCTAGCCGTTTGCCAGTAAGGAAAACATTTCTATGGTAACAGCAAGTTAAACCAATCAGCAGACGTTGCTGCTACGCTTAGGATTGTGGGTAGTGTAGTTTTTTCATAAGATCACGGATAAAACATGTTTTTCTGTTTTATTTGATTTCATACAAACTTATAGCTTCAACAGGAGCAAAATCCTTCGTTTCACAACCTCATAGCTCGTGGTCAGTCTACCTCGGATGGTTTAGACAATAGGGCTGATAATCTAAATCCTTATCGAAAAATACTGTTGACCGGAAGTTGTGTGTCCCTACTACACGATCCGGAAGCAGGAAGTGTGACATAGGCCTATTTGTGGTTATTTGTTCATATTTTATTACTGACTGTTTACTTGACTTTTTTTGTAAAAAAAACAAACAAAGCTATTCTGTGACCTAAATTCTCTATAAAAATAAAAACACGAGATAATACCAAATGATCTGTATGGTGCCACAGTTTTTCCCAAATATTTTTCACGGTATCGTATCGAGCATGGAAATTCCAGTATCATGACAACACTACTATATATGTCTCCTTAAGTAATTTCAGTATTTTTTTCCCATTATTTAATTTTCTTACCAGGTCCAGTACCATCTAAGTTTTTTTTTTCCAGTCATAATTAACGCTACAATCATCACCTCAAAGGGAAGGATATAATGCCGTTGAAAAGCGCTCACCTTTATGTTAACACAGAAAGGATGGTAACACTGTCCACACTGAGCACACGCCAGGAGTCGACCCTCCACACCCTGTCCAAAACTTCCACACACCACGCACATATCCTAAGAAAAAGAACACAAACACCGACACGTACCCCTGTAAGAGAGCAGCAGACTCCACACATACGGCTGTAAGCAGCACCGACTGCTCGGAAACATTCACTTTTACCTGTTTCAGAGTGAACGTGTCTGTACTAGAGAAAATCACCACTGTACTGTGCATGGCGCTTTCCTCCTCTTCCTTGAATACGCACATTGGTTCCATGATGTTGACCTGCAGAGATACAGACCATGCAAACAAATTGAAAAACAGTCACGCTATAGTTATATATCCACATATCAGAACAAACAAAAGTGTTAGCTGTCAGTTAATGTGACGTACTCCTGGTATTGGGATTGGAGGGACTCCATTTTTCATTCTGGCACGGCCACGTCCTCCCCGTCCTGTGACACCCGAACCCCTGGGCCGCCTCCTGCCGGGGAAGCCAGATCCTCTGCCCTGGTGACACAACAGAGATACCATCAGGGTCGCCCTCTCCGGGATCGAGATGATGGGGCGAAAGGATTTTGTTAATGCATTGGCTTCTACTTTGCCCACCGGGAGCTAGTAATAGCGTTATAAGTGTGATAAATTACACTACAATTCAATTGCATGTGCTTATACATATGTAATAACAACATAAATGTTTGGGGTCAGTAAAAAATTAAATAAAATCAATGAAATTAATACTAAACTGAAAAAAATGCCATCATTTTGATATTTCAATTCATCAAAGAAATCCTGGGGAAACAAATGTATGGTTTCCACAAAAAAAATCAACATTGATGATAATAATAATAAATGTTTCTTGAGCAGCAAATCGTCACATTATCATTATGTGGAGTAATGATGCTGAAAATTCAGCTTTACCATCATAGGAATACATTACATTTTAAAAATATATCAAAATAGAAAACTACGGAGCCCCTCTAGTCCCACTTTGGTAAAAAAAAATTATTATAACTATCTTGTGGCCTCAAGATAGTAACTCGTGGCCACAAGATACTAACTCGTGGCCTCAAGATACTAACTCGTGGCCTCGAGATACTAACTCGTGGCCTCAAGATACTAACTCGTGGCCTCAAGATAGTAACTCGTGGCCACAAGATACTAACTCGTGGCCTCAAGATACTAACTCGTGGCCACAAGATACTAACTCGTGGCCTCAAGATACTAACTCGTGGCCACAAGATAGTAACTCGTGGCCACAAGATAGTAACTCGTGGCCACAAGATAGTAACTCGTGGCCACAAGATAGTAACTCGTGGCCACAAGATAGTAACTCGTGGCCACAAGATAGTAACTCGTGGCCTCAAGATAGTAACTCGTGGCCACAAGATAGTAACTCGTGGCCTCAAGATAGTAACTCGTGGCCTCAAGATAGTAACTCGTGGCCACAAGATACTAACTCGTGGCCACAAGATAGAGTTACTATCTTGAGGCCACGAGTTACTATCTTGTGGCCACGAGTTACTATCTTGTGGCCACGAGTTACTATCTTGAGGCCACGAGTTAGTATCTTGTGGCCACGAGTTAGTATCTTGTGGCCACGAGTTAGTATCTTGAGGCCACGAGTTAGTATCTTGAGGCCACGAGTTAGTATCTTGTGGCCACGAGTTACTATCTTGAGGCCACGAGTTACTATCTTGAGGCCACAAGATAGTTATAATTAATTTTTTTTACCAAAGTGGGACTAGAGGGGCTCCGTAGAAAACAGTTATTTTAAATTATAATAAAATTTCACAATATTACTGATTTACTATATCTTTAAATCAAATAAATGCAGCCTTGACCCCGAACCTTTTTTTTTTTACTAAATACTTTACAGCTTAGCAGAAGTAAAAAAAAAAAATCGAAAGACTACTATAGAAATGTCCATTCTTTTGAATTAATTTGCATAACATATCCAACTAAAGTGCATTATTTAATGACATGAGAGTGGGATGAAGGTGGAAACTCTATGAAGAGGATTTTTACAAAACAAAGACAAGATTTTCAAGTACATGATAGTATATGATCAAAAAAAAAATACTAAGTACTTTTTTAAACGATTAGACTAGATTAACAAACATGTCTGACATGTGATTAAATGGAGCGATAAAAGAAGGGCACATCATTTAATGGTCCGACCAGTGTAGCCTTCAACTACTTTTCCTGTCATCTCGAAGTTGGTCAAACAAAGGAGAAGACTAACTTCATCTAATTTCTCTACATACCACTTCAAAGAGCCTTTTTCAAACACTCTTGGCAATTTAGGTCTTTTGTACTGACAGGACTGAAGCAATTTTAACTCGTAAAGTTAAAGTTTTCTTTTCTATTTAATGAACGGCCTACCAGCTCAACTTTAATGCACTGTGATCAAATAACCAACCAGAAACAAACACGACTCTCCTTCAATTTAACTAGCTGTCATAGTGGAGCAACATTCCCCATAATAACACCAATTTTGGAGAGACTGTGACACTGTGTGTGAGATGGCATCTGAGGGAGCTGCCAACACGGCTATCAGGCTGTTGAGAAGCCCCGGCCGTGTTATTCTAGCGATTTCACTTCTATTACGCTGTCAGCACGTTTCCTTTCCTCCGGGGCCGACATTCTGACTGACACAATGAAAACCCTTTCCAAGAATTACACTCCCTCCCCCATCTACTGTTCTTCTCGCTGGACCGTAATTTCACTCGTTCTTTCAACTTCTGCCTCTGCCACTCAGACTTGATGCTTTTTAAATTGGTCTTTACATCATCTCTTTTATTCTACCTGACTTTACAAAAAAAGACTGTGGGGGTACCATTGTACAGTGATGGTATACTGGATAGTAATGCCACTGTACTGAGATGTATCTTTACATTGAATTAGGGCTAGGTGATGCGCCGGTTTCATTATTTTCCAGCTTCTGTTGCATCGTATTTGAGATCAAGATTTCACTTTCACCTTTATTTTTTTATTAATTTTAAAACTATATTGCAATGTATAAAAGAAAAACAAAAACTGATAAAATAAATAAATGAATGAGGGATTTTTTTTATTGAAAAAAATGTATTAAATGAAAAATATTAAATTTTGTAGTAATGTAGTTACAGGAAAAAAATACATATCATGTAATCATTTTATTATAATTTATTTATTATTATATGGAAAAACAAAAAGTGATAAAATAAATAAATGAATAAGGGATTTATTAGTTGAAAAAATTGTATTAAATGAAAAATATTAAATTTCGTAGTAATGTAGTTACAGAAAAAAAATATATATCATGTTATCATTTTATTATAATTTATTTATTATTATATGGAAAAACAAAAACTGATCAAATAAATAAATGAATAAGGGATTTTTTTATAGGAATTTTTTTATTAAATTAAAAATATTAAATTTAATAGTAATGTAGTTACCGACTTTTTTATCATGTTATAATTTTATTATAATTTATTTATTATTATATGGAAAAACAAAAAGTGATAAAATAAATAAATGTAAATAAGTGATTTTTTTATTGAAAAAAAAATTAAATGAACAAAATATTAAATTTTTTATTAATATAGTTACAGAAATATATATATATAAAATGTTATAATTTTATTATAATTTATATATTATTATATATATTTATATATTATTATATTATATTATTTAGATATTTAAATACATTTAAAATATATTTATTTTAATATTTATTTTTGTAATATTTGATGACACCTTATTTCACAGTGTCCTCGTTACATGTATTTGCAATAGTAATTACAGTAAAATATACTATAAACCACACCCTATAGTACATCTTAATTGACATTACTCAGTATTACTCAGTATATAAATCATCAGTTAGTTTGTACTTAGAATGATTCTGAATTTACAAAAAAAGGTTTTATGCACAAATATATGCATATGTTTATTTAACGAATGAGGCCCATTATTGCTACATTTCATCACAAGAAAAATACTGCAAATATATTGTGAATAATCACTCGCTCCAGTAAAGACATATAATTACCACCATATGCCAATGCCATTGTACTTTTAAGTAAGTGTTTCCTTTCCATTAAATCCTATTCCCATTTCCCTGTTTCCTCATAGTAGATCATAGCACCTCACAGTAGATGCTATTTTCTTTAGGTGACCCTTGGCAAATACTACCCAACACGCTCGTTGTCAAGACATGATAATAGGACCTGGTCTGGCCCCGTGCCCAGATGATTATGATGGCTCCAGCGGCTCAGGAACAGATGGACCTGTAGGCCAGCGAGACCCCTACCAGAGCCAACATGGCCACTGCGAGACCCCTACCAGAGCCAACATGGCCACTGCGAAGCCCCTGACCCCTCAACACGCAGCACATCTGCTCCTACCCACGGGCTACGGCTCACGACGTGAAGACATTCAGAACTCATTTTCATTCATTAGCCCAAGTCAAGCCAGGTCATAGAAAGAAAAGCACTGTGCATGCTGGGAAAAAAAATCGGTTAGATACAGACCATGTTAGTGACAATCATAAAGTGCTGCGGCTGTTTCTGACATGAAAGATGCAACATAGAATTTGTCTAGTCAAAATCCAAATCCATTGTTATGACTACCTCTTCAATGTGTTGGCCCTGCAGCGACTCTCATATGCATATATCCATATGAACTCAAGACTGTCTGCACTGGAAGTCCAATTTTATACAGACCAATTTCTGATGGCACTATAAACTTGATGTTAGATTCCTGCCACAGTAAAATGGTTAAATAACTATAATGTTTATTTTATTTTATTTAAAAAACATTAAAAAAATCGTAATTATTCCAAACTTTTCAATTCAGTGTGTGTGTATATATATATGTATCTATATGTATATATATTTTAGGGCTGTGCAAAATTAATTGCAATTAATCGCATCAAAAATAAAAGTTTGTGTTTACATAATATATGTGTGTGCTGTGTATAATTATTTTGTATATATAAATACAGTACATATGCATGCATGTATATATTTAAGAATTGTTTGCACGTAAATAATGTATATATATATAAATACATCATCTATATTATATATATAAATATTTTAAATATGAATAACACATTTTCTTAAATATATACATGCATGTGTGTGTATTTATATATACAAAATAATTATACACAGCACACACAAATATTATATAAACACAAACTTTTATTTTAGATGCGATTAATCACAATTAATCTTTGCACAGCCTTAATATGTATATCATAACTTTACTAATTCAATGCTAAATTACTATTATTAATATATATATATATATATATATAGGTATAAAAATGTAATTTCTATACATAATGTACACTATATTATTTATAATTTACATTATTAAATAAAATAAAGTAAATTTTTATTATTTAATTTTAAAACTATATTGCAATGTATAAAAGAAAAAATAATAAAAAAAAACTAAAAAAATGAATAAGTGATTTTTATTGAAAAAAACATCTTAACTATTCAAATTGTTTCCCCCCAGTGTGTATATATACTAAAATGTATAAAGAAAAAAATAATCAAAAAAAGAAAAGAAACTGAAATTTATTATTTTATTTATTTATATATTTATTTATTTATTATTTATATATTTTATTTATTTATTTATTTATTTATTTATGTATATTTATTTTACTTAATTATTCCAAACTTTTCACCCCAGTGTGTGTTGTGTGTGTGTGTGTGTATATATATATATATATATATATATATATATATATATATATATATATATATAATTGGTAATTTTGTATTATTTAATTTATAAAAATTTAACTAAAATGTATAAAAGAAAGGAAATACAAGATCAAATAAATCAAACAAAAACTGTAAATATAAATAAAGGAGGGAAATCCATCAGCTGAAGGTGTGCGGACTCGGCTATTTCCAGTGTAGACAGCTTTATTGACTGACCATAATGAGAACTATTAAGTATCGTCATGTCGTCCAACTCCCAACTGAGGGTCTGTGTAATATTTAGCTGTATTTACCACACGGATTATCCAGGCGGCCATGCTGTGGGGCTGCCTGCTCTTTGGCCCGTCCCAGCCCTCAGTCGGGTCAAGGGACCATGAGGGGGAGCTCGGTCTGCGGGAGGCGCTCCATGCTCCCTGAAGATGGGGTGGGTTAGAGAGAAAGAGGAGGAGGAGGAGATGTGGGCGAGAACATGCAACAACTTAAATACAGCCAGCAAAGAAACATACAGATACATGCATGTACGAACAGACATGGTTAACAGAGAATGTGAATGAACAAACAAATAAAAAATGACATTTGAGACATTGAAGCATTTCCTGAAAAAAATACATCTGATTAAATTGCTCTCAAGCATGCAAACAAAAAAACGTCCTTTGAATTAGAAGTATTGCTTCTAGGGCAAGACTGTTTTCTGAAAGACTGCATGCGCAAATGATGGAAAGGACCAGCGAAACAGAATCCTCTGCTCTAGGAAGATGTGACATGTTTTTTTTGTTTTTTTTGTTTTTAAATGTCATCAGTGCCTTAACAGACGCTCAAGGTCAAGTGTGTCCAAACACAGTCTTTGTGGGTCAGTAAAAATGTCTAATTTTGTTTAAATGTCTTTTGTTTTGAACTTGTCATTCATTTTAGACTCCTGGAATCCACATCTTTTTCAACACTGATAATAATAATAAATGTTTCTTCTATCAAATCATCATCTTAGAATGATTTCTGAAGGATCATGTGACACTAAAGACTGGAGTAATGATGCTGAAGATTTAATATAATAAATTATATTAAAATAGAAATAAGTTATTTTAAATTTCAATAATGTTTCTTTTTACTGTATTTTAAACGCAGCATTGGTGAGCAAATAAGACTTGTCACTTTTGACCAATTTATTAAATAAATAATGTATAATGAAATAAATAACAAATAAAAGTAGTAATTTCTTTAAATGCACTGACCCACATTGTCTTTATTTGCAGTATTGTTATAATTTTCTTAGAATTGACTTAGAAATGTCTCTTAATTTACATCATTTACTCTTGATTTGATTACTCTTAACTCATAGATGAATTATTTATATTAGGGCTGTCAAATGATTAATCGTGATTAATCGCATTCAAAATAAAAGTTTGCGTTTACATAATATATGTGGGTTCACTGTGTATAATTATTTATATACAGTATATAAATACACACACATGCTTGTATATATTTAAGAAATATTTTCATGCATATACTGTATATAGATTTATATATAATTTATATTATATATAAATATAAATATTTTATATATTTAAATAATATTTTTTCTTACATATACATGCATGTGTGTGTGTATTTATATATATATATACAAAATAATTATACACAGTGCACCAACATATATTATTTAAACACAAATTTAATTTATATGTAATAATATTTAATTGTACATACATGCACATTTAATTAATAATTAATTCATATTGAAATATTAAAAATTTTTGAATAAAGGTGAGTTGCACACTGGAATGACTTTGACTTTTCTTGCTGTCAATAGAGCATTCGTCTGCGATTCGTTTCACTGTTGCTTGCGAACAGGCCTATACTGTTATAGAGAGGCCTGGCATCAGAATGCCTGTGCTACCTTAGTTGCCATGACAACAGAGAAACTCTCCGTCTTGTTTACAAACGCATGTGATTATGCCAGAACGACAACACATGACTCGAGCACACAAAGGGTGCAAAAGAGCAGGCCTCTTACAGCCGCCTAATTCCTCTAATTAATCCGTTTGTGGCTATAAAGTTAATTAATACTTAGCGATCATCCGGAAATCACGATGATGGCTGTGACTTAAGACTTGCTCAATTAAAACGTAAAGCTGCCTGAAGTGAAATTAACACGTCTGTTTTTAAACAAATATGCAAATGCGTGTGTGCGCTTGCTCTGAGGAGCATTCTGGGTGCAGCTTTCGCCATGTCTGTCAGGAGAAACGCTATACGTCGGAAGGTTAACAGGAAAACACAATCATAGACAGGATGTGATGCATGAATGATGATCTGATGGCTGAGTATGACATGTATGTGAGAAGTCTGATGCCGAAATAATTCCCTTTGAATTGATATTAGAAGCCTGTGTCATATCTCATAAAATGTTCAATTTATCACACGTGTTGTCTATAATCAGGCTTACAAGCACAGAAGTTCACATTTCCCCATGAGCAGCACTTTTACATTCACAAATCACCAATATTTCCAGTGGAGAGCATATCTGAGGGTTTAGACTAAAACATATCGAAACATGCTAAAGAGTAAAATGAAACGGCTAATCACAATTGTGAGGTATAGTGTAGCATTTACAAGCAATAGTCACAATTATGAAAAAATATGCAATTACAGGACAATTACAGGAAACTAGGGCTGTGAAACGATTAATCGCGATTAATCTCATCCAAAATAAAAGTTTGTGTTTACATAGTATATGTGTGTATAATTATTTTGTATAAATAAACACACCCACATGCATGTATATATTTAAGAAATGTATATATATTCATACAAAATTAATATTATACATAAATAGATATATTTGATATATTAATAACACATTTTTCTTAAATATATACATGCATGTGTGTGTATTTATATATACAAAATAATTATACACACTACACACACATATATTATGTAAAAATAAACTTTTATTTTGGATGCGATTAATCTCGATTAATCGTTTCACAGCCCTACTACAGGAAACATCTTTGCAGTTGTTGTGAGATACCATATCGAGAAAAAGTCGCAATTACGAGAAATAGTCACACAAATGCGAGATATATTGTCTCAATTACAGGAAACAAGTCGCAATTGTGAGATACAACATCATATTGAGATAAAAGTCCCAATTACGAGAAATAACATTGCAATTACGAGAAATAAAGTCACAATTACAGGAAAAATTCCATAATTGTGAGATACGTCATATTGACTATACGATTGCAATTATAAGAAATAACGTTACAGTTACGAGAGTTATAACTACGAGAAATACTTTTAAAATTGTGAGATTTAAAATCAAATGATGAGTTATAAACATTTCATGAGATACAAAGTCACATTGTTGGATATACAGTCACAATTACAAGAAGTTAAGTCGCAGTTGTGGCTTTGATTTTATTTGCTGTCGAGATCCCAAATAACGAATCAGAATCGGACACGGCAACAACACAGATTTGAACCGAACTGAATTGAATTGTCTGTCTGAACAGAATGCTATGCTATCTACAAAAAAATAAATAAAATAATAAATCTGCATAATAATGAATTGATCATAAAGTATATGACTGACCTGCTTGACTCTGGGCCTTCCAGGTGAGAACTTTCTCTTCGAGATGGCCGGCTTGCCCATGCCGATTTTTGGAGTGAATGGTATGAAGGTGGATGAAGGCACATTGCTAATGGCTTCTCCTGAGACAGCCTGGACCAGGGCATGGAGCTGGGACGACCCCTGCCCTAACGAGGGCAACCCCTCAGGCTGCCTGCATGGAGTTTGCTGTAAAGACGTCCTCTCCTCCACCAGTGAGCTCAGCTTGGCCAAGCATCGCTGATCAACATCCATAGAGATGTCCAATTGCTCCGTGCGCCTCTCAGGAATGACGTCGTGCTGCCGCGACATAACATCCAAATCCTCCTGGCTCTGAACTACTGGCGTAGTCTTGTCAGCACTGACCTCAGGCTCTACAGTAACTCCATGCGCCTTTGAGGAAGGTTCCTCTGTGAAGGAAACCTCCATGGGTTCTTCCTCATGGGAAGTACAGGCTGGAGTTGGCTCTTTGGTGGGTGATGGGTTGGATTTCTGCTCCTCCAGGCAGGGTTTGCTGTCATCCTCACTTTTGGAAATGTTTTCCGTGAGCGTAGCTGAAGTCTCTGGAAGCTCCTCTGTTTCAAATGACGTCACGAGCTGCTTCGTCTCTGGAGCCGAATCCAGTTTCTGCTCGTGCGGCTCTGAATCTTCAGGATCTGTTGTCTTTTGAGGAGATGGAACTGCAACATGGAACATTCCAAAATCAACATTCAAAATGACTTGCAAAGATTTCAAAAACTACACAGGGATTTTCCACTGCGGGTCACACGGTAAAATTGAACCATAATGGAATTTTTATAACAATACTGACCATTATTGTTAGAATTACATTAAGAAGCAGGCCATTTGAGCTTATTTTATGACATAGACCTGATGCGGATGCCACTCTTAGAAGAAATGGTTCTATTTAGAACCAAAAATGGTTCCATCCCCCGCTTCATATATGGAACTCCAAAATGGTTCTATATAGAACCATTTTTTTGGGTAAAAGGTTCTATTGGCCATGTATGGAACCACAGGGTTCTATATAGAACCCAGAGGAACCCTTTTTTTAAGAGTGTATAGAACCTTTTGGGGTTCCAAATACGTAGCGCTGATAGAACCTTTTAAGGTTCTATTTAGAACCCTTTCTTCTAAGAGTGTGGTATAAATGGTATATAATGGTATAGAGCAGTGTTTCTCAAACTCGGTCCTGGAGGGCCACTGTCCTGCAGAGTTTAGCTCCAACCCTGCCCCATCAAACACACCTACCTGTGAGTTTCCAGTGATCCTAAAGACCTTGATTTGCTTGCTCAGGTGTGTTTGATCAGGGTTGGAGCTAAACTCGGCAGGACAATAGCCCTCCAGGACCGAGTTTGAGAAACCCTGGTATAGAGGGCATGCACGTGATGTCACCGTCGGCCGGAGTGCCTGCAGTGAATCACAGTGAGTGGCAAAAAGACTGAGCGGCTGTATTTGTTTTCAGCGTGAATGCCGGGAAAAACACACACAACACATATAAAGTGGGAAAGAGCTTTGCCTTTGACTGTACAACTAGATTTGACAAAAAAAATCGGAGATATATTTTTACAGGCTGCTTTAGAAAGAGGAGCAAATGGATCGCTGCAATTCACAGAAACAACTGGACTAAGTCAGCGAAAGGTGGATTTGCAGTTATCATTTTGTGTCAATATGCTGAATTTAGCTGTAAAACCATACCCATATATTTTTTATTGGTATATATATTAACAACTCATCGATGAAATATTTATCATTGCATATTCTGCATTATTGGATGTTTTTTAATAAACACTGACCCAAAAAAAATAAAAAAAAACTATAAAGTTTTAGGGCTGGACGATATGATGATATATATAGGCTTTATGTAACACTGATATAAGTCATCACCCGGATTTAGACCTACCTATATTGAATTTATACAAAGCGTTCACAGGCAAATTTGCTTTATGTTTAGGTCTATATTGCCTGGTGTCGAAATCAGGCAAACATAAATGTCAGGCAACACGATTCCATGGGTCAATATCCATGGATCACTGGATCTTATAGTAAGTTCTAAGGAACACTATATTGAGTCCAAAATTTAGTTTAAATTGCTAAAATTGTTCGTTTTAGTCGCATTTTCGCAGTTTCCCCTATTAAATCCAGTCACGCAGCAGATCTTTTGCCACTCAGGGGTTGTTCCGGCGGGAAAGTGACATCAATGCATTCCCTTTCATGACAGGTTAAAAAAAAAATATTAATTGAGAGAGTTAATGGATTATTTGTACATTAGACAGTACAATATCATTAAAAATGGTCTTGTAAATGTAACCTGGTAAATAGAAATGGAGGAAAAGAAAAGAAATGGCAACCTTACACGCTTGGTCAGATACATTAAAATGTATTTTGTTGGCATGTGAAAGCAAAGTGGACTATTTAGCATTAGAGAAAATGTTATGCATTTAAATATATGCAATAAAATTGTTAATGTTCCATTAAGTCAACCTTAAATTAAATGTACATTTATTTATTCAGGAGATGCGTTTATCCAAAGTGGAAACCATACAGGAGCCATTAAAAACATAATAATTATAATACTAAAGCAGGGCGGTACACAGCTAGAGATTTGTTTTCGTTCCAATTTAACATTTGTAATTGTTTATATATTTATTTGTATTTTATTTATTGTTAAAGACTACTTGGACCAAACAAAAGAAGAACGTTTTTTCTTCATAATCTTTATCAAAATGTATATTTATCAACCTTTCTGATATGCAACATCCACTTTTCACAACTGAATCGCAATGCACAAAATCACATCCGTCCGATTACATTTTCTCTCGGTGAATATCCTGCCCTGAAAATGTCAGATTACATAAATACAATGGGATGTGAATGCTGTTTTATGCTGACTTCAATTTTTATTTCAGAATTTATGGTTATGGACTAGCTAATTGCTTGTGGAAGACGAGTGTCTTCGGATGTTATCGTCAAATGTTCATTTAACCGTCAAAGGATTTCTGAATATTTCAACAAATTCATTCTCAACCACTTGTTTTGAATAACTAACATGTACAGGATCTTGGTTATGGTTAAGATAAGGACATCTACAGTAATATTAAATGTAAGTGTGCGTCACTGAAAGCAAACATATTAGATGAAGTACCTGAAGTACTTTCTTTTTCTGTGCTGTGGTGTGAGGTCTCGCTGGACTCTGGCTTGAGTAAATCGCCACTAGCGTCTGCACCAATTTCTAGAGGGGGGGAATCAATAGAGAGACCCGACTTATGTTATGTAATACAAACTGCTCTAAGCACTAGTGGAAATAATTACAGGACTGGAAAAACAACTCAACAGGATAGAAAAGTGCAGGGGAAAGAAAGTGTGAACGCAGGCACATATGGCATGTGTGTTTTTCAGAAAACACTGCTCAAGAGAATACAATGGCTTTGAGCAGTGCACAAATACTGACGGTAATCTTCACCTCCTATTAGGACAATTTATCTAGTGTGTTTGTGCCTCTGACTACACTATAGCATGCTTTATTGTCCTCTTACTGTCTATAACATTGCTCTCTTCTGTTCAGTGTATGTCTGGAACAACACATTTCCACCTCAGGCACTTTAAGTCATTGATCCTGAGGGCCTTATCAGATCAATCACCTCATATCTCCACTAGGAACAGATAACCAGCCATTACAGACATCACATAATCACAGAAGACTAAATGACTATTGTGCGGAGCGGCTGACATTAGCCGAGCACCATCTGAAGTAATTAGAGGGCAGGTTTCTTTCTAATCAGAAGAGCAGTAGATGGAGATCATGATTCTGATCTGGACATGTGACCGCTCGAATAGAGAGAAGATACAGGCATACAATAATGACTCATGCTTTCGGTAATTCAGCACATCTTTTAATTACGGGAAGAAGTGATACTTAATACTTATGGGTTGTTATGTCAGATGAAGTCGGTTTTGGGAAATAGATGATGGTTATACAGCCAATTCCTTCAATTTCAATGTCAATGTCAATGTCAAGTTAAAAGGCCATTTCATGTATTTTTGTTGTTATATATATATTTTTTTTTTTCTTGAGTTAGAAATTCACAATAGGTACTATATAGGTTAATGACCGGTTTTAGAGCTGTTTTTAATTTTTTTGGCATCAGACATTATTGGATATTTAATTACTCATTTCCTCTATTTTTACATTTAGATTGCCTGTACAATTTACCCGTCAGTTTGCCTTTAAAAACATTTAATAAGAAAGCTGTTCATTAATAAGTTAAAGTAATTAAAAAATTTCTAAATAAACTATAATGTTTATTTCATGGAAGGTTTACTTCTGACATCTCTTATTCTGTTAGAGAGAGAAAGAGAGTAAAAGAAAAGAGAATGACGAGTCACACTGGACCAAGAGCAATTGGGCATCATCTACAAAGGTGAACAAGGTTAACTCTATGCTGAAAACAAGCCACTCTCAAATCAATGTGAGGGTCAAAGACCAATGAGCAGAAGTCTTGAAGTCTTTAAAAAGCTAGTTGCGGTAAAGGCATCATCTTCATCCAGCATCATCACCTATGACCATGTAACAAATTTCAAAATACAAAAAATATATTCTTATAATATATATATATAATATAACATTATATATCATAAAGTAGATGGGCGATAAATCGATATTGAAATGTATCAACAAAAATTAGCCTAATCCACAATATCGATTGTAAACATTTGACAACAACATGCCAACTAACCACCAAAGTTAAAGTTTGGTTTAGCTTGAAGAAATTATAACAGAAATAAATGACTATTGTATAGTAAAATGTTCTCAAAGTAAAAATAATAATGATCAACGTAGTAATCTTTAAATATATTGTATTATTATTTTAAAGGATTACCATAAAATTCAAGATATTTTACTTTATATATGTTTTATGTCTGTATTATGTCATTAATACATGCATGTCATTGTGTCAGTATATAAGTTCTGTAGTGCAGCACTGTATTTGACGAAAAATAACAATATGTTTTAAATGAATTGTTATATTTTCATTTGACTACATTTTTAAAAGATTGATTAAAATCTTAATTTTTTTATGAATTAATTTCATTAAACACCATTTCTGATGATATTTGTATTAAATAACTAAACATAGAATTCATGGCCTGATTCAGATCAGTTGGACGTGGCTGTGGTTACACGAGGTAAAAACTATATAAATATTGTTTTTTTTCTCACACAAACCGCTCGTTTCGTGTCTTAAGCCATCAATGAGTCATTAAATCATGTTTAAGTTTGACCTCTCTGTGCATGCTCTTTGACGTGGACCCCCATACCTGCATTATATGACTGACAGACAACAACGGTTTGACCGAAAAAAAAAGTCAAAATTGAAAATACTGTGGAAACAAAGACACCTACATCTTGGATCCCCTTGAGATAAGCTAAAACATATCAAAAATTTATTTCAAAGTGAACTATCCCTTTAAGAGGTGTAAAAAGCCATCATCTGAAGCCCAAAGTGTATTTGAAAAGGGTCTCTGTTGTTCATTCGATAATGAACTGCAATGCAAGTAGCATTTACTGTATGTTGTATAAGCATTATACAAGCACGCATATTCAGGTCGCCCTGTGGCACCCTAAATAACCATGAACCCAGCGTGGGATGAGGCCAGATCTCTCACCTCTACACCTAGAGATTTGCACCAGGACGAATAATGCTGTAAAAGGCCTGTGGGCAGCTGCTCTCCTAAAGGTTGAGGAATTGAGTTACTTACACTGTGCTGAGCATTTGTACAGTGACAGCGGGGTGTTAATGTACCGCACACCAAAAGCTGGTTAAACGCAAAGCTGTGATGGAATATTACACATGGAGGAGATTAGTAAAACTTCCTGCAGGTCTGTAAAGTGAGACGGTCTTCAGTATATAGGTGGAAAATTGAACTGCGTGCCATGGAAGACACACGGGTTTGGAAGGTGACGACAAACTGTCATTTTTTATTTAATAATGAGCTATTTCAATGGAAATAGACTTTCTCTGGATTTTTGAAAGCACATAAGCAGAAAATATCACATAAGCAATACTTCCATGGAGTCTAAGCCCTCCCCAGGCAAAGTAGGCCCAGGCAAGTTTCAAATAGCCCTTTCCTCAAGACCAGTCCAGACTAATCCAGACAGATCTGAGGCATGTGGGCCTATGGGATGCTTTGGTCTACTCTTCCACTTCAGCAACTTCTGGCCTGAAGGACTCAGGGTGCTTCAAAGAGCAAGCTCAGTCTTCAAGTTTCAAAGACTCCCAGCTGAACTCCCAGTTACTGGACCAACGTGAAAGTAAGTGAACGGTAAAAAGACAACACCAAACCAATAAGACACAAAAATCGAATAAAAACGTTAAAGATTTCCAAAACCACAAAACGTTTCTCAGAAGCCAAGCCAATAAAAATCCTTAACAAAAACAATTCATTTAAATGTTTCATGCTAAAGGCCTGTTCACACCGGGACGAATTTCGCGTGCGTTATTCGTCAACATCGCCCCGTGCCAATGAGAGTGTGCACACCGGCGCGTAAAAGCGTCATTTTTAATGACGGGTTTTAATGCATTTTTATTTTAATGCCTCGGGTTCATTTTTTTAGTTTGAAAACTATCCGACCAATGAGATTGGCGCTTTTGCTCATGTGTTTGGAGCTTCTGAAGTTACAGTAAAACACAACTTGGGGGCGCTCAAACACAAAACGGTCTTGCCGAACACACATATGCAACGGCGAAGAAGATATGCGCCAAGCAGCGTCGCCGTCTACACAGCCAGGAAGAAATAAGACGAGGAAGATGCAAGGCAAGATGAATGTAGACCTGCTGTTCTTGGTGCTAGAACATAAAGAACTATATGACAAACGCGACAGGGACTACAAACATCTTGATAAAAGAAAACTGATATGGAGTATGGTATTGCAGAGCAAACTGGCACCATCTAATGTCAGGGAATGAAATCGCATGTTCACTCGGCTCATCGTCAGCGAAAATCGCTTGGGTGTGAACACAAAAAACGCTGACGAATAACACGCACTGATATTCGTCCTGGCCTTAAAGCTTAAAACTAGATTTGTTGGGCCATTTAAGAAGTACATTTAAACAACACATACTCAGGGAATTTTTTTTTACAAATGCTATCACTGGGGTAGTACTCTATCAAAAGGTATTAAAATATAATATTTATGCACTAATGATATGGATTTGACTGCACTGACGCTATCGGATGAGAACCATGGTTGGGAACCTTTCAACTGTGTGTATTTAACCGTTTAATGCTACGTTCACACCGGACGCGAATAGCGCGTCAGGCGCGAATGATTTCAATGTTAAGTCAATGCAAAGACGCTTTACGCGCGTGAAAAATTCCTGCAGCGCGAATGAGGCGTGGAGCGAGGCGCGGAAGACGCGAATACGCCTCATTCGCGCGTCAAGTTCGCGCGAAAGGCGCGAATTGAGCGTCTAGCGCGTTACGCGCGAATGATTCAGTAAGTGCCATTTGTGCATTCACGCGTTTGACGCGAATTCGCGTCTGCCGCCCGAGTTGAAAAATTTGAACTTTGGCGTGAATTCGCGCCGCGTTAACCAATCAGGAGCCTAGCTGCTTGCTCACGTGGTGAAGTGTCTGGATGCTTCAATAAATTATTTTGTTAATATGACTAAATGCATGGTGGGATTATGCACAACAAAGCAAATGTTTTATCACTTAAAACATTATTTCTATATACGAGACATGTTCATTTTGTATTGAATGTTATTCATTCCATAGCTAGATTATATGAAATAGTATTATGTTGTAAAGACAATCAACATATGTGCATAAATTCGTGTCTGGACGTGAGAGAGAAAAAAATCACAGGACAGGTTAATAACTTTTGAAGGCTGGCTCTATTTATCATCAAAACAAAAAATAAATGACAGCTAGATTAGATGGATGAGGGCGAGGGTGATCCTCGCTCCGATGCGGGACAACATGTCATCAAACTGGGCGCGGGACAGGCGGAAGTACCGCTGACAGCGGCCGTCATCCAGCGCAGCTCCTGGAGCGAGCAAATGGTGAAACTCGCCAAACGGTTCGGCTCTGAAGGGTCCGGTGGACACAAATATACGGCGACGATGATCCCCACGCCGCTGTTCTGCTCTCCAGAGTAAATACAGAGCGGTAACTCTCTGGATGAATGCTCGGTCGACATAAAAACAATGGCCGCCAACGGATTTCGATTCTGACGCGCGTCACGCGCGTAAATTTCGCTTCAAACTTTTGTTTTTACGCGCGGCAGTTTCGCTCTTGACACGCGAATTAACACAAAGTGGTCAAGCGTCAAACTAGGCGCGAATTTGACGCGCGATTCGCGTCCGGTGTGAACGTAGCATAAGCATGCAACCGAAGACTTGACTTGTATACTTTAGGGCAAGGGTGTCTAATCCTGCTCCTAGAGGGCCAGCATCCAGCAAAGCTTATCTCTAAACCCAATTAATCACGGCTGCATCAGCTAATCAATGCCTCCAGGAATACTAGAAACGTCCAGGCAAATGTGTTGGAGGTAAACTGGCAGGAAAGAAAATGATAACTGCAAGATGTACCAATGCTCATTACATCAAGACACTTAAGCTGGTCTCACCCGTAATTTGTTTTTCGTCCATTTGCTTCTCTTCACTCGGCACCTCGCTGACAGGCTGATGAGGTTCTACGTCTTGAACTTTGGCAGGCTCAGGATCGTTGTTTGATGGAACTAGCTGTGCGTCTTCCTCAACGTCCACATGTGATTGAGTCTCCGCCTGGTTTCCTTCTGCATCCGTGCGCACAGGATCTGATTCAAAGCCGGCGTTTCTACAGCTGGAACATATGTGATCTTCTTTGGGCTGGGCATTTGCGTGACCTTCACACTCTGGGTGGAACCACCTGAAAAAAAAAAAAAGAGGGAGCCAATGATTCACATTTTCACTGCATCCCAAATCAGGTTCCAGATATGGAAAATCTTTGGATCTGCTTAAAGCAGGGGTGTCCAATCCTGCTCCAACTCCAATTAAACATACCTGAACTAGCTAATCAAGGTTTTCCGAGGCACACTTGGAGCTAAACACTTCAGGAGCAGGTTTGGACACCATTGGCTTAATCCTTTTCCAGAGTACAGATCTTTAAAGTAAATGTACCTTTTGCACTGATGGCAAGAAAGCAGGTCTTTGTGGGCTTCGGGATCTACGTCGCTGGGACATGAGCAGGGGAGGGTAGTGTCCTGTTGATCACCACAGTTTTGGCAGAGTAGGTTGTTGTGGTGCCATTGTTCACTGCTCCGGGTGCCACACTCAACACACATCCGGCAGTTCTACAAAACACACAGCTATGATTAGCTATTAGAGCCCGACTGATAAAGGATTTTGAAGGCAGATACCGATACAAATATTTTTGGCTTTTAAAATCCGATATTCCGATATATCGGCCGATATTTTGTTTTTTTATTAAATATTGTTGTATTTCACACACGTGTAAAAGAAAAGCTAACTTTTCTGCACAAGATACGTTTGATACTTTTTCTCTATGTCTAAATGTTCACTCCTCGCAAGTATAACTCACATTTTACAATGCAGGGACTGTAACTAGAGATACTGTATGATAGTAATAAATACAGTAATCATTACTTTATTTAGGCAGAAAAAGTTCATTGTGGTTTCCAAGCTCATTAATGTTAACGTTAGCGGTCTTCCACTGATGATACTAGTGGCATTAGCTAGCTTTGTGGTTAGCTAGTCTATGATGAGCCATAATTTAGCAATAGATGACATCATACTGCAAATTATAAAACATACATTTTCAATATAACAGGCCCAGGAGAGATGATTGAAGCGTGTTTCATCCGTTTTTATTTTTTAAATATTCATTTATCGGCCATTATATTTTGGAAAATGCCTAATATCGGCCGATAATGTTGGCCGGCCGATATATCGGTCTGGATCTATTAGTTAAACTGCATTAAAGAAATGGGACATATTTTGTCATGACAAAAACTAAGTCTACCAGAGCCGCCCATACCTTACACCTCCAGCCGTTGGTGGGGATAGAGTCCATAGCCGGCTGCATGCAGAAAGTGTGATAGCCTTTGTCGCACATATCGCACACTAACATTTTAGTGTCCTCTCCAGGCTCCCTGAAAAATACAAGTAGACAGTTAATTCTGTACAACTGATTCCATTGGCTCATCATTTCTTAAATCAATGAATCTCCATGGCTGTGTCTACATTAATCCAAATACATCTGAAAACGCTTTTTAAAGACGCTCTCCCACATGGATACATTTAAAAACGTAGTTTTTTGCATTGTAATGTGGACTGGGGTATTCCACAATGACATCTATGACACCAATAGATATCTATGGTTATACCATGGTGCTATATTCACTTGCATGTTGCTTAATCTTCATATTACATTTCTGCAAAGATGACATTTACTCGCAACTGTTGTCCTACTTCAAAACTTGGGGGTAATTGCGTTTTCAACCATACATAGAATGGCGATTGAGTGTGACCTGGATTCAACAGTAAGTGGTGGGATATGTTTTGCTAGTAAAATGATTGTGCCAGAAAAATAGCATGAGAACTTTATTACATCTGGTCTTTCTGTATCATATGACTCAGTGAGCTTTTATTACATTTTACACATATGCTGTAAGATGATTTAAGCATTTTCCAACATAGATTAGAAGATTAGCTTTTGGAAAACGACAGATGTCTCCACTTTCCAGTTTAACGTAGGCAAAGCCTATGTCACCCATCAGATTTTTATACAGCATTTAATTGAATGTGTCTCATTAGGGGCTGTAAATTAAGAAGACCATATAAGACAAGAAGAGAAGGTGTCTGTTTATTCCACTGAAAAGCAAAACTACTGCAACCTCAAAGGATATATGAACAAATAAAAGTGAGCTATTGAGGATTCATCTTCAGGAATGAGTAACAGCGCAGGCACGCCATACAGACTGAGGAGAATAAAAGGCAAAGCTAGGCTGCAACTCACTTGCATGTCTGACAGACTTTACACTCGGGGCACTGCCAGCCTGCCCTCTTCAGAGGAGTGACGCTGATGTCCAGACACATGCCGTGGTAGTGCAACCCACAGCTGGTGCAAAAAAACTGGTCCAGGAGATCCCCGGGGCTGTCGCACAATATACAGTTCGACTCCTCTTCATCTGAGAGAGACAGAGACATGAACCCTATTTACCATCTAAATCCAAGCTTTTAGTCTAATTTTGCACTATATAGTGCACATTAAGCTCACTTTACCTAATCGAATCCAATTGACAATCATTTTTACAATTACATTAAATATTTAATTATATTACATATCCAATTAAATATCCCATATTGACTGATACGAATAATTAAAAACGATGTAATATTGTCCGATAACCAATATGGTATAGTGCGTTCCTACTACTGTTGTCTGGTCACCAATGAGATCCTATGGGATTTCTGATGAAAACAACAGAAACATCTAGAATGTTCAGGCAAATTAGATTTCTTTGGCCACAAAAAAGCTAAATTAATGAGTATCAAATTAAATGTGGCCAGTAAGATTTTTTTTATTATTATTAAGAAATCAATACTTTCATTCAGCAAGGATGAATTAAATTGACCAAAAGGGATGATGTGATAAAGACTTTTTATAATGTCACAAAAGGCATTTTCAAAATGCTTTTGTTCCGAGCTTTCCATTCATCCGAGAATCCTGAAAAAAATCTATCACAGATTCCACAAAAACATTAAATAACTGTTTTCAACACTGATAATAATAGGAAATATTTATTGAACATCAAATGAATGATTTCCGAAGCATTATGCGACACTGAAGACTAAAGTAATGATGCTGAAAATTCAGGTTTGGCATCACAGAAATACATTACATTTTAAAATATATTAAAATAGTAAACAAAAATATTTCACAATATTACCATTTTTACTGTATTTTTAATCAAATAAATCCAGCCTTGAAGCAAAATCTAAAAATGAGTTTTCTGTAATTAATTCTGTAAAGTTTTTAATATATTTTTATGTTGTAATACTTTCACATTGAATCTCCAAAATAATGTAGAAGTGTCTTAAAGATATTAGAAGACAGAATATTTTAAATGTTAGTTTGATGGCATCTTTTTACTGTATATGATATGGTATAATTGAAAGTTATAATTTTTTAACATTTAATAGGCTTTAAAAAACATAACAACTTTAATCTTCAAATAAACCTATTGAAATAAATGTCACATTTAGTGGTGGCTTTAATATATGAGGGCTCAAATCTCTAATATAAATATCAGATTTTTACCTGTCTTGCTTTTTTTTTTCTTTTTTCCCTCATACCTTAGAAACAGTGCTTTAAGATTTTCAGGTAGGTGAGGTCTAACAGATAAATATAATAAAAAGAAATATAATATTTTCTGTATCTGCACACTGCAGTCTTCACTGCATAAATTATAAATTCAATATACATTAATCCATTTTAAAGCTACAAAACTTATTCAGTCAAGAGTGATTTTCTTTTGTTCTTTGATTCAAATTAATGACAGACAGCAGCAGGTTCATTGGGCTGCTGTCACTTTACGACCTGACGCGAATCTGACTATTTACGTTCATTTAACACTTTTTAACTAATTTAAGACAGTGGATACTCGAGGAATACAAAACAGGAATTGTGACATAATTTTGTCCAAATATTTATGTAATGAAAATTACAACATGTTTTTATATTACATCAAGGCGTTGCAGTACAAGAGTGCATAAATGAATAGTAATAAAGACAGCTCTCACATTTGCTGACGGCCAACTCTATGTGCTCTGTGCACAGGACAGAGCGCCTCCTGAAGTCCTGAAAGGTGCCGGCAGCCCCCGCGCAGGGGTAATGGTACGAGCGATCACACCCCTCCTCACAGCACTTGATGGATGCTCCAAGGCGCTTACAATATGCACAATGCTATAAAAGATGAGACATAATTGATGAGACACTGACAATGCAGACTCCAGTTTGATGCTAAAACATGTTAAAAGAGGGGGCACAAATTATTAACACAGTCTATAGTCCTTAATTGAAACCTTACATGCATAAACTGCTCATCACAAATCAACATTCAAGCTTTCATTTCTGGGAACTAATATTAAACCAAACAAATCTATACAATGAGACATGAAAGCTGACAGTTTAATGCCTGCGGTCAGACTAACAGCTAGCGAGAGCTGTGACAAACCACATCGATGACAGACTGACTGAGGTGTAATTATCCTATTATGCCTGTAATCTCCCACAGACCACAGAGGAGAGGGACCAATTCACTAAACAGTTGCGTAGCTATTGTGTCCAGTATCTCAGAGGCCTGCGTATTGAAATGAAGTCACTTTGATTTAGATGTGCAGTAAGACAAGTGCACTGCCTTTTAAAGAGCTGATTCTGGTGTCGAAATGAGAGTGGTGCAGCTGTATACAGTCAGAGCAAAGTATGGCAGATTGCAGTGGCCTGCTGTAATCTGCTTAACAGCCTGGAAGACTGTTGCAATTAGCGATCACAACTTAAAATTTAGCATTAGAATAACTTGAGATAACTCAAATATCCAAGTCACTTAATACAAATGTCACATTTCAAGTTGATAACCTTTTTTTAAAAAGATGAAACAACAAAATATCTTTTACAATGCGACGAGCAAATCGGGGCATTAGCTAACTGGATTTGCATAATTCCATTAGTGAACTGGGAGTCCTGCTGTAGTCAATAATTGTATCCCTTAAAACTCATTATAGATCACCAAAATGACATATTTGAAATTCGACATGCCTTAAAATAAATTGAATGACTCTACACCCTTGCATCATATAGTATACAGTATGTGGATATATGAATATGCTAATTAGCCCCGCCTCCATTCACTCACACCTCACAACTCAGGTAAATGCTGCAAAATGGTATCGCTATTCACAAGTTGGACACATAACGGTAATTCATATGATTAGCCTTTTGCTTGACTATGTTATCAAATAGCTAATTTTCCCGTTCGCCAGCTGCATTCTAACAATCATCAGAAACGCTCTGAACTACTCAGAACATTAGTGGAGAAACACATATAGTTAACATCGTAATACATAACATAACATCGTAATACATAATACACCCGCTATATTGATAAAAATGTACCCGATTTTTCATGTCAACAGAAAAATAATCTGTCTTCGCTGTTAATGATATGCCAAAACCTGATTGGTTACAAGGTCAATTGTGATGTCAGAAACACCAGATATTTTTGAGACTGTCTTTGGTTCACCGCAGTTTTAAAGAGAAAATACTCAGCAATGGTGTTAACTTATGAATTTTTGCATGGTTTGTATTAAAGCATATTAAAAACATCACACAGGCATATAAACAACATCAAAAACTTGATTTTCACCACAGGAGGCCTTTAAACAACGCAGTCAGTATGTATGAATAAATCAGCCATGATTTTTCCATACTTTTATCATACGTAAACTTTTATCGTACTGGGGTTTAGTAAAGTAAATGATGACAAAAATGTTCATTGGCTCAATCATATTTATCACCATAAAAAAAAAAGTTCTCATCATATTTATATTCTCTCCATACGTTTTACCACACTTGTCAAACTCTCGGTATTAGTGTTATCAAAAATACTGGAATTTTTCATTTTGATATTATACCTTGAAAAATATACAATTTCGGAACCACAGGGAAAAATTGCCACAACACAGCATCTACATTAATTATATATATATATATATATATATATATATATGAAGAGTTCAGATGCAAAAGCCTCTAAGTGCCATTTGAAATGTTCTTTTTTAATGATAATTTTTATCAAACTTGTATATTTAAGTTCAGTAATTTCACTTAAATAACAATTAATAGGTAATCTTCATTGCCATTTCAGTGAAATCACTGAACTTAAATATACAAGCTTGATAAAAATGATCATTCTAGAAGAAAATTTCAAATGGCACTTAGAGGCTTTTGCATCTGAACTCTTCATATATATATATATATATATATATATTTACTTTAAATGCTTATATTTAAAGTATTTTCCAATCTAAGTGGAATTATAAAGTAGTAATAATAATGATCATATTGTTATTTTTTTATAATACAGAAATAAGTAATATTTTGAATACAAATGAATTCCAAAATAAACAACAATCCCCACATCTACCCTCATTAAGCGCCAGCAGCATTTAACAACCACTGGCAAAAACCAGCAGCTGGAGCAGCAAGACCTCAGACAACACAAGAATGGTGAAATGATAATGGCTGTTTACAAAAACAATTGTCACTGTGGCCTCGCTGCGAATTACACAACCTTTCAAACCTTTACTATGAGAGCGGTTAGACGATTCCTAATAAATATTCAGGGGGAGCAAAAGAGTATAATTCCTTAGAGGTCACACATCTCAGCTCTACGGTGACATTTCATTAACTCCAGCCGACACTGCAGGTTGTTTCATGGGTTGGGTGACCCAAGTGTACTCTTCTCAAATGTTAGGTTCCAATTTGCATAAACTACAACTGTAACCTATAACATCGTCCAGAAAACACTTACGTATTTCCCTCTGAAAACCAACACTAGGCCAATGTTCCTTTTTTTCTATTTGAATCGATCTGTTCGGCGTCTCTGTCCATCGTCCTGCTTAATGAGCTCCTCGGAAACCAGATGTACGCTAAAAGTCAACCAACACTGCGAGATGAGTCCAGACCTGACATGTCCTCAGCCATCATGTTTACAAGCCGCTCTCCGCATCTTGTTAACTGCGCATTTTGTTTCACACCTCAAGTTATTCAGCACCCACAGCAAATGGATTTTGATAAGACATGCCTTCGCGATTTATGCACATCCATCTAAGGGGGATTCCACTTAAGCATGTCAATCTGGCGAGCCACCCATACAAACGTCCAAATCACACACACCTATTAATTGAGCTCTCCGCTGGCATTTACCACTAAATGCAGCGTTGCTGTAAATTCACAAGATTAAATGGCAGAGCTCTATTAAGGAATGTGATTCGAGGGGTTGCTGCATGGGGGGTGTTAAGTGATGAAGCTGATGACGCCGCCGCCCCTTTGAGTGCCGTGACCTTTTCTATTTCACAGCTGATCAGCGGTGACCTTTAGCAGTTAGATCCCTCGTTCAGCTCTAGCCTTTCACAGAAACGCAGCAGCATGGCCATAAGAGTCAGCAGGTATATGAAGAACTCGAACAGGTGTCATTAGAGTGATATTAAACAAGAACAGAGAAAGAGAATGCAGAAAGAGCTAGAAATAGTCAAGTCTGCAAACTGTGGATTATATTGGAACTAATTCTTTGGTTTGTGTCCATAAAATAATACATTTAATTAGTTGAACATTAAATGAACTGGATTATCAATAAACAGTAATTATGAAATAATTAATTTAGACAAAAATCATTTAATTACTATAAATGGTTATTCTTTACTAAAACCATTAACATAGTTTTTGGTAACTGGGATAAAGCTGAAATAAAATAAAATATGAAAATCAGAAAAGTTGCCTTGGCAACTAAGTCAAATATAAAAGAAATAAGTAATAAATAAATAAAATAAGCTGAAACACTAAAATCAATTGAAATAAAAATAAAGCTAAACAGAAATTTATTAAAATAAAATAAAATAAAAAATAAATAAAAAGCAGATAATAGGGGCCAGAATCAAAAACCCTACATAATCTAATGTCCAGCTTTGCTGGAAGCCATTAAGGAAAGATAGCTGTCATGAATAAAATTAAAATACAGGCACATTATGCTCAATCAATAAAAGAAGGGGGAAAAACACCATTAAGAGAGAGCTGAGCATTTTAACCTTCATTTGCATAACCTTTCAAGTACTCCAGTGAGGTGATGTAATATCTGCATGAAGTTTACAGTCATTATTTTATTCACGAGTTCTTGCATGCTGAACATGAACGAGTTATCCCAGCATACCTCTGTGCTCCCTGAGTGGATGGCTTTGTCCACGTTTAGCAGTGATTGATCCTCCGCTTGACACACAAAATTTGACCACAACGCGCAGCTTTGATGGGCCCAGCACTGACCTGCAGCACAAGAAAGTTGGACAAAGAATTATAAATTTCATAATTTACTCATGTCTTTTCAAATGTTATTATATTCGTTTATCTGTGAAACACAAAAGGAGTTTTTTAGTTATAGTTATAAATCCTGATTTCAATCGCTTGAGAGAAACCTTGGTTTCTTTATAGACCCCTTTTGCGCCGACGTCACAGTTACGTCACGCCGCTAGCTGGAGGCAAAATAAAGTGAAAACTGGAGGCGGCCAGTACAAACCAGCACAGATTCGGCTACATAATAAGGAGCTTAAATAATTGTTACTATTATTAAATGTCATCTTATTGTGTTGTTTGGTGCAAGAATCGATGAAAAATTAATATGCTGTAACTGGAATTTTAATTTCTAGAAAATATTCACAATGATTAAAATCGCACCGTAATGTCACTCTTTACATGTTGTGGTCTCGGTGATGGCTCGGCAGAACTGCGGATCGTACACACAAGTCTTGTACAGGACCATATAGGCATCTAAAGATTTATATGCCCTCAGTTTCTCTTTACGATCGGTTACTTTATAAGGTAGGTGTAGAAGTCAGGCCACTCAACCGAGGTAACGTACTTTAATCCTGTTAGATCGTCCAAGCAATAAATGAGCGTGTAGGCGGCTACGGGTCGGCCAATCTGGTTAAAATTAACTTTTGAAAATAACAATCGCGGTCCTGGACAGTGAGTGATCTTACACATTAAAATAAAATCTGGTTTTCTCCAGTCATTGTTAAAAAACAAGCTAATAAAACTTGCTAACTAACGTTACTGAAGCGGCCAGAGGGATTGTTCTGCCTCCACCTAAGCTCCGCCCACATAAAAACGTCACCATGTTTACCAACTGAAAAGCGGTCTATAGAAACTACACTTTCTTCAATAAATTCTTTATTACTTAAAAGTAACACTCAAAATTTAAGTCTAGGCAACATGCTTTATACAGTTTGCTTTTCTCTGAATGTGCCTTGGTGAAGTGCTTACCTGACTCCTCAAAGAGTGTTCGGACGTCAATGCCGTCTGGCAGGCCGACGTGGCGGAGCTCATCCCAGAATCTTCCTCCTGCTTCCTCTGCCTCGACACTGAAGACAGACACAGAGTGATTAGTGGTGATCAGGTTTTATAGTCTTACACCAATTCATAACCATGATTATCTGTTTGTCCAACCAATGGAAGACAGCTAAATCTCCAACCTCAGGGGAATCACCTGTTTTAAACAAACGCCGAACAGAGGAGAGTCTGCTGGCAAAAAAAAAAAAAAAAAGCGCAACAAAGCTCGTAATAAAACAAGAATCCACATTGGCTTGCAGGGCTCCAGACCAACATTTGAGAGCATTACCACCGGTGCCACTAAGTTCTACCAATGGTGGCACCAGCACCTGATTTGGCAGTGCTGAATCCACAAATGTACTCGCACTGCCAAGAAAAAGTGTTGCAAAATGCAACCATTGGTTGCACTCTGGAGCCCTGGCTTGCCTTTTTGAAGGTGGCTTTTATTTTTGGTGAGTAAAGTATTTTATTGAATAAGCACAACCAAAACAATGTTCTTCCACAAAATGCAAACAGTTTTGTTTTTTTAACGGATAGAGGGCCAAAAGTTACTTAGTGTATTTTTAAGACATTTCATCTTAATATGTTGACCAATATTTTGGACCAATGAGATTTCACTGTGGACTGGCTTCCCAGAAAGATGCGACTAAAATGGAAACCATCCGAATGTTCCATTGCTAAAATGTTTGTCACAGTTGTAGCTGGTTTGGACAAAAACTCAAGGTGCACTTTGTTTTGTCATGCCTTGTTGGGACATGGTATCAGAAGAGAAGGAAGAGCAAATGAAGATGTGTCAAACCAACGATGGAGTTAATGAAAAGATCAAATGTTATATCAAGGAGCAATAAAAAATGGACAATTTCTGTAATAACATTTAATAATAGTGCAACCACACTGCCACAGAAAACAAGTAGCATTAAACGTGGAACATTTACAGAACCATTATTGGTAGGGCACCAGCTTATTTGCAAAATATGCTAGTACACTCTCAGAAAAAAGGTACACAAGCGGTCACTAGGGCTGTACCTTTTCAAAAGGCACACTTTTGTATCTAAAGGCTGCATATTGGTACCTTAGTGGTACATATAAGCACCTGAAATGTACATATTAGGACCTAAAATGTACATATGAGCACCTAAAATGTACATATTAACATCTAAAATGTACATATGAGCACCTTAAATGTATTAACATCTAAAATGTACATATTACCACCTAAAATGTACATATTAACATCTAAAATGTACATATTACCACCTTAAATTTACACACTAGCTCGTGAAATGGACATATTAGCACCTATGTACATATTAGCACCTAAAATGGACATATTAGCTCCTGAATGGACATTTAGCACCTAAAATGTACATACTAGCTCATGAAATGGACATATTAGCACCTAAAATGTACATATTAGCACCTAAAATGTACATATGAGCACCTAAAATGTACATATTAACATCTAAAATGTACATATTACCACCTAAAATGTACACACTAGCTCATGAAATGGACATATTAGCACCCATGTACATATTAGCACCTAAAATGTACATACTAGCTCATGAAATAGACATATTAGCACCTAAAATGTACATATTACCACCTAAAATGTACATATTACCACCTAAAATGTACACACTAGCTCATGAAATGGACATATTAGCACCTATGTCCATATTAGCACCTAAAACGTACATATTAGCACCTAAAATGTACATATTAGCTCCTGAAATGTACATATTAGCACCTAAAATGTACATGTCTAAAATGTACATATTAGCTCCTGAAATGTATATATAAGCACCTAAAATGGACAAAAGTTTACCTTTTGAAAAGGTACAGCCCCAGTGACAGCTTTTGTACCTTTTTTTTCTGAGAGTGTACTATGTCACTCTGCCAAATATTAAATTAGATCACCTGCATCTAAATCCAAATATTCCCCAAACAATCTGTCTCTGGCTGCTCTGCCACGCACTTACGACGGAATAAGCAGCAACATTTGCATTTCAACATTAGCTTTTACCAACACCTGCATATCACTAAGTCACTGTACAGTGTTATAGAAATAAAATATTATATATAAGCCACTTTTTATTTGATATTAGTTAAACAGCACATTATACTGTACTAAATTCAATTAAAAAGTGTCACAGCCCTAATTTCTATAGACCATATATAGAGTGAGGTGAATGTGTACATGATCTCTAACTGCTGGCCATCATGAAACACTGGCACAAGGAGAGTGTTAATTTATTCTTGACATTAAGGGACTGGAGGGGTTTGACTCACAGCCATTTTAATTTCGGTATTGGGGGGGGGTGTTGCGTGGGATGGTGCTGATTGATTAACCACTTACACAGAAATGACTCATCGTAAACACATCATGGGGCAAAAATGCATTCATCACAGCTCGGAGCATCTCATTATACCCCTCCCCTATCCACCTGCTGGGACGGCTGACATATACGAGGGGTCAACTGTGATTTCAAACGCAGAGTGTGCTGCTGACTGACATTCTGTGTAATCCCATGACAATAGATGAGGGTGAAACGAAATATAATTTCTGAGTGCCGTATTATTTTACCTAGTAGTGTTCATACTGTAAATACAAATGGGGTTTCAGGCTATATTACATAACCCAACAACGCAATTAAGGCAAAATCAATAGCATGAGCATGGAAACCAACACAAACAAACAGGTTTCCATAAATAACACTTTAGCTACCATGCAGTGGTGAAAATTTATAAAAGATCTAAATGTGACCTGCTATGGTTTTTTTTCTTTGCACCACAGTGACACAAAACGGAAGTGGGATGTGCCCGAATAAAGTTTTCGGCTTCAGGCACATACCTATAAATGATTATAATGTGTGTCAAAAGGGGGGGAAAAAACAGTGGGCACAATATTACAAATTTCTACAGAAAAAAAAGAGACTAATTGACATAATAAATAAATAAATGTCATAATGGAATAAAAAAAAAAACATGCTGCTGTAAATGAAGCAAAAAAATCTCTTTAAATTGTGTTTTTCCACCATTCCGACTAGCACATTCAGACCCGCTGCTGGATACTGCGGGCCACAGATGACAAAGCTCAGCAGGGCTGGCTAGCCGCCAACATCAGACTGGCAGCACATTACGTCACACGTGCCCCTGGGAGACGGCTGATTGGCTCCAAAGAGCCAAGACAAATTAGGCAGCTGTGCGAGAGAGCAGGGAGAGGGCCCTTTGTTGGACTGAGCGCATGCTGGGGCCGGCGTCTCACATCTCGCTCTGTGACTCCCAATAGCTGCGGGGTAATGATCAGCTAGGGGAGTGCGCTCGCAGAGAGCCACATATGAAAAGCAAATAGCCAACAGCCATGTGTGTGTTTATACCTTTCTGAATGAAGCACAGGCCGCGGGATTTAGATCTATCCGGGTAACGTCATACTATTGGGGTTGTATAGCACTATGTCTTTAAATGTAAATCAAGCATGACAGACGTTTGCTTACATGCACGCGTGATACAAGCTTGATTTTTTTTTAATTTATGCCAATAATCTTTTATATACACCTAAAGTGACCCTAATAATTGCTGATGAAAATTCAGCTTTGCCATCATGAGAATAATAAAATATATTAAAATGGTAAACGGTTCTTTTAATTTTTCAGAAAATTACTGGTTTAACTGTATTTATCCATTAAATATATTACATCATTTGTGCCGAGGAGCATTCAATTACTTAATGAATCATCTATGGGCACATTAACGTGCATTATTGAATATATATCTATTTATTGATTCCTTTAAGCTGCTGAACATTTTAGAGGTGTGTTATTGAATACATATTTATCTATTGATTCCTTAAGTTGTCAAACTGATAATTCTATGTCACTTTTTGCTTTTTATTTTTAGGTTTATTCTATGTTTTGTTGTGGTTATGTTTATTGTGGTTCCCTGAGTGTAAAACAAATTCCCCCTTGGGGCAATAAAGGTTTCATTCATTCATTCATTCATTCAAATATGCAATTGATAACATACAGTCAGTTGGTCAATTTCGCAAAGTAAATAAATGGGCAAGCTCCAATTTCTAAATGACAACTTGCACATTTATGATATTAATTTAATTACTCAATTATACACTGTGCTGATAATTTACTCACCCCCCATGTCATCCAAGATGTCCACGTCTTTCTTTCTTCAGTTGAAAAGAAATTTTCGAAAAGAAGGATTTTCTCCATATAATGGACTTCAATGGGAACCAAACGGTTCAAGGTCCAAATGAGAGTTTCAGTGCAGCTTCAAAGGGCTTTAAACAACACCAGACCATGAATAAGGGTCTTATCTAGGACCCTTCGAGTCATGACTCAAAAAAAGATTCGTTCATTTTGATAAACGAGTTTGAACAGGAGAGTCACGAACGCTCATCACAGAACAGAGCAAGGCGAGAATTTGTGCTTATTTTTATTTATTTTTTAAATGGCCGATCGTTTCGCTAGGTAAGACCCTTATCCATCGTCTTGTGTCGTTTAAAGCCATTTGAAGCTGCACTGAAACTCTCATTGGGACCTTGGACCGTTTGGTTCCCATTGAAGTCCATTATATGGAGAAAAATCCTGGAATGTTTTCATCAAAAACCTTAATTTCTTTTCGACTGAAGAAAGAAAGACATGGACATCTTGGATGACATGGGGGTGAGTAAATTATCAGCAAAAGTTTTTTTAAAAGTGAACTACTCCTTTAAGTTTCAGGGCTGAGAAAAATAGTATGTTTTTTGCTAGCACTGCTCTATGTTACAGAGAAATACTAAACCATAGCATTTAATATGTAAATTAATCGCCGTTGAGAAAAAAAAAAGAAAAAAAGGAGACCATCTGAACATTTTAATATCTTATTAATAAACTAGTGTTTCAGCTGCAAAGATGAATTTGATGACACTGACTTGCCATCTTCCGCAGTTTAGTGCATGCACCTAGAGAGAAACGCACATCAGTAGGTGAAGTACTAATTTCGGTTATTTAGGTTCAGGTTTCAAAAGAAAAAACATTTTTGAGGTTGATGAATAATAGGCGAACGTTTGGATTTCCTGGCCGACATAATTACCACATGGACCAGCCCTGTTAATGATCTGTCCGTCACGGACTGCGTGACTTTGCCACTTCCTGTGGAGTTTTTATCTGCATCCTACCGACTAATTAAAATTTGGCAACGACTAGGCCTCTTCTCATCGATTAACGTTTAGTCGACTAATTAAGGGGCAGCCTTAATTTCTGAAGAATCATGTGACACTGAAGACTGGAGTAATGGCTGCTAAAAATTCAGCTTGGACACCACAGTAATAAATGACATTTTAAAATGTATTAAAAAAGAAAACAATGGTTACAATAGTTACATTTCACGATATTATTGGTTTTACTGTATTTTTGATCAAATAAATTTAAAAACATCTTACCAACCCTAAACTTGTGAAAGCCAGTATACACTCCTACTAGAAACATAGCATGGCTTTAAGTGACAATGAACAGATACAATGTGCTTTAAATCAAAGAATGTGGGATAAATAAGCATTTGCGAAGACGACACAAAGGGTCACTTTAGGACGAATACTGTTTGCTTCCCATGAGTCTGTCTCCAGGATATTAAGCAAAAACACACACAAACTAGAGCAATGAGTGCAATTTTCAACTGGAATGATCCGTATTCAGTCTCTGCCTGAAATTTCATCCAGATGAGGGTGATTCAACCAGTGACGTCAGGTATGCCTGTAACAGCCCTACCGTTCAGAACAGCCCTTACATACACCGTCACAGAGAGTGCAAAACACACACACACACACACGCACATCCTTTGCCTCGTGTGACACTTTCCTCTCTCTGACAACGGCCAATACCATCTGATCTATTTCACAGGCGCCGACCGACAAGAAGAAACGTAAGATTTAGCTGAGCTCATTTAAACATTACACTACACATCACAGCTGATATCAAATGACAAGCCCCACTCGCCCCAGCCAATCAGCTTACCTCTCTGGGCCCCTGTGTCTCCCTGATTGGCTGGCAGCCCCACTCTTGTCGTCATGGTCATGGCCCTCTTCTGTGGAGGATTGTCGGAGTGGAGGGTCGTATCCGGGCGTGACCCTGAATGGCTTCAGATCCCCCTGGCCCAACAGGCTTCGACCACCACAGTAACAGAAGGCACAGAGCTGTTCGCTGTGAGGAGATGAGAGGAATGCGGTTAGCCAATGAAACGAGATTCCTTTAAGACCCACTGTAGCAAAATTGCAACACTTTGTTTAAAACAACAAATATTCACTCAATGTTTAACATAGAAACTATATATAACAGCAGCTCACACTTCGGCAGGAACATATTTACAACTGACCCAATTGACTCCAACACCCTCGGTCAGTGCTTATTCAGACTAGCTTTACAGAACATCCCATAGGAGTGAATCTGTGGAAAGGATGTGCTCATAAACTTGAGTTTAATGGATATTATTTTTAGTTGGGTTGAAATTAATTGTGACATTGCAAACCATTCTATTCTAACCAATCTGCCATTTCTATTTAAAGAAATTTCACAATAACATTATTAAAAACTCAGTATAGGTATTGAATCAAATGTATCTCACTGTCAACCGAAACTTTGAGTAAATGTATCTTTGGAATGAGCATTGATACATTGCAGATAAGAATAAAAAATAAAATAATAATAATAATAAAAAAGTTATATCCTTTCCAGGTATCTTGTACCTATGAAAGCTTGTTTCCGCCACTGAATAAAAAAAACAATAATAATAATTGTCTCACAATTGCGAGATATGAAGTCAGAATTGTGATAAAGTTGCAATTGTGAGAAATAAAAGACAGAATTGACACTTTTTTTCTCACAATTGCGAGTTTACATCTCGCAATTCTGACTTTATAACACATAATTGCGAGTTTATATCTCAAAATTCTGACATCTTTTTTTTCAAAACTGTAAGATATAAACTCACAATTGTGATTTATCAGGCCAATTGTAAGGGGGAAAAAAAAAAACCTTTCCCCCCTCAGAATAGTTCACAATTCTAAATTTATAACACGCAATTTCGACTTTATATCAATCATTTCTGACAATGTCTCGCAATTCTGACTTTATATCTCACAATTCTGACTTTATATCTCGCAATTCTGACTTTATATCACACAATTCTGACTTTATATCTCGCAATTCTGACTATATCACGCAATTCTGACTTTACCTCGCAATTCTGACTTTATATCTCGCAATTCTGACTTTATATCACACAATTCTGACTTTATATCACGCAATTCTGACTATATCACGTAATTGTAACTATATCACGCAATTCTGACTATTTCACACAATTCTGACTTTATATCTCGCAATTCTGACTTTATATCACGCAATTCTGACTTTATATCTCGCAATTCTGACTTTATATCACACAATTCTGACTTTATATCTCGCAATTCTGACTATATCACGCAATTCTGATTTTAAATCTTGCAATTCTGACTTTATATCTCGCAATTCTGACTATATCACGCAATTCTGACTTTATCTCGCAATTCTGACTATTTCACACAATTCTGACTTTATATCTCGCAATTCTGACTACTTAACGCAATTCTGACTTTATAACACGCAATTCTGACTTTATAACACAAATGACTTTATCTCAGAATTGCGTGATATAAAGTCGCAATTGTGTGTTATAAAGTCAGAATTGTGAGATGTAAACTCGCAGTTTTGAGGAAAAAAAGTCAGAATTGTGAGATAAAAAGTCGCATTATATGGCGGAAACAAGCATTCCATATGTACCAGTGTTATATTATTATATGTTACATTATTATATTTTAGTTGATTTCCATAAAATTGCTCTTAAAAATTCCCAAACACAAAGATGTACCATGCATTAGAAATGAACACAAGCTCGTCCATGAAAACGTTTTTAGAAAGGACAGGTATTTGATCTGTAATAAATCCAAATATTTTATTTAATAAAGCAAAAACTGCTGTGAAACCATGGCTGAAGGCCGTTGTCAGACTTGATTGTGTTTAAAGATGAACGTAATGGGCTGTTAATAACTACAATGATATATTTCTGTCATTCAACTCTTGGGAGATTAGTATAGTAATAGAGATTGGCATGTATATGTCAATGTTAATGTATTTGGTCTTGGTCCACGATAATGTTCTGTTTGCTTTAAATGCTCAAGCTCTTAATACACTGTTGGATTTTGATTGGCTGTCAATGTTTTTATCATTTAACTGGGATTTTTTTTTTTTTTAATTGCTGTGAAGGTGATTTCTACAGTATTGTCTATCGTTGTCATTCTTCTAATTTATAACGATTTTTAATTCAGATAGTTTGGATTCAGAACAACATGAACAACATTTGTTCTAAAACAAAATATGTATAAAGTTAATTTTTTATAACTTGTGACTTTCTAAAAACAACATTTAAGGAAGAATATCAACAATAACAATAAAATATTTGATATATTTAAATTTGCACCATACATTTTTAATGAATGAAATACACTGCAATAGATTCATATCTACCTGAACACAAAGGAGAAAAAAGTTGCAAAACCAAAGTTTCTAATACTAAGAAGTATGTGGGAGTGTTAGAATTCACACATGCTGTGTCTAACTGAAAATGAGGGAAAAAAATCAACAATTAAACCAGAACTGCACTATATCCTCACTGGAATAAAAGTGAGGAGACAGCTTTGCAAAATATAGCTATATCACATTTAGACACAACAGATTCGACAGTGAAATCACGGCCAGCAATACGAGTAATTCCTATTTTACACCTTTCAGATGAAAATGATCACATCATCATGACACTAAAAAACTGCCACAATGTAAAAACAAGCTATAGCCTGATGGACAAAACATGATTTTTGCCACATCAAATTTCTGTGTAAAAAGGGTCACTGCAATAATCCTCAAAACTCTGTAGTTTTGTCATTGAGGCTTGTTGTGTTGAGCAGCCCTCAGATATAAAATTGTCTCTCATGGACAGTACAGTCCATCCTAAAAAGCCATCTTTCAGTCTGTTAGCAACCTTTCATGGACTGAAGCCTGGGAGACCTGCGGCCGTGGTGAGTTCACTATTTGGACAGGGGTTTGTGTGTTTATGTATGTTTGTGCGTGTGTGGCAGGGGAACCTTAAATTTCTAGTGTAGCATCAACATTGAGGCACATTCAGCTGAGAGCATAAACAAACAGACACGGCGCATACATACCAACAAACCCAGAGACGGGACTCCAAGAAAAAGATCTGTCCAGAATTAAATATGTTTAATAGCATACTAACATATTACACTTGCCAAAATGTGGAGTATGCATCAGCACATATGGTATCCCATAATGCAATGCGCTTGACTTGACCATTGATTTCCATTGAATATAAAAAAAAATCCCTGAAGTAATTTCATCTCTCTCTCTTTTTTTCCTCATGATTTGACAATGTAGCTCGGTGTTTCTCAGCTCGTGGGTCAAAGACCGTTTTGAATGGGTCGCGAAATAACAAGAAACGTAATTCTATGTTTTTCTGATGCAAGACCTTTATTTTGAAAGACGTGTGAGAAAGCTGTTGACTCTTCTGTCAGACAGTTTAAGCAAAGAGTGCCTGAGAAAAAAAACACGGTTATCCTGATTCAGAATCTGTGGTCAAGATGTTGTCAGGCTACTGTATATGTAAGAGTCACTATTCTAAAGCTCTTTTCTTTCCTGTCATGTCAGACGTTATATTGTATTTGTTGAGTGCACTCTTCAATTGTTGCGTTTTGTGTTATTTTGTATATTTTTAAATGACTGCGGTGGCTCATACATACCAACTTACGTATTGTATTAACAAAAACTAGTTTGGGACAGCTATTTAATAGTCCAAAGTATACTTTGGCCGTCAACGTACAAATACCTTCCGTATGACGTAATTGTTCTCATCAGTAGGGTAAGCGGACGTCCCACACCCCGTCTGCATGCAGCCCAATTTTCGTGACCATACGCACAGTGCATATACAACAGAGCATGTGCGAGTGACTTGAGCGCTTGAAAAAACAAAACAAGTATATAGGTCTCTCCATGGAGAGTAATAAGAGTTAGCAGATCAGTGGGCGGGGCCATAAACAGAGAGACGTTTTCGCCCACAAATTTAACACCCACAAATTTATAAACGCCCATGTTTCCCGCAGAGATCCCATACTACAAAAAAACAACAACAACTAGATAGTGTGCATGCGCGTAAAAAAAAATTCTGCAATTCTGACTATACAGTATCGCGCAATTCTGACTTTAAATCTTGCAATTCTGACTTTATATCACGCAATACTGACTTTATATCACGCAATACTGACTTTATATCTCGCAATACTGACTTTATATCACGCAATACTGACTTTATATCTCGCAATTCTGACTTTATATCTCGCAATTCTGACTATTTCACGCAATTCTGACTTTATATCTCGCAATTCTGACTTTATATCTCGCAATTCTGACTTTATATCTCGCAATTCTGACTATTTCACGCAATTCTGACTTTATATCTCGCAATTCTGACTTTATTTCACGCAATTCTGACTTTATATCTCGCAATTCTGACTTTATTTCACGCAATTCTGACTTTATATCTCGCAATTCTGACTATTTCACACAATTCTGACTTTATATCTCGCAATTCTGACTTTATATCACGCAATTCTGACTTTATATCTCGCAATTCTGACTATTTCACGCAATTCTGACTTTATATCTCGCAATTCTGACTTTATATCTCGCAATTCTGACTTTATATCTCGCAATTCTGACTATTTCACGCAATTCTGACTTTATATCTCGCAATTCTGACTTTATTTCACGCAATTCTGACTTTATATCTCGCAATTCTGACTATTTCACGCAATTCTGACTTTAAATCTTGCAATTCTGACTTTATATCACGCAATACTGACTTTATATCTCGCAATACTGACTTTATATCTCGCAATTCTGACTTTATATCTCGCAATTCTGACTTTATATCACACAATTCTGACTTTATATCTCGCAATTCTGACTATTTCACGCAATTCTGACTTTATATCTCGCAATTCTGACTATATCACACAATTCTGACTTTATATCTCGCAATTCTGACTTTATATCACACAATTCTGACTTTATATCTCGCAATTCTGACTATTTCACGCAATTCTGACTTTATATCTCGCAATTCTGACTTTATATCACACAATTCTGACTTTATATCTCGCAATTCTGACTATTTCACGCAATTCTGACTTTATATCTCGCAATTCTGACTATTTCACACAATTCTGACTTTATATCTCGCAATTCTGACTATTTCACGCAATTCTGACTTTATATCTCGCAATTCTGACTATTTCACACAATTCTGACTTTATATCTCGCAATTCTGACTACTTAACGCAATTCTGACTTTATAACACACAATTCTGACTTTATAAGTTAATAAAGTTAATGATGCCCTTCTCCAAATCTGTGACTTGGGCACCTAATTTGCCCAAGTCACAGATTTGGAGAAGGGCATCATTTCCATTGTATGATTTATTAACACCCACAAATTTATAAACGCCCATTTTTCCCGCAGAGACCCCATACTAAAAAAAAAAACAACAACAACTAGATAGTGTGCATGCGCGTAAAAAAAAGGGGGTCATGGCTTAGTGGCCATGGGAAATGTGGGTCCCTTGATCAAACCTGTTGTAACGTCTGTGATCAGACCCACTGATGTAACGTCTGTTTGAAATATTTATCGTACACAATGCCTACTGTTTCTATGCAAAAAATAATAGTCATACGTAGTAAGCAACAATTCTGTTCTGAACAATAATTGAATGAAGTATTCCACTTATAGCCAGTGATGCTAAAAATAGTCAATATTACTTCTCAGTAGAGCACGACCGATAAAGGATTTTGAAGGCCGATACAAATATTTTTGGGTTTTGAAATCCGATATATCGGCCGATATTTTTTTTTTATTAAATATTGTTGTATTTCACACACGTGTAAAAGAAAAGCTAACTTTTCTGCACAAGATACGTTTGATACTTTTTCTTTATGTGTAAATGTTCGCTCCTCGCAAGTATAACTTACATTTTACAATGCAGGGACTGTAACTAGAGATACGCTAGTTATAAATACGGTAATCATTACTTTATTTAGGCCGAAAAAGTTCATTGTGGTTTCCAAGCTCATTAATGTTAACGTTAGCGGTCTTCCACTGATGATAGTGGCATTAGCCTGCTTTGTGGTTGGCTAGTCTATGATGAGCCATAATTTAGCAATAGATAACATCATACTGCAAATTGTAAAACATACATTGGCCAAGGAGAGATGATTGAAGCGTGTTTCGTCCATTTTTATTTTATTTTTTAAATATTCATTCATCAGCCATTATAACTGCCGATACCGATATTATGGAAAATGCCAAATATCGGCCGGCCGATATATCGGTCTGGGTCTACTTCTCAGTCATGTCACACTAGAAATTAGAGGTCAAATTGAGTAACGGGAAACATTTTAGGAATGTAAACAGAAAATTTGCATGAATGCGGAAGTTGGCCTAATGTAGCTCCTTTCTGTTCTTTGTGCTCTTAGCTACACAGTGAACTCTCTGAGCTGGAGGGCTCTTCCTGCACTGCAGTCTTCTTTACCCGGAGTGCTCTTTTATTAAGCTGATCATGTGCCCATCCCCCACGTAAAGACAGAACGGTAGCCAACAGCAACACACACTTCAGCACACGTGTGCTATCGTTTGACCTTCCATTTTGAGATCTTGGTGGAAAGGCGCAACAGTCAAAAAGGCTTAAAACACGAAGCCATTCACAAACGTCCACAAGCGCGCGCTTCCCACGCCCGGCGGTGACTCAGCCTGGCGAGAGGATGCTGCTCTGACCTGCTTTTAGCTTCTCCAGAGGCTGATGATGTTTGTGCCGCCCCCGTCTCAGAGCTCGCAGGAAGAGGGGATGACGGCTGCTCCTCTTCCTCCCCCTCTGCTGAAACTGCCACGGCAGAGGCGTCCTCCGTCTCCTCCTGCTGCCCTTTAGTGACTAACAAGAGACACAGAAAGAGAGATGCATCCATGTTAATTAAAGCTGCACCAATAGCGATATTTGGGCTAAAACTGATCATTAAATGCATGATCGTTTCGCCAACTGAATTAATTTAATAGAAATGAAACTACACACTACAGGTGATGGTGTAAAACTGTCAAGGCAAAAATAAAGTATTTTTGTATATTTTTTACTTGTCATTTATAATAGAATGTGGTTCTACATTGGGGAAAATAACGAAATCCTGTTAAAAACAAACTTTGCATAATTTATTTATGTTGCCAATCACTATTTCGCGCAAGTTCTCAAACACAAACAGCATCAAAGAACAAGGATCGCTAATTGCAGTCTGATACTCTGTTGGGTGGAAGAGATGGAGCAAGTTCAAAGTCCTTTTAGGCAACTTAGTTCATTCAGCAGCCATCTTGTTTATGCTCTCAGGCAGAAAATCACTTCAGAATAAAAATGAATGATCATTTTATTGGTAAAAACAAAACAAAATACTGATATGAAAGGCAGTTATGGTCTTTTTATGGTCACTTTCGCTTCTATTAAGGTGGGATACAGGTAAGGTTAGGGCAGGTTTGGTGGTAGGGTTAAATTTAATGTTGGGTTTACGAATGTAATTATGAATTCCCAAAGTAAAAGTGCATTAGATCAAATTATTCATTTAAATGTTAGTTGAGTTATATACACTTAATATAAGTTATGACTCATTCATTTATTTAAATGTAACAAATAATAAACTGATAAATAATTATTGAAATTGCATAAAACAATTGCATAAATATAGATTAATGTAGTATTTTGTGACATTTAACTAACATTTTAAACATTAATCAGTTTTAAATATGTCTATTTATGTCCATTTTATAAGTGATTTATTAATGTATTATATTATTATTATCTATTTAGCCTATTTTGTCAATTTGAAAAGTTATTCACTTATTTATTATTAATTTATTTATAGACAGAAATCATCTTTACCTCAAATTACACCAAATCACAGTACAGTATGTTTTAGGTTGGTCAAGCTAATGCGTTTTGGAGTAAACAAACAGACGATGCATCTATCAAAAAGACAACTGAGCGGTGAGATTTACAAGTCAATCTAAGTGTTGCATTGCTCAAAAGGAATGTCACAGAGACTGACACAGTGACAAGCCATTGTGACCTCTGACTGAGTACTTTTGTCTCAAATTAATTTTCATCCATGAAATGTTTATTCAGTATGAACCATGGTAATTGTTTCCAGTAAACCAGCCTTTCAGATCCAGGCCAATATCCTTCATTTTTAAAGATCCCGAATGACGTGTGAACAATGGCTGAATTTGTGTAATGTCAACAGCAGCCTGCTAAGCAAAAGTGTAGAAAGAAGACCCAGGATCTTTGGTTTCCCTGTTCGAAAAAAACAAACACGTACCCCTATCCATTTTGATTGATGGGGAAATATGCAGAGCACATGTGCCATGTGTTAATAAAAGAGAAACTGGGAAAACAGTTGTCTCAGAACGTACACAATGTGAACAATTAGAGGTGTGAGTCACCTGTGACTAAGAGCGCCTAGTGAGCCGAGATCTAGTTGTGGTCTAAAATAGACCGCATTCGACCACAGCTGCAGTCAACCACCTCCTGTAGGCTACTCACTTCATCCAGTGCAGTCTAATCTTACAGAGCTTCAGTGGAACTACAACAGACACCACAAATTAGGGTCAATTTGGAAAGAAAACAAGGTACTGGTGCTTCTTAAGGCAACATTAGCATTGAGTTAGCTCATATTTACTGTTAGGGATATTTATGTTCAAGCCCAACTCTTGTATTAAACTTGCAGCAGCTCATTGCATAATGATTGTACCTAAGAAGACAATCAATCTCCATGTGGCAGGTGATAAAAATAGATGAATAATCCACCAAAACTGAATAGCAACATGCTAAAACACTCAGAACACCATAGCAGCTAAACTGCAACATGCTAAAAACAACAACAAAACACAACACTAAATTAAAATATGCTTCATACACTCAGAACATCCTAGACACATGCGAAAAACACTTCATTCACCTCAAAGTGCTAAAACACACCATAAAAAAATTGAATCCCAACATGCTAAAACCCTCAGCAACTAAATAGCAAACTGCTAAGACATAGAGACATGCTAATAAATTCTACCTTAGCATCTGAACTGTAATATGCTACACATACTCAGAACACCCTAGTACGTGCTAAAACACCCTATAAACTGAGTAGCAACATGCTAAAACACTCAGAAACAAAACAGCAATGCCCTGGAAACCGTCTGCAACATTCTAGCATTGAGTCAGTGAGTCTTGCGCAGGCAAACATCACTCAAACTTTCTTTAGAAAATGTAAAAATGTAGTGGACTTATAAGCTTCTGACAGACAGCTTCCTCCAAGAAGCAGCACTTTAGTAGTGTAACAGTTCTTGAAGGGTCTTTCATAATTACGCTGCCATTTACTTCAGTGGAGACCTTGACACAAAGGTTATTTCTTAGGTTCAGGAAGCTAATCAGTTACTGACAGCACCTTTAATGATGCTAGCTCATATTATTGACTGTGAGGGAGTGTTCCAGCCTCCAAGGTGAAAGTGACTTGACATTCAAAGCCAGCGACAGTTCTCCTGCAGTCAAGACAATTGATCTGGTTATCACAGCTCCATGTAGGCTTCACAGAACGAATGAAGAAACTACTATGACGGTTTCAACTAATTTAACTATGAATAATGACCTATAACCTACTGCAAAAAAAACAACAATAACAGATTCTTACACTACAGTGTTGCTACTTTAACTTTTAGGTGAGTAAAATACCATGCAAAACCCTGCTTCTCCAGTAACAAAATACTTTTTCTGGTAGTTCTTTACGCTTTAGTCAACTTTTTAGCAATATTTTTTGCAAGAAAATAAAATATATATAATATTTTAGCAAGAAAATGTTGTACATTTTAAGGTTAAATGCATCAATCTCGTGCTCTTTGAGAGATCAAAATTAAGAGCTTCAACACACGAACTGCTCGTTGAACAAAGAAAACCCATTGATTTGTACCAGGACAATAAACAGAGCTCAAACACATCTTTTTAGTTGAGTCTCAGTCTACATTACATTATCAATGGAGTTTTAGGATCCCAAACAATTATTATAATAATGTAAAAATTATTCCTATGACGTAAAAATCCATACAGCCTATAAATGTACTAGTATATAAATGAAAATGAATATTTCAAAAGTATATTTTAGTCTACATTACACTATAATATAGGAAAATTTAAATACTTTTGTCCTTATTTCTTCACGTGCAAGAAATAAACCCTTGAGCTTGTATTTAGGAGAAAAGACCATCCTGATCGCGTGAGCAAAGTGCACACTTTTCTTTAAATCACCCAGCACTGATGCCTATTCTTAAAGTCTTGTTCTGTTTTATAAACGCAAAAAGCCACGTAATGGTTTCGATTTGAGTTCGTTGGCAAAATAAACACGCTAGAGACCTTCATGTTAGGTTAAACATTTTACATCTCATATGTGTTGGGAAAAGGGAGAAGAGACTTCGGCAAAAGGCGGGTTCGAACTCGGGTCCGAGCGCTGCGGATCAAAAGCTCATTCACGCGCTCAGCATGCTACGACCTACGCCACTTTAGCTGTGATGTGATCGGCGTCTTTTTTCATAAAAAGACAGGCACTTAGTGCAAACATACGCTCCGTTTTATCAAACCGTCCCTCGCGGCCTCGAAACACTACCGGCCCACCGGGGAAACTCCCGACTCTCCCAATTGCCACTCCGCCGCTGGTGCCCAGCGCCCCTTAGATGTCGTGGGCCCCTGAGCATTTGCCCAGTTGGCCTAATGGTTAATCCGGCCCTGATCAAAGCTCACTGAAATGTTTTTTATCACAGTTTCCACAAAAATATTAAGCAGCACAACTGTTTACAATTTATAACATTGATAATAATAAGAAATGTTTCTTGAGCATCAAATCATCATATTAGAATGATTTCTGAAGGATCATGTGACACCGAAGACTAGAGTAATGATGATGAAAGTTCAGCTTTCCATAACAGGAATGAAAATATGAATAATATTTACCAATATTACTCTTTTTGTTTTCAACAAAAACTATCCCAAAGTTTTTAACAGTGATATAAATTTGGTAATTTGTAAAAGTTGTTTGCAGGGAGTAATTACAGTATACCGAATCACATCATACCTCCAACAGAACACATGCAGGCAAAAGGGCCGAGAAAATGAGGGCAAAATGGACAAGATGAGATTTTAAAAGGCTTTCAGTGGGCATTAGCTTCCACCGGCTGCTGCGAACCTCAATCACATGCTTTGAAAGGTGGTGGGGACGGGGGAGACTCCAGAGCAGAAAGGCTGTGGCTAGAGTCAAATCCTTTCAATTAGAGCTAGAGAGCGGAGCCATGTGGAGACGGGCGAAAATCTCATCAATCCTGCTCAAGGAGTGTGGATGGCCGAGCCTCTTGAAAGCTCCTCCTCGGCCGGCCAAGGTTTGAGTTAGATTGACTGCACAGCTGGGAAAGAAAATCAATTCAGGGCTCCACATTGTGATTTTGTTTATCATTGGAACTGCCTCAGAGGAGAAGTAGCCTCGCTCTCTGACTCTTGAGGAAGGGGGATGTGACGGCTGAAAAGAAAAGACTGACACAGGAAACCCAGAGCGGTGGGAAAAGACGTTTAAAGAGGGGGAGGAGAGAAGAAAAGAGAGGAAAGAGTGGGAGAGGAAGCCAGAAGAAAAGGGTGAAAGTAAGAAAAGGAAAAGAGGGCTGCAGTTACCTGTCTCCTGTGTGCTTCCTGTTTCTGCGGTCTCCATTCCATCTGTGCTGTCTTCATCCTCCACCAGAGCTTTTCCTCGCCCCCGATTCCTGAGAAAGAGACGTTTATTATTGCCACGCTAGATTCAGGGAAGACTGGTTGATCACGAATAGAGTGCAACGTTCGTACCGGAAGTAAAAACTCATCAATTTTCTCCATAGGGACATTGAATTTCGAACTATAATTTACACAGCTCAAAGATTTAGATGTATAATTTACACATGACATCTCATCTAATTGATTGTTTATAAGGCATAAGACATCTGTTCGTATTATTTCAATTCAAATGATATTTTTTTCAATAAAATGATTACATTTAAACTACATTACATTAATGTGCATTATTTTAAATTAAAGAGCTGCTTCACCGCCGGCAAAATGGGCTTTCAATGAAACTTGGCTGCCTATACAGTAGATAGGTGATTATATTTATTTATTTGGTGATAACTGACTAGAAAAAAACTGAGAATGAAGGCTGATGTCTTCCATTTGGTCAAATAGGTTGGAAAACTTCAACACCCATAATGCACTGGGGATGTTGCCGTCCAAGGCCACTCCCTTCAGTGTATTATCCATACGTAGGGATGGGCAATGATTAATTGCGATTAATCGCATGCAAAATAAAAGTTTGTGTTTACATAATATATGTGTGTGTAGTGTGTATAATTAATTTGTATATAAATACACACACATGCATGTATATATTTAAGAAATATTTGCATGTATATACTTTACATATATTTATACATAATTAATATTATATATAAATATAAATATTTGATATATTAATAACAAATATATTATATTTTATTATATATTATTTTTATAATATATTTATTTTCTTAAATATATACATGCATGTGTGGATTTTTATATATTTTAAAATTAATTCACTACACACACATATATTATGTAAACACAAACTTTTATTTTGGATGCGATTAATCGCGATTAATCGTTGCCCATTCCTATCCATACGCTTAACCAGAGTCAAATACCGCTTTGCTTTAGTAGGAAATACTTCTTAGCAAACTATGGGTGTATTCACACCAGGAAAGTCCGCTAGTCCACTTGCTTTGGTCCGGCCCAAATACAATGTTGATTTTTGAAAATTAAAAATTAGCAAAGTTACGCTGTAATAGTGAAAATTAACTATTACAGAAAATTAATAGTTAAAAATTAGCAAAGTTAAACTGTAATAGTTTTATGTTTCATCATCGTTTTTAATTTGATAATGTCATTCGCAATGCTTCGTGGGATTGTAGTTCTTTCCCCTCATCCACCTTTCAAATGCTTTTTTGCTTTCAATAAAAATGTGTAATGTTGTAATTCACCTTCTAACTTACTGGCTTGGATCAATGCTTTAAATAAACGTTTTAAATCCATATGGGACAAAAGAATGGAAAAAAATACCAATACAGCTGAAGAAGTGGATTGACTCTAATGCACGATATTATTTAAATACAGTACCAGCATTTGTCTCTGGTTCCCAAATGAGTGTTCGTGGCCCTGAGCAAGGGTGGGACGGCCATGTGAAAACGGTGTTTGTGTTCGGGCACATTTGTTTACATGCACTGAGGGGGAAGTAACGGGTGCGATAGCTCTCATTAAAGCTTCCGCTCAATATAGGAGCATCATGAAGATGACATTTCCTCATTTTCTCAGAAGCCCTGAGGGCGGACACACAACCCTGCTCTGGTGTCGCCACTCAAACCTAGATTACACACTGAACAGGGTTTCATCTTCTTGGTGACTCATTCGCACGAGCAGTGTCCAGTCAGATCAGGTTTTGATCACTGCATTTCATCTAATTTGTGCAAATGTGGTATGTGTGATTTGTTATTTGACATTGATTAGCCTTTTATTTAAAGCATACTAGATTTTTTTTTTCATTTAGCCTAGATATTAAAAGCTTTGCCAGTTACATGTGTCTCGAAAGGAAAATAGCCATCCAACCAGAAAAGTGAAAAGTGGTCTCTCTCTATATGACAGGTGATTGGAGGGGATGAGATGAAAAATAAGAGGGCTTAGAGACTTTGGGTGAAAAGGAAATTCAGTGAGACTTACTGTAAAGAATATAAAAAATATAGTCACTTTGCAAGATACAAAATCCCCTTATAAATCTGCAATTACAATATCTTTAAAAAAATTGTTTTTGTTTGTCTCATTCTCGACAAGGCTGAATTTATTTAATATGCTGATTTGGTGCTCAGTTAACATAAACATCTATTACTATTCTACTATGATGGACAAGTTTAACACACTGCTTAATTTTTTCGTAATCATGCATTTTCTTTGATGGACAGAAAGTTCAAAAGAGCAGCACTTTATATATATATATATATACTGTATATATATATATTAAAAATGTAAAATATTTTACTGTCACTATTTATCAATTTAATGCATCCTAGTCAACAAAATGTATTAAAAAAATCGTACTGACACAAAACTGTACCTTTTATTTATCATTATCATTACTTTTATTCATCTGGAGGCAAAAACGGACTTCCATAGAATTGTGCACAACAAGACCAAAGAACATATATTTAAAAAAAAGGATTTTTATTTTCATTTAAACCGAATTTAACCAGCAAGATTTCCTTAGGGGCCATTCACACAGAACACATTTTTGCAGTTTAAATATATATGCTCCTATATATATATATATATATAACAATATAAAATACTTTTACTTTTATCAATTTAATGCATCCTAGTCGACTAAATGTAATATACCTATGAGGTTCATTCTTGTGTTACGGAGCACGTTTGAGCTTCCTCAAGAACCAATGAGGTTCATTCTTGTGTTACGCAGCACGTTTTCAGCTTCAGCAAGAACCAATGAGGTTAATCCTCAAGTTACTTGTTTGAGCTTCAGGTGTCAGGCAGGTTCGTTGGGCTTCTGTTTATGTCCGCTGATCAATGTTTAAATGTGAATAAAAGCCTAAATTCAATCTAATCATCATTTAAAGCAATTGAGTCTATTCAGAAAATTTGGACTAAACTGCTCAATTCATATGGATTAGTTCCCTTTATCAACTTTTTAAAGCGTCAAAGTTGTAGTAGAGTATCCGTCAATGGAGGGACTGAAAGCTATCAGATTTAAAGACTTTAAAAAAAAAAAACACTGCAAAAGCAGCGTTCAAATACATCCATCCAGTGTGTTTTTCATAGGATAAATTATTGAAAAGTAGCACAGTGGAATGTAAAAACTAAATCTGTGTGTACGTCCCCTCAGTCAACCTACTTCACCAGCTGCATTTTGCTGATAAACTGCATAAGTCCACAAGTTAAAACATTTTTTTTTTTTTTTAAGGTTTGATTGGCTAAGGATCTGTCTGGAACTGTGGATATTAGGAGAACTTAACCACAACTAATACTGGCACTATTTTTACTGTCTTCTGTGTTGTGTCTTTTAGAAAAGCTCATTTTTCTCTATTGTATGATGTTATTGGCTCCTGTTTATTTTCAGAAAGAAAAGATAAAAAATGCAAATCTCAGTACCTTTATTGAAGCCAATAAAGTATTCTCTTTTTCCCTCAGCCTTTCAATGGATTCGGTGTCAAAGAAGTGCATGACAGGCTGCCAGTCACATGAGTTTGGCCTCAGAGAGAGCCCAGCCTACAGCTGTTGCTATGGTGCTACGTGACGCTCTAGTCTTTCAGAACACGCAGTACTCAGAGAACAGTATCTGATGTACAGTATGAACTCCTTGGCAAAGAAAATGGGCCAAGTCCAAAATGGCTAAACGCTAAGCTTTTAACTGTCTTAACCAAATATTATTGGTCAGGAAATTAGCAAAATGTAAGCAAATGCAGTACTTAAAAAGCCAAACATCAAAGACAGCATTCAGTTTTTTGGCAGAATATAGGAAATAAACATTTACCTAAAGGATTATTAGGAACACCATATAGTGTGTTTGACCCCCTTTCACCTTCAGAACTGCCTTAATTCTACGTGGCATTGATTCAACAAGGTGCTGAAAGCATTCTTTAGAAATGTTGGCCCATATTGATAGGATAGTATCTTGATGGAAATTTGTGGGATGCACATCCAGGGCACGAAGCTCCCGTTCCACCACATCCCAAAGAGGCTCTATTGGGTTGAGATCTGGTGACTGTGGGGGCCATTTTAGTACAGTGAACTCATTGTCATGTTCAAGAAACCAATTTTAAATGATTCAAGCTTTATGACATGGTGCATTATCCTGCTGGAAGTAACCATTAGAGAATGGGTACATGGTGTCCATAAAGGGATGGACATGGCCAGAAACGATGCTTAGGTGGGCCGTGGGATTTAAACGATGTCCAATTGGCACTAAGGGGCCTAAAGTGGGCCAAGAAAACATCCCCCACACCATTACACCACCACCACCACCAGCCTGCACAGTGGTAACAAGCCATGATGGAACCATGTTCTCATTCTGTTTACTTGTTACACTCACCTAAAGGATTATTAGGTGTTCCTAATAATCCTTTATGTGAATGTATATAATTGTGTTTTTTCGAGTAATGAATCACAATTATACATGAATTGGATGGTGATGCTCCAAAGCGGTGTCTAGGAAAATCTGCAGAGAAATATAATAATAAATGCATCTCTACCAAAGTTTGGTAGTTAAACAACTCTACCAAGTTGTTTGGAGTACAGGAGAATATTGCAGAACGGCTTGCTTCCCACAATTAAAAAGATGCTATCTAAAGAGGAATGATCAGATGTTATTTCTCAACAAGAAAATGCTTTTTCCCAAACTGCAAAGACAACCAAGAAGTTTGTTTTGGCCAGGTCAGAGTCCAGATTTAAACCCTATAGTGAATATTTGGTCTAACATTTAACAAACTGGGAGACATTTTTCAACAACTAATGAACAGTTGAACAGCCATTATCATTGAGTGGAACAACTTCTTCCTGTAAAAAGCCGTCTGCAAGTTGGCCATGTTACTTTATCTACAGTATTTGTGCAATTCTTGCTAATTTCCTGACCAGTGATTTGGGAGTAAAGGCCACTTAATATTTAGCAATTTTTGCCCACTTTCCTCCTTACTTT